GACCAGAGGAGTTCCTCGATCGATGAAGTTCGATCCGAATTTTACCTTGAGGACGGCGCAGCCCCGAATTTGTCGCTTAATCAGTGCTTTCTTCCCGGAAAATCCCCTCATCTTCCTCCCCAAGGATTTCATCACCTCTTCCGACGCCGAGTTGACGAATGACGCCAAGGTGAACGCGAGTACGTTGGTCACCACACAGTTTACGGCGATCATGGGAAAGGCCAGAAATCCGGGCATCGCGATGTCCGAGTAATGATTTATCGTGACGTACTGCGTGATTACCTGCAGCCCAGGGACGCAGAGCATTAACGATGGCAAGATGCGATCACGGAGAAAGGAATTGTATAATTTTTCCAAGATTTGAATCCGCTGGTAGAATTGAATACACATGTTCAAGTCCGCCTCGGTTTTGATGGCTTCAATTTTTCTAGGAAATACATAGATTACAATCCAATTTAAATTTCATTATCAAATTTTTGAAAAGTAATATGTAAAAGTTATAAGTAAAATATTTCTCGCTGCGGTTAGAAAATTCATATTCACAGAGTTTTTGGTTTTTGTACATTACGCTTAATTGTTAACTACACTCTTAGAAATTCACTATTAAAATAATACCGTTCATATGCATATGACCACCAAAGTGGTACTGATCAGTGATCAGTTTTAGCCCGGTATTTAACTTTTACTATGTCGGTAGGAAATTTTTACGGGCCAGAATAATTTGAATTCAAAACGGTATATAGCGACTTTAATTCCGAGAAATCAATACCTATGTATGTTAGATTTCTAAATGTACATAAACCTGTTCAGAATGCTGAAGTAGCTCAGTATCGAAACTATTCCCGTGAAAAGGGCATAGATAATCCAGCACCCTCCAGCCAGCATCATGTGCCTGACCATCCACCCCTCGAATATACGTACTCCTAGATGAACTGCGCCAAATCCCATCGTTTTCGTACACTTTGGTTGCATCGACAAGATGAATGGAGGCGTACAGGGGACGTACGTCAGTAGCAAGAATTGTAGGACAGCAATGACAAGTATAGACATTTCTGCGGCGGGTATGAAAATCCGCATCATTTTACCACCAAAAGAAAGTGGTGGCGGCAGGTTATCTAATAATTTCAAAATTGCTATATTTCTTGAAAAACTTGTGTTATCAATCGCCTTACCCGCCAGTAGTTCATCCTCATAGTCCAGGAACGAGTTGATAACCTGAATTCCTGTAATATCCAAGTTCCAATTCCACCTTTGCATACAGCAAAAGAAATACAGCGAAAAAAAGACGAATCCCTGAAACCGCTCGGTGAGAGTTAACCAACCGAAGCAAATATTGGCCAACATGGCTCCCGTGTAAACAACGGAGAGCACGCATTGAAGTCTAAACATACGAATGTGACGCGGATTTTTGGTTAAAATCATCCGCCCCGACCTCTTGTCGAATTCGAACGGTGTACATTTCGCAAATTTGCAAATTTGGAAGTGGAATTTGATGATTTTCAGGTAAGATGTGTACGTCTTGGAAAGAAAGATTGCGTCGAACGAGTGGTGACAACCAATACTTATTCAAATGTGCTAATGCCTGCAAGTACGTAATATGTATATAGCCTTTTAATTACTGATTCGGGCTGTAAATTCCTTTGATTTCCCATCAAGTGTACGTGCATATATAATCGTGACACCTACGTAAGAAATTTACAAGCAAGTAATCAAGATGCTATCTTTGGAAGACTGTTTAGCATTGACATTGATTGAGCGATTCGTACATACCTTCCATACTTTTCAGGCATAACCTTCATACACTATAAGAAAATGGCAGTTAAATTTTCTAGTATCGCTCTGGTTCAATTTATCAATTTGAACGATCATCACGGTTTTTGGTGATAATGAAATGTTTACCAATCAACAGAAAATGGAAACCAATCTCATGGTTTTTGCCGTGTATCATACATCATAGCTTGTTATATTATTACATGTTATATTATTAAGCTATGCTAAACAAAGCACATAATGCAAACCATCATTTGATTGTGCTATTGACGTTATAATTAACAAAGTGTTAAAGGTCACGACAATGTTTGAAAATAAGTGGCGATTCTAACTCTGAGTCGAGAAATATTACGACTTTCGATCAATCAGGATAACTAACCAACTTGGCAGGTTTTTGCTCCATCCAATAGAACCTTAATTAACATGAAATTGATCCTGTAGTGGATAAATACACTCTCAATAATTTTTTGATGATATTGTTACCGGCGGAGGTACTATGCAACTCTACCGCTCAGGTAATAATTTATCACCGAAGGGTAACATATATACAGAGGCTAAATCCTGCACTGCCCCCAATGTCAGCGCTCGGGTAATAAAAATATTACCGATACCGGAGGCAATTTCTTACCCACAGAAGACAATTTGTTACTATGTTGTTACCGCGAAAAAAATAAGTTAAGTCCTAAAAATACGTAGGTAGCTAAATGCGCAGATAGGTCAACTTGACATGCAAGTCGGTTTACATGGCTCGTGGCAACTTGACTGAAATTATTTTATTTAGCATCACACTTCATCACCAAAAATATGTAAAACAAATTAAACCATGCAAAAATGTTTTATCGCAGGGATTTATCTATCACATTTTTTAGCAGCAAGGTAAAGCAATCCTAAAAACATTCACATCTTAAATTCCCTGACTTATTCTCCTCATAAAATTTACAGTGTAAGCAGTCGGCATACAAATAAATGTTTTTGTATACATAAATTTATTACTCGTTAAAAGTATGAATTGTATCGCAGAGTACAGAGTAATGTTTTTGTTAGAAATACATATGCATGTACATATTTACATACATACATTCAATCCTGATAAATATCTCATTAATTCATCACAATCAAAGTTAGTCATCCCATCCACATGCTAAATTATACTAAAATATTCCACGTGTGTCATTATTCCTTCCTTGTTATGATTTCTGCGATATCGGAAAGTTCCACATTTCAGTGACAGGTTAATCGGCAGGGTTTCTTATCAGTAACACTTTTAGGCATATATTACAGGAAAAAACACAAATTTATTTTCCTTAATGTTCAATATGTATTTTTTATTTTCCAAAAAAATTGTGTACTAAACTATTAAAAACTTATATTTTATGACCAAAGCACATCGGGTAAGTAAATATATCGTCACTTGTACAATTGTTATCGGATTAGCAGCCAAAAAACACAACCTTAGCTACCCTGTCCATGAAAAGAAGGCATGAAAAAGTTCCACAACGTTTAACTGAATCATATTCCCCAGAATTGTTGATGTTTATCGGATCAATTTAATTTAATAATTTTCAACTGAGAATCATAAATATCAATTAAAATTCTGGGGAATAAGTATTTAAGCAGCAATTCTCCCATTTTCTGCATCTTTCCCCTCTACACAACTTTAGTGATCGCATCTTTTACCGAACATGAAGTCATTAATCTTCATCCTTCTTATCTGCAGTCTTGCCGTGACAGCGGTCCACATGGAGCTTATCTTCCCCACGTATCATTGTTGCAATTGCTGCGGGCGTGACATCCGTAAATTGAAATTATTTTTAAAATTTCGAGCTTGATAATTATTTTGGTCCATTTTTGTTTATAGATTGTGGAGCTTTCCGAGGAATATTTTCCACTGATGTGAATGGGACCACACCCTCAAACAATTTGGCCCAGTATAACATCACGATTTCAAAACCACCCGCAAAAAATGAAACGCAAGACCCAGTCGATCCTCTTTATCACTGTTGCAACTGCTGCGGTTGGGACGTCCGTAAGTGAGAAATTTAATAATTAACGAAGTGGCAGTCCATGCAATTAAGTTTCCATCGTTTCGTAATTTAGACTGCGGAGCATAATCAGATAATCTGACTCGGTAAAACAATTCTTTAGGATTTCGCTACAGAAATGTGATTGATTTTACTCTACTGAGAATTCGCGATATTTCAGAGCTACACATCTTATCTTAGAGTTGCCATGGACATTGTCCCTCCTAATTATTTATTGACAATTTACACATGTACATAAAAGTTACATTTGGTACTGAAATCATACCATTAACCAAATAATTTTTTTGCCTCGTAATAAAATTGAGTATACCTATGTATGTATACTTAAAACAGTGTCATTTGTTACGAATAATTTAAAACAAAAATAAATTAGTTATTCTGAATAGTTCTTCGGCACAAGGATCAAAAGTTTGCGAAATTTTCACATTCATACAGTACACATACATACATATGGTGGTCATTTATTTTCTGAATACGAAAAAAAATCTGCGCATTCATTTAAGGGTCCTAGTCATTCTAGAAAATAATCGGTAGCTTGGACACGAGGAGCTATCGGGAACCATCCCTTGTCTGATTATTCATGCATGACAAATATTTAGTTTATAACAGAAGAAACAATCACTTTAAACTCACGACACAAGAAGAATCCAGTATATAAGAGCGAGTCGGGCACCTGATTACGAAATAATGTTTTTTTTCCTGAATACAAGTACTATACATACATTTACTATTTTTGTACTGCATTGAAATTCACTCTAACTTAATATTCTTAGGATCGTCCCACTGGACCTGCGTGGGTGCAATTTTGACGTAGGTAGACAGGACCAAACTTCGGCCTGCTGCGGTAGAGTATTAAAGCCAGCTTCTATTATGCAGGTGCTGGCTTACATGGCTATCTTGTCCATATGTCATTACGTATTTTTATCCAGTCCCATATTCGCATACGGTTCAATTATGATGGTTTTTGCACGTATTTAACATACCCTGCACCGGACGGATTGCGAGGCGACAGACCACCTGTCCATACGTGACTTGTTCCATGTCTGCAATTTCAAATACATATGTACGTATAATGTGTCCATGTCTGACCATAATGATTTTTTGCAACATTTTATGCCTATTTCACTCCATCGTAAGCATTCAATGCTAATATTTGTGAGCAAATGAATTACATACCGTGCATGCTAATTCAATTCAAGTTGTACCACTCATTGAGTCAGTCGAAATTTAATCTTCAATCGATTACAATTATTACTTGATTGATATCACAGAAAAAATACCTGAAAATGGCTTCTCAAAATCAAGATTCTGCCTCCTACGAAGCTTCGGCCGAAGTGAAACAAAAATTTGAAAGTATTCTTGTCCGAAATGGCATCACTGATCAAGTTGATACTGTAATAATAACTGAACCGGCACATCTTAAAGGAGAACATTTTGCAACTTCCACCGTCTATGTGACAATCAACTTTAAAGGGAAGATGGTCAATGAGAGAAATCTCTTTCTGAAAAGGTTTGCTAGTGGCGAATTCCTCACGGAGAGTTTGAAAAGAGGGAAAATTATGGAGAAAGAGGCAGAGTTTTATAACACTTTTCTCCCAGCTTGTAAAGAATTCTGCAAAGAGTTTGGGTATGATTTTTATCTTTCATGAAATCTATTTATAATTTCAATTAATTAATTAAAATTAATTAATAATTACTAATAATTAGAGGCCATCCATCAATTACGTAACGCAAAAATCGCGACTTTCTAGACCTCCTCCCCCTATACCAAGCAGGATATCATAGGAGCCTTAGGCCCCCCTCTCGCGTTACATAATTTATGAACGGCCCCTTATATTAGTTAATTAATAGTAATGGGCGTACTCACGACAACTTCTTATTTCGCATCGCAACTCATTTAGCAAACTTGCGAAGATCAAAATATTTCTGTCGTGAGGGGATTCGTAAAATATGATTTATGCAAATCTTTCTAATCTCGCAAATCCATTGAAGAACACCTATTTTGGTATTGTTTCCATGGATTTCTTGAATTTCCCTTACTGGCGATGATGAGGATGAGCTTGCGATGTAATTTTGCGAAATAAGAACATGCCCAATTGCAGGGTAAATTTGCGAAAAAAATCCCATAGTTTCCCAGCAAAATTTTTGCGAAATCTCGCATATCTCGCAAAACTTGGCAAGTTACATATGTTGCTATGCTCAATTTGCGAGATATGCGACATATGCGAAGGTTCACGTGAGTACGCTCTCTAATTAATTAGGTTTGAAAATCTTCTGAATTTCTTCCCCACTTGTTTTTACGCTGATGATGAAATGATAGTTTTGGAGAACCTTTGCAAGGAGAAGGGATTCGTGATGTTGGATAAAGAACAACTGCAAGATTTGGACACGGCCAAGTATGTATGTACATACACTCAACACTAATGAAATTTTAATTATTCTTGTAATATTTTTGTAAAAACTTAATGAATAAAAGCTTTTACTTTTTCAGAATTGTACTTGAGAATCTGGCCAAATTTCATGCCGTAACCTACGCTCTACAAGATAATTGTGGGCGAGATGCATTTCTTAAGAAGTGGGAGCTTTTGCGCTCCGAAGTTTTCTTTACGGCTGAACGTGCCCCACAATTTAGTAAATTGATTGGAGAAAATGGAATTACAACTTGCATAACAATTCTTAAGGTGAATTTTATATTTATTTTAAACGTTTTAAATGAATACTTACAATGGGGACGCAAACCTTGTTCAGCCCAATTATTTTTTGAACATGGAAGTTTGATGGAGCAACTCATTAAAAACTATGGGACAGACAAAAAATTCAGCGAGTTTTAGGCGCCGCAAGTTCGCGAACACACTCAACTGCTACCGCAACGCCCAGATTTCGCTAGAAAATCGAGCGTTTTTCGCGAACATGGTGCTCAAAACTTCCAGAATTTTCAAATCTGCGCCAGTGCCGCACTAAATGTTGTTTCTAAATAGTTGCTCTTTCAAACTAACATTGTCAAAAAATAATCTGGGCTGAACAAGGTTTGCGTCCTCATTATTAGTTTATTATTTAGACAGTTCAAATAAAACAGTATTTTACATTTTTTTAAACCCCAAGGGAGGAAAAGTCCCGGGATATGTCGAAGCCGTGGAAAAACTTGAAGCCCTACTTGGGAAATCATTTGACAAAATTATTGAATGTGTCCGATTTACTGCCCAAGATAAACTGTTGGTAGTAAATCTAGGAGACTGCCAAAATAATAATATGCTCTTCACCCATGAATTATCGAATGGGAAGAAACACGTGAAAGACCACGTGTTTGTTGATCTGCAGGTGAAAAATATATTTGTCAATTTACCTATGTAATAAATATTGCTCATTAGCAATATATATTTAGAAAATAATAATTTAATATTAATTTTTTAGGTGCCCAGGCTCGCTTCTCCATGTGCGGATATTTTGTATTATTTGTACACTTCAGTGAAAACTGAAACCAGGACGGAGAGGTTGAGAGAATTGCTGATTCTATATTTTTCTGTTTTTCAAACAACATTATGCGGATTTGGGAAGAAGAGTCCAGTAAATTTTGATGTAATTGTTGTACATATTTATAAAATGCTTGTTACACTGTTATTAATTCGGTTACGAATTATCACTGGAAGGAGTCACATGACTCAACTGCAATGAACCGTGGTTATAAATTTGTCCCCAGTTGTATAACGAGTCGGTGACAAATTTATCGTCATGGCGGTGGAGTCATATGCATGCATATGTCTACTTTCTGTTTATAACCGGCCCCAAATTAGTTAGAGTGTACTCTTGAAAACTTTCATTTTTTATTCAGGGATTTATGGATGACTTCAAAAAACGCTCGTATTACGGTTACGTGTCACACCTTGGTTTCCTCTCAATTGTTGGGGCTCTGAAAGATGTCGATATCAAAGACTTCGGTACCACTCCAGACGAGATGGTGGCTGCTTTTGTCAAAATTATGGACAACTGGATGCAAAAAAATCCCGAAAAGGTGGAAAGCATTTCGCACAAGATATTTGCTCTTATGAAAGAATATGAAGCCCTAATTGCCTAAAAACTACTTCTTTGCAAACTTTCTAAAGATAATTAATGTTGGTATTATTTGTATGGGAATGTGGATTATTTAAAATAAATACTTATAAAATTTAATTAACGAAATAACTCCTGGATAATAAACAATAGTGATCTGTGGTTGGTAAAAAAAAATGTACAAACAATTTATTGTCACCAATTTGCAATTAATTATTTACGTAAATTTTAATCATTTTTACAGAAATGCATAGAAAACCAAACAGCTTAAATGTTGCTTCATTTTACATGTCGTATAACGAGCTAAAATTCAACCGAAGTACATAAATAGTTTATTAATTTTTGTTTAAAAAAAATAAATCGTAGAATGCGATTTGGAAGAAATGTAAACCAATTTATATGTGTAATTAAATTTAAAACAAATTAAATGCTTATTTATAAATAAGCCAACCCTATTATGTATATAAGTTACGATTATATGTATGTATTTAAAGGTTTATTCTCAATTAGTAATTTATAATGATTTTTCGGCACCAATTCTTAAGTATAACATATTAAAAATATTTTATCTCAGCAGGCTGCGTCCATTTAATTAACTAATTCAGCTGAAGGACTTTTTTCCTCAACTTCCTTTTGATCCTCAACTATCGTTGATGTCAGGTTATCATCATCAATCTTCTTCAAGTCTGCTTTGCTCAAATGTCCAATAATTCCTGCTCCAAATGCGTCGCCAACAACATTAACCACTGTTCCCACTCTGTCTCTGAAATTAAACTTTCGTTTAAGCTTTTGCAATTCTTCCCATTAAATATTTGCAAACTTACTGTAGCCAATCGACAGGAAGGACAAAGGCAATTTTACTCACGGGCAGGCCCATCGAACCCAAAATTGTCATGGTAACCACCATAGCGACCCCAGGAATTCCGGCCAATCCAACACTAGCGGCGAGAGAGGTCAACCTATAAAGAATCGTCTTAAGTTAAATAAATTGTCATTAAACCATAAAAATAGACTTAATTAATTACGTAATGGAAACCAATTCTCCAAAACTGAGGGATCGTCCACATAATTGTGCTATATAAATGACGCGGAGAGGAACCCCAATTGCCGCGCCGTCCATGTTGACCGTCGCTCCAATCGGGATGAGAAAGCGGGTAAGCCTGGTATCCATCTTGTGGTTTTCCTCCAAACATTTGAGCGTAATTGGAAGCGTGGCAGAGCTGGTAAAGGAGAACGAATATGTATAAAGTCGAAGGGTTCAAGTATTTCTTTCAGAGAATTCACCTTGATGCAGTCCCAAAAGCGGTGAAAATTGCTTGAGAGATGTTCCTGATAAACTGGAATGGCAGGGTCCGTGTCAAAAGGAAGAATAGGATTGGGAGGACGACAAACCCATGTAATAAATATGCCCCCACCATCACTCCGGTGTACCAGCTTAAATTGCTAAAAACCTCGGAAACTTCACCTTGCTCCACCAAGGAGCCCGAGATTAGAAAACAGACTGCCAATGGCCCCGCCCTTTATAAGAAATAATTAATTTATGTATTGCATGACAGGTAATGTAGTGATTCATTACAGCTCATTTTTACCATATTATGAGAGTCGTAATCCTAAGCATGGCACTTCCTGTGGCGGAGAAAACTGCGAGAAGTGGGGCCCCGACCTCCTTCAATTCTGCCAGGGTTATCCCAAGCACTAAGGAGAACACTATTAATCCCAACATGTTGGTGCCTTCCACCGTTCTCACGTTGACGTCTCGGTCCTCAAATGCTGAATTTGAAATCAAAAGGGGTGTCAAACTTTACATTGAGGGTATTCATTCCGAGTTCGCATTGTTAGCAACGTTCTCAAAAAAATTAAGTTCGCAATAAATTTTGGCATGAAAATTGATTCGCAAACTTGCGCATCGCCATATTTAGTAGTTCGCCAAATTTCGCAAACATGGAAAATTTTGCAATTGGAATGGTCCATAAATCTCCTTAGTTACATACTAATGTTTTGCCTTCTGAATTTTTTGAAATTTCATACACTAAATTCTATTCATAGAATTTGAATTCATGAACTGTCATTTGCGAAATGTCTTTACTTCGTTGCTTCGCAAAATTAACAATTTCGAAAAAATTATCGTGCGATGCGAAATGAATACCCTCATTGAATTAAAATTAAAATTAAATTGAATTAAAATTATGAGGGAAAAGCTGGTCCAGTTATTCTGCTTACGTATGCTGGCGTTTTGGGTGACTTCCGTCCTCGTATTTTGATGCGTAGCTGCAATAATGTTGGGTGGAAAAACGTTCCTGAGCAAGTCCAAAATCGTGTCAATTGTACTCCCACCCTCGCCCCCACAATCTTCTGAATTTTGATCATCCGACCTTGTCCCTGGGCTTATGAAGTGCACCATGGCACTGCCCAGAATTGCCGCAATGGCCGACGTGGACAGATAATAGACCAGGGCACGGGACCCTATCTTTTTGCTCACGCTTAAATCCAGCGATCCCGTCGCAGAGACGAGGGAGGAAATGATGAGGGGCAGCATTATTCCGCTCAAACAGCGGAGAAATAGGTCACCCGGGAGACGAAGGTACATAGCGTCCCGCTTGGTCCATGCTTCCCCGTTGGAATTTCGCAGCCCGATTCCCAAACCGAGACCTACAGCGACGCCGATAAGTGTCAAAATTGTGAACACATTGCCACGGCGGGTTAGAAATTTTAAGACCCGTTCCATTGTATATTTAGATTATTGTGGGACTTAATTATGTAGAGCGAGACTGGTTTAATGTCAGAAGCTGATGCAGATCTGAGCAAATATCGGAGCCACAACTCTCTTTTTGTGGCTCAATAAACTGCACAATCTTATCTTTGTGATTAGTGTGTAATCTATGATGGGGAAACCCAATTGAGGTATTTAAGGATCGTTTGTATGTCCGTCCGTCTGTCTGCCTGCGTGTTGGTGCTATATATGTATCAGGCCCGTACCGACGATGCTTCTAGGTGGAGCGCTGGCTCCAGGCCGGACGGCCCGAAGGGCCGTACCGGCACGCCCTCAACACTAGATATAACTGTCCTTTCACACGCCACAAGATAAATGCATATTAAGTGTGGGAAAACGTAAGGCAGACGTGCTTCATTTGATGGGCCGGATGGTTCTAGCCAACAAATTAACAATTTTAAACCCGAATATGCTCTTACGGGGATAGACCTTTAGCTCATGAGAACTTTTATGCATCATACAACATAGAGAATTACAATTTCAGACCTACCTCCACGAACTCCTAATCTCATGAAAAATTTAATTTCAAGAAATGAGAGAGAATTGAACTCCGTGATTTGAAAATAAATCTCGATCGGTTTCTAAGTAGGCCTTCCAAAATTGGTTTTTCGGATTTCGTAGAAAATACTAAAAATCGGTTTTCAATTTAACATAGAACTAGTTTTACAATTTTCCAAAAACCGGTTTCACAATTTTCCGAAAGACCTGTTTTTACACACTCGAAAACAGTTTTTGCGTTTTTAATAAAATCAACCGTTTTTGTAGCTAATGTTAACTGTTTCTAGTTGTTGAGATAAGAATTAGTTTTGGTGTAATCTCATATTCCCAAGTTTTCTTTTAACTTTAATTTTGCATTCTTTGATTATCACATATATTTGCAAACTTTTTACAATTTGCAATATAACGGATTTTAAAATTTGGTTTTAAACCGGTCTGTGCAAAGTATCTAACCCCTGTTTCCTACGATTTTCCAAAGTTCGATTAATCTAAAACCCGTTCCGTAGAATTTCCCAAAATCCGATTAATCGAAAACCAGTTTTACCACAATTCGAAAAACCCGAGTAATCGCAAAACCGTTTTTCTTAAACCTCCGATTTGGGACGCCCTATTTGTATGGCTAGCTTATGATTTCTGGTTAATTGAACCGAAGTTACTTAGAGCTTAAACCTATTTAGTCCCCAAGACGGATTTTTCGCATGAAAACGTTTAGCAAAAACCATGGTAAACCCCGGGGTTTTGCTATTGAAAACCCACACTCAGGGGTTTTACATACCTGCGTTTTGCGGGTAGTATTGCTCAAATTTGCTAGCCCAAAACTCACGAAAACCCTAATACCCCAAAAACCCGAGGGTTGTAGCATACCTTGGGAAAAACTGGGAAGTTTCTTTGAAGAAACACTCCCGCTTGATACACATTGTAGTGAAATTCCGAAGTCCTGTGAAGGAGTAATTTAATAGAAATCAAAGAATCTACAGCTTCGCGTCAAAATTCCATCCCGATTATTTTGCTTTAATTCTTTGATTCGAACGAAGACATTTGTCGTATTATCGAAAACGTTTTAATTCTGAAGTAATACTATTTATTTGCCTTGAAAAATTGTAGCCATGGTGCAAGACGAAAATAATTGTCAAGTAGTATCAAGTAAAATCAAGCATTATCCCGAAAACCGCAGAAATGTCTTGTCAAAATAATTGTCGTTTCTCGAAAGACACTGGTTTTCGCCGTTCTCTCTTCGCGACGAATGCAAAATCTTTTGTGATTTTGAGGGATGTGCAATTGAGTGTTAGATTTGAACACTTTCTTTCTAAAAATTTGAACATATGTATCTAACATTGCATTGACGCCAGCGGTCTCGCTCCGATTTTAATGGAACTTCGATAATTATCTAGCCTTAGATAAATAATTGAACACATGTTTCAGGATTTTTCATAATGCTCAGTTTAAACAAAGTTATGATAGTATAAGTGGCCGAAAATTCGCATTTATTTCCCTTAACAATAAAAAAAGAAAAACTTCACTAGAGAAAGTCGAATTTTCGGCCACTTAAACCATCATAACTTTGTTTAAGCTGAGCATTATGAAAAATCCCGAAACATGTGTTCAATTATTAAGTAGCGTCAGCTGCTTATTGTGATCACTTTGTCCGTCTGTCTGTCTGTCTGTCTGTCTGTCCGTCCGTCCGTAAGCAGGATATCTTTAGAATGCCTCAAGATAATCAAAAGCGGGTTTCGCCATTGTGCTTCTAATTTTTAGTTCTCGGTCGATTTCGAAAATGGGGTCAATCGGACCACACCCCACAGCGCCAGGGGGTGTGGTCCAAATCAAATTTAACATTAATTTTCATATGGGGTGTCATTTTAAAGGAAATTTCACCACGAATTCAATGGCGTTAAAATTTTTGACCTCGTGACCTTAAGGACAAGGTCAAAGGTCAAAAATACATAACTGTCATATGAGGTATCACTTTGAAGGAAATTTGACTGCGATTTCAAGGATGTTAATATTTTTGACCTTATGATCTTGAGGACGAGGTCAAAGGTCAAAACATTCATAATTGTCATATGGGAAGTCATTTTAAAGGAAATTTGACTGCGATTTCAAGGATGTTAATATTTTTGACCTGATGACCGTTGGGACGGGGTCATATACGGAAACTTTAAAGGAAACTTGAATCGGTCTGACGCTACTTATTTACATTTGTTTGGAGGGTTTATTTATCTACCTAGTAGGGACAATTGTAATGACCAACGGCTTCCGCGCGCCAAAAAAAATAGTAGGAGATATGTTAGACAGTTGTAGTATTTTTTATTGAAATGCCCATGCAATTGTCTATCAGAAACTATGTTCCGAAATTTTTTGTGACCCAAGGTGCTAAAACGACAGATCGAACAAATCGACGTGTTGCAATTTTTCAGAAACATTTTGGTAAACATAAAAATCCGGCATTTTTCAATAGCTCATTAAAAATCGGAACTAATCGCAAGATGGTCGACCGTACCATAAAATGATCCACTAACATTGGCGGTGTAGATAACCGAAAACCGAGTTGAAGGGAACGGTCAAAAAGGTCACAAAAAATCACGAAGGCGCGCAAAGCCTGAATTCGGCTGAATTCATGCCGGATCCTAAGAAAAATTTCCCTACAAATGAACGGTCCAAGTAAAACTACGTCGCTGGCCCCTAAACTCGACCTTGGACCTATGTCTTTAAGATGTAAAAAGAAACACTTGCTAACTTCACGCCAAGTAAAAATAGTACCCTTGAAAGGCGGGCACTGATCGTGCGGTACGCGCTTTAAAAATGGAAATAAGTATTTTTCAAAGATAAGTAAACTTTCACAATTGAAGCCATATTAAATTAGCAAAAGCACTTTGTCGACACCCCACCAGTCCATATTAATCATAAAATTTTTTAAAATATTCATCGGACACACCATCCAGATTCTGTGATTTTTTTATTCGGCGTAGATTGGATTTGGTCAAAAAAGTGAATTTTCTCCCTCTGGGGGTGAAATTTCTTGTCAAAAAGTATTTTTTGAAGTTATCGAGCGAATGGAACAACCACTAGACCACACTCTATTAAAAAATAGCTGCTAGATATTCGAGCAGGACTCAAGACCTTCTGATAAGGCCAAAATAGTAAAAATGAAGTAAAATTCCAAAATTTCTGACTCCATTTTGGACCGAAAATAAAATTCACTGCCGCCGAACCTCAAACTTCTGGAATATAACACGTGATCCAAACTGAAGATAAATACATGTGCTAAGCCCCACACAAGTTTGAAATCCGAGAAAAAATCTATCGGTTAGAAATGAAACCAATATGCCTTGAAATGAGTGCGTACTGCGAGTGAGCTGTGGATACAAAGACTTCGGGCTCTTGTAGCTTCAAAAGGAGAACATTTTGAAAACTAGTTAGTATATTTTGAAGGGAATTTAATGGGCTTTCTCGTGGTATCATTAGTTTTCCAAAATTCCATCAAGTGGGTTCCCTACATTAATTTATTCATTGGTCATAACAATTGGCCCTACTAGGTAAGGCTAGATAAGTATCGAAGTTCCATTAAAATCGGAGCGAGACCGCCGGCGTCATCGCACTGTAAGTCTAACAAGGGACACTCACGACCTGTCGTTTGAGTCCAGGGTACCCACTATGTTTTTTAGAATCTACTAGGACCCCAGATGAAGGATTCATTCATATTTCCGTGTAAAACTCATATTTGGCGCCATGGCGTGGCGCCAAACTCGCCAAATTTGCATGTTTTTATTTTTGAAACCGCCATAACTTTTGAAAACCTGGACGGATTTTCAGAATTTTTGGCAAAAATCATGACAAGGAGTTCAACTTTCGTATCCAATGAAATTTTTTCCAAAATTATCACTTTTAACTTTTCGCAAAATTTCGTAATTTTCTTACAAACGGGGGTACGTCGAAAAAATGCTAAAAATATTTCAAAAATTATAAATTTTTTATTTTTATTTTTTTCTCAAAAATTTCGACTTTTGTGATCATTTTAAGCATAAAATTTTGAAAATCCGACATAAACTGCAGAAGTTATGGGAGTTTGAAACTGGTCGAAAATGCAAATTTTGAAGTTTGGCGCCACGCCATGGCGCCAAATATGAGTTTTACACGGAAATATGAATGAATCCTTCATCTGGGGTCCTAGTAGATTCTAAAAAACATAATGGGTACCCTGGACTCAAACGACAGGTCATGAGTGTCCCTTGTAAGTCTAATGCAATGTCGGACTCTGCAACTTTTTTCGACTTTTATTTGGATCACTGAATTATTCCTCCCGCACCACGACCATAACATCTGCACCTATATGGTTCCAGAATTAATGCATCTTACTGTTGTTAGCCATACATATACATACTCCTGCAAATGTTAAACTATGGACCTCCCTCGGTACCGTTTTTTGAGGTTTCAATACTGCGTTACAAATGATAACTACGATCATTGAGAAAGAAATAAAAATGAGCAGAACATTTTTTTCATGCAAAATTTACTCCGTGGTTTGAAAGATCTAGAGCCTAGATGTCACCTAATTTGACGACGCACTTTGAAGCTACATATGATAGATACATATGTACATACAATGTTGTAGTGACTAGATATTTTACACAAGTTTTGAAAAGGCCGGATTCAATGTGTGCTCCAGGCCGTCCCAATCCAAGGAACGCCTCTGATATGTATACATAAGTCGTGAATGCAACGATATACAGAGTTGAAATTTTGAAGGTACTGTTAATAATAAACTCTGTGCGGTGGCAAAAAGGAGATGGGCGATCCATGAAAAGGTCACCCACATACCACGTAACAAAAAAACTTTCAAACTTTGCCAGTATTTAGAAAAAAATAATAGAAAATTATTTTTCCCATAAAATTTTTCGATATTTCACCTCTGTGACCTGTTATTAAGGGTGAAACTGATTAATTTGAATACTTTTGTTTGCTTGTGTGCATGACAAGTTGATAACGATTTATACTTGAAGTGAGTTAGTTATGTGCTGTGCGAATGGAGCTAAACTCACGAGAAACCCTAGTCTCAGCACAAGGTACTTCAGGAGGCCGTAGGTTTAAGCTCCACCCGCACAGTACATAACTCGTTCACTTTATGTATAGTCGAATTTAATGAAGGATCGGGTTTATTGGTCTGGGAATTGAAAGTTCATAATGTGTACCATGTGTCCCAATTTTTTTAAAACTACATCACCAATTCACCACAAACAATGCAGAAAACAAGGGATTTCGGTAGAACTAGATTTCGGGCTAGCGGAGGAGTGGAGGCGTGATTTGGCGATCGCGCCGCGCAGGGCTACAATAATAAAATATTATTTAACACCAGTTTATTTCTATTTGGACGTAAAAGTCATTCAATTTTGTATAAGTTGTACGTCAAAACAAAAATAAACTGGTGTTAAATAATATTTCGTGTAGCCCTCAGCGCTCCCAACCAAATAACCTTGCTTCCTCCGCCAGCCCGAAATCTAGTTCCACCGAAATTCCTTGTTTTCTGCATTGTTTGTGGTGATTGAGTTTAAAAAAAATTGGCACACATGTGGGACATGTTGTCAACTTTCAATTCCCAGCTCAATAAACCCGAACTCTCGCTGGATTAAGGTACTAATTTTTTTGTTACGCGGTATGTGGGTGACCTTTTCATGGATCGCCCATCTCCTTTTTGCCACCGCACAGAGTTTATTATTAACAGTAAGTTCCTTATGTCAAGGGTCAGAACTGAATGCAATTTGGGAGCCATAGGCCACACTCTTCAAGGTCAAAAAGGTCACAAAAGTTACCAAAGGTCAAGTTCCATATACCTGTAAATTTAAAAGGAAATTTAACCCTTCATACATACCTCCGTTTTCACCTCAAAGGCCACAAAACGTGACAAAAAAGTTACAGAAAAGGCACCAAATGTGAAATTTGATTTATTAGAAATGTCAAAAAGACGTCAGACTAATAGATGATTGACAGATTTTAACAAATTCAGACAGACGGGCAAAAACAATATGATATTCATCTTAACGAATAACACACTGGTTTCACCCCTTAGTTACATACGCTGTAAGTAACGGTTAATTTATATCCTAGCCTTAGTTAAGGTTGCAAACCGAGAAACTGAGAAATGCAGAGGAATTGTAAACATTATCTTGTAAATAATAGATTTGCCGAAATTTCGACGAAAGGTTGCACTCAGCGAGCAATTTAAGTGTTCAGAGCTTAATACGGTTGATAATGATATTTTTATGAATGAATGAATGTACATAGATACAGTGAAACGCATTCCATTTTTGCCAATGCTGATGCAATGATGACTGGTGATTAATCATCCCATAATTACGTATTTATTTCTATGAAAACTTGACCCAGATAATAAATACCTTGATATTGACGTGGCATGCTTGCTTAAATTCATTGAAATTATAGCCTTATCTATAAATTGCTCATCCTCGCAGTTCTTCGTAATCTAAGAGATTGTAAAATTAACAAATGTGTCGCTCTCCAACAACTGGTAAAGTCCAAGAATTGAAATTGAGCCAATGTAAAATGAAACATTTATTTCAGCAAGAACAAATAAACTTTCCGCCATTGTTGTTAACAATTGAAATATTTATTCAATACAAATTTTCCTAGCATTACGGAAATCGCTAAGCTAATTACTCATGATGCAAATACATAATCAATTAAATAACTTATGTAACTACTTTTCTCTGCTTAAATAAGTTGAAACAAATTTGGTAAAATTAATTAAATTACGAAATCATAATATTCTTCTTACATTACTTTTAATATTGCAACCTTTGGAACGCTGATGCAAATGTGACATCAGCATTTCAAAGGTGAAGGGATTCAAAATACATAGATGTAGTTTTCATAAGTATCTCGCCTCTCATGTGTGTCCAAACCATATTGTGTGCAGGAGATCATGAAGGGGAAGAGAGGATAGGAATGAGGAGCACAGAATGATGCCTACGTCATCATGATCATCATGATCATGAGGGCGTAGTTTATACATATGTAGCATAAGTAAAGGTAATGATCAAGAAGGCGTGGCTTATGTGATCACGTATATATAGAGTAAGCAGAGAGAAGAAGAAAAGAGTGTAGGTTTAGATTCAGGATCAGCAGGTTTAGTTTTAGTGATCATCAAGATCAAGTTCAAGGTTTAAGGCTTCGGAAACTTAATAATAAGTTCCTGTCTAGATAATTAGTTAAAATTTAAATAATAGCATTAGCTCTCCCACGTATTTATAATACGAGCATTTCTGTAAAGTCAATATTTTTCAGTCGGTATTGATGTAAATAAATTTAATCATAATTCTTATAAAAAAGTGAGTTTCTACTACAAGTTTATTGCACAACGACACAAAGAAAAGGGGCATCCGCGAAAGTGGATGTGAATCAGGACACGGAATCCCATAAAAGAATAGGGAGCGTTACAATATTAATAATATCATGAGGAATAAAATGTATTTATTATTTATTAATTAATAGGGTGTCCCAACTTTGTAAAAAAAATCGCTTTTTCCGCTCACGATTTTTTCGCTCTTTTTGTAAACCGCACTGCGCATGCGATTCCGATCTTTTTTCCGCTTTTTCTGCTCAAAAATAAAATCTACTTTAAGATGATTTTTTCGCTCTTTTTACTACTTTGAGTGAAAAATCAGTCTCTCAGAGACATGTTTAAGGGGACATCACCCGATTTTGATGCCCTATGGAATATATTGCAATAAAAAGTGAGTGTATGAAAAGTGAAAGAGGATTTTACTCCATGGCCCCACCTGCGCCCCCCACACCCCCTGAAAAGCATTGTAACCACTAAAACTACCGCATTCAAACCTTTGCCAAAAATCCTATTTTCATCCCATTTTGGTAATTTTTGGATTTACATGATCTTAGATAGTTGTTTTATCATATCCAACATGAAGCAAATTTAAATTTTAAAAGAAACTCACAAGTTTCCTGACCACCCATTCTCTGCTCCTGCGTATTCAAGTGATAAAAAATCGGGACAGTCAAGTATTGAGCGAAAAAAGCGGATTTCAGATTTTTTGGCTTTTCGCTTTTTTCGATCTTTTTTACAAACTTGGGAGACCCTAATGTCTCTCGTTTGCCGGTTTGCATACATAGTAAATGAAGTAAATTTCTTTACCCAGACAGGATTCGTACGTCACGGGTAACTCCTAGCAGAATACTTACATAAATGAAAAAGCCATGCTATATGTATGTATCCGGACAAGTTAATTTAAAAATTAGGGAGATAAATACATTAATGTGTCACTACGATAGTAAATTGCGCATTAATATGTACTATGTACCTATTATCAGTCGATGCGCTCGTGGCAAGTATGCAAGATAAGGGCAAAACCGTCATCGTATACTGTCTACGTCATAAAGTGTGACGCCAAAATCCCTGAGATAAGATAAGTTAATAATATGGACTGTGGGGCCGTCTATAAATTACGTAACGCAAAAATCGCGATTCTCTAGACCTACCTCCACCCTTTAGCATCTATAACATAGGCATGATATCACTCGAGCCTTAAACCCCCCTTCCCCTCTTGCATGACGTAATTTATGGACGGCCCCTGTAAGTGAAGGTCTTGGCGTGCAGATTGTAGTAATTCTTCTAATTGAAATAAAATATTATCATTAATACTAACCATAAAAATCCCAAGATTTTCACCCCATCTAGTAACCACATGTCTACCACCCACCTTTGACCACCACGGACACAATTTCAAATCCAAACAGTCGTCTAACCAAACAATTTCCCACATTACAAAAACGCTCACCTTTGCGGCCCAAATTTACGGATATATTCCGTACAAACTACGCATTGACCAAAGAGCTTTAATTTACTCGCTTTCTTACAAAAGTTACCCTGGCATCTTATTTTTCGTCAACCTCGCCCTCGCCCTGTTCTACCTAATCGTACCCAATTTATTCAACCTCTCCGTTATTTTCCACTCTGCCCGGTATCCAAAATCTGAGACCACTGGTAACACCCATACCGCTTCGGAAGACTTTGTCAAAACAGAAATTACAATTTCTCGCTGTTGCGTGTGATTCTTAGTTTTCCTCCAGATCAAGAAAACTTGTCAGTTTCACGAAAATCTGCCCAAATCGTTGATCGAAATCGGAAAGTGCAAACCCAATCGCGCAAAATTTTACGGAGAAAATTAGCAAAAAATTTAAAATTCTTATGGTCACCTCTATCATTGCAATGCTTGTATGCCACACGCACTCTAGTTGACACAAATTTATGGGCTGATTTCCAGCCCAAAAAATTATCGGGATGCAGATGTTAAACCTTTCAAAAAAGGGTTATTCGTCATATTTTTCCTGATTAAAAACCTGACCGGAATTTCTGAAGGGTTCTACACCATTTGGTTGTGCCATGATTCTCGTAATAGAAATCGGATTTCACGTGTTTGAAGTTAAAGTGCAAAGCCTCGGAAAATGAAAAACTTATTTCACCACTTTTCTCTCAGAATTTAACAATTTCCCTGAAATAATTGAACCGTTTGGTAAAGTGTTTAGCAAACAATTGATTCTGATAATGCTCTCAAAATCGATTGTTTGCGTGATGGACATGTTCATTTTCATGAGTACTGTGACATCCGAAACGTATAAAAATTATGTTAATTGAACGGTTGCACTAATATGTGGAACTGTAAATCTGAACAAAATGAGACAAAATTTGAGGTAACTGGAGGCTCATTTTTCCTCAGCAACCTTGCCGGGACAATGGAAATCAGCGGACAAAAATCCCTGCCTTTCTTTCAGCTTTCGTCATTCATCATTCATCATTCGTTGTGTTTACGCGTTGTGTTTGCAGTTTGCAGTTCTCAGATTTCAACAAGATTTTATTTGCGAATGATTAAATAATTCCTCAACCATGACCAATTTCGACGGGGAACTGCTCTGCAGGACCTTCAAGGGTGCGTCGCACTGTTTCTGTCGTCTTTGCTGCGTGTTCGGCGGAGATGAAGAGGTCCCAAGTTTCATTCGACAAGTTGGAGATAAATTGTGGAAACCGTTCGCAATTCTGCCAAATATTGAAGGTCAAAAGGTTTGTAATATAATTAATTGCATTTTATTTCATCTGAAATATAATGTTTAAAAAATAGTTGATACGATTATCAAATTCGAAATTTGAAGTTCAAATTTTGAACCGTTTTTTTTTGTAACTTTTTTGTTTTATGTATTATTTGCAGTTTACTATTGGAGAGACTTTCGCCAGTCGAGAAGAACATGGAGAATTCATCTTCTGGAAACGTCCCATGAAGGAAAAATTGAATATTACGACGGGTGGAAACTTGCCGATTTGTGAGATTACCTGCGCTGAAAATAAGTACTGGGTCACACCTTTATTATCCGGGGTAAGAAAAATTAAGGCTATTTTGTAGAAATTGTTTACATAATTCCTTGTTTTCGTGTTTCTCAGGGGGAGGTCGTTGCCGTGAATGATGTCCAAATTCAGGGAAGAACAGAGCTGAAATTTGGCGACTATTTATCCTTAGGGGTTTCCGCGACTCCAGAGGAACTGGAAAATTGGAAGCGCACCTATCCTAGACTAATGCCTTTTCCTACTACTGATGTTGAGGATGACCTGCCTCCTTGGGCGAAAATGGAATTGAATACTTTTGAGAGGACTCATCGCCTCGTTTTGGTATTCCAGGTATTATTATTATTTTATAGTTGAATAATAAAAAAATTTTATATCTGAGTTTGTAATTGTTGCATTATTTCACTTTTTTGTAGAGGAGAGAATATGACTTTGATTCTTTCTGGAAGACGGAGCTGGAGCAAAGAAAGAAAGAAAAGAAAACGAGCAAGAACGAAAGCAATGTTGACCTGAATTTGGAACATGTCGAGGAGAAGAAAGAAGCGAGATTTATTCCACAGTTGAACGAATTGGTAAATTAGTAGTTAACTAAGCTTAACTACTTATTTTGGTCAATTTAGTGATTTTATAATTCGTCCAGGTGGTATCCCACATTCTGTCATATCTTCCGTTCGATGATCTTAAAAATGTGCGTTTCCTCTCAAACGTTTGGAATCAAGAAGCTCTCCGCCTCATTAAGAAGAAGGGTTGCGTGCGATTCGAATTTTCACCCGGTCACAAGAAACTGGACGATTCCACAAAACTTTTCCGCTACAATCACGAAATGCAGGAAAATCCAATCCCCCACTGGCGAATTGCAATCCCTTCGATCGGCTTGGAAACTTATCAGCATGAGATCCGCCCAGCCCAGGGAGAAAAAGTCATCGCAGGTCTCCATTGGTTCCTAGGATTGAAGACGCACAACGTTACATCGTTAGATTTTGCGGGAACGATTGCATCCAAATCAGACTACGATGCACAAATCAGAGTTTTGGAGATGTGCCCAACACAAACTATTGAAAATTTCGAATTAGGCTGGACTTGGATTCAGGATGAAGCATCTGGACGAGGGTATACATTTCCTAGGAGCATTAAATTCACCAACTTGAAAACGTTCGGTCTCTCGATGGATGTTGGGAGTTATGACATTGAAGGCGACGGAGATCACAGTGAGGACTGTTCTTCCCTGTCCTCTTGGTTGACCCCACTGCTTTATGCCGTCAAAGGAGTACGCGTCCTCATTCTGAACTGTACTTTCTCCCCACTTTTGGACACATTCTATGACCGAGCTAAGCCATTCCGGAATTTGGAAGAGATTACCATTCAGCGAAACATTACTCCGGAAGGGCTCAAGTTTCTGAATAAATTGAAGAATCCTTTAAGAAAAATGAATCTTGGGAGATTTGAATATTGGAAAAAAGTGCAATACCTCGCTTTTGGGCGACTCCTTCGGAAACATTCCCAGACTTTGACCTCACTGCAGATTACGCTTGGAAATTGTGTAAAGAACGATACGATTCTTAACCTGCCCATTTTTCCATCGCTCAAAGAACTCTACGTGGACAAAGATTCTTGGGTCGAGGAAAATGAAACGTTTGCACTCAAGGTGTCGTTCGATGGGGATGATGACATCGCATACGCCAAGCATTTTCCTCGCCTGGAAACCTTGAAGTTGGGAGGGAACGATAATGGTTGGGGGAGGAATGTTAACGAAAATAATGCTCTTTTCGATACATTTTTGCCTTTCGGATTTAGCGATGCAGGATCTCAAGTTTACAAAACTTTGCGACATCTCGACCTTCCGACTGAAGCAACTTTGGAATCGGGCCAGCTTTATGCCAGGGCGGACGAAATTGCAAAAATGTTCCCGAATGTTCACAACCCTTGGATCAATAAGGCTCGAGAATCATCGGAGAATCTGACGGAGCAAGTTTCTTCAAATTAAATTAACATATATTGATGGACCGATTATTTATGGACACGGATTTTTGGACATGGACGGAGTCGACTCGACACATGATTTTTATAATTATTTATTTATTGTATGATTTTCATATTTCAAGGTGTCTTTTTTTGCAAGTTTTCCATCAATTTTAATTTTCTCAGAAAGATCTGATTTTGTTACTCTTTTTTTGATTTTTGTGACTTACATTACATATGTGATTGTCAACGTATGCCTTCTTGATATACATATTCATGTATGCCTTGCCCATTTTGGAAATTAAATTGTTCATTTAAACAATGTCAATTGTTACGAATTATTTAAAACAAGTCAACCACTTATTCATTCTCAATCATCTTTCAGTACAATGACTACATTCATAAAAGTTTTCGAAATTTTCACTTTCATACATAAAATAAATAGTAAACTGCACATGTAAATATTTAAATCTGAACAGTTTCACATTTTATTCAGCAGGAGGCACGTGGTATTTTAACGCAAATTTTATCAAGATTGCATGCATATACAGTTACATACATTTATAAGTAAGCAATCATATTTGCAGAATTTTAATGAATTTTATCATCCTCATGGTGTGGGGTGTTCATGCCACGTTTTCACCAGTTTCTGCCGGATTCATGGAGAATGATGTAAGGATCACTTTCTTACTAAAGATAAATTTTATTTTTTTAATGGTTCTTATTTATTCCTAATAATTTAAATACGTATGCGTATTTACTTTACTTAACAAATATTTATAAACTTACAAAGCTCATAAAAGGGCAGTACATACATGCATAGTTAAAATATTTGAATATCTATATTTACATAACTCACGGAAGACGAGACATCCATCCCAAATATTTCTGGATGTGCCACTCGCTCCTGGCTACCTTATGTACTTGGCCAAAGCGGACATCGACATTTTTAACTTCTTGGAATCCTACAAAATCAAGAAGGATGAAAAAATAAGTACAGCTCTTGAGCTGTAAATTATTAAAATTAATATGTTCAAGTACAAATTTATCCCGAGAAAATTCAAAATGACGCTCTTTTCTGATGTTATTTATGTACCCAGATATATCCAGGATTTTTCGGAAGCGTCAGCAAACTATTTTAATGCCCGTAGAATTGGACGGACTTCATGGTATGCGGCAACGGAAGTGGTGAAATGTCCCATTTCCGTTTACAGGATGGTGAGACGATTTGTAATGCAACTCAAAGATGCAACTAAAGAATTCGAATCTGTTGGAAATCAAGGTGCTTAGGATACAGTTTAAATTATTTATGAGACAATTCACGTAGTCATTGGGAACTTTGCAAAATTAGTTTCGTAAAATAATTTTGGAAGCTTTTACAAATATGCACAAGGACGCCTTGATCTGAGTAAGTTTGCAAAAAGTTGTTGGCTAATTTTCCTTAGAAATTTTGTAAAAGTTTGTAAGCCTACAGAATTTGTGGATCATTTATGAATGTTTTAACGTACATTTTTACAAAAGACTACGTGAATTGCCTCTATATTTTATTTCCTGATCCAGATTTCAGGTCATTGTCACGATTTGTCCGTTGTTCATACAAAAAATAAGTAATGTAAACAGATACATATATACGTGTGTAGATATCTGTTAACACGTTTCAGATATCCCACCCAAGATAAGCAACCTCCTCAGCCTTGTCGCTTATCCCACACTAGACGACTTTCATGAAACGATGGAATCGATTTTAAATCTCCAGCAGTTTTATGGTCTAAAGCCAAGTAAGGTGAGTACCACCAAATATCTCATGGTTTGTACCCTGTGAAATTTTAATCTCAATTTTCAAAATAAACTTTCGCAAATATTTTCGTAAATTCGTAAATTTAATTTTTGTAAAATTCTCAAAAGTTAGTGCACGGAAGAATTCTAACAATCCAGGCCAATGCGTCCCTCAACGCCATCCATGCCCTCGAAATAGGAAAATTTGCCCTATCAAAGAAACAGTACACATTATCTCTTTCCTGGTTATACGCTGCTAAAGACTTGTACCGTGATGCCGGCATGACTTCAAGTGTGGAGATTGACACCTTGGTGACGAAATTAGTTGACCAGGTAGAAATAAATCTGATAAGCTACAGTTAGTTTTGTGTAATCTTCCTTTCTGTACCAAATTACACACATTTTTGTAAAGATTTTTTATTTTACTTTTGTTTACATAGCACGACACCGATTATGATTCTGAGCTATCCACAGGGCTTTACTTCTTTGAAGAAAAGCTGTCCAACAATATGTCGGCTAGAACGATGCGCGAGGTCAAAATGAAAAACTACTATGGAATTGCGCCATCCGGACATGAATCATATCAAGGAGATGTCGCGTACTACAATTTGCTCAATATTTGCAACGGAAATGAGTTCGTGGTGAGTAAAATTCAAAATTCGTTCACCAAGTTTAAAAAAACGTTCCTACGGTATCAATTTAAAGAGGTTAGTTATTCATAAACCAGTGAGTCAATCAGTCCGATATTTGCAACCCATAAACTCCATAAAGTTCAAGCATCTCTATAACACGTTGCAAAATTCGTTTTCATATCCATCGTAGATTTACTGATATGCATGCATTCCATTTTGTTGGGAAAATTGTGTTTAAAAATTTTTGCAAGGTTTACAAAGATTTTGCAAAGACTGTACATCGAAGTACATAATTTAACTGCCAAATAACTAATCTTAAGATGCTGATTTACTTCATCCTTAGCCCGAATCTGTGAAGAAAACCTTATTTTGCCGCCTTGAAACTAAGCAGAATCCTTACTTTGCCATCAATCCGATTAAAATGGAAGTCTTAAGTCACGACCCGTACGCCGTCATGATGCACAAAGTATTTCCAAAGTACTACTTTCGATCGACGTGGAGTAGCAGTGCGTCCGCGGCAGTTGTCAAATCCTCGGTTTCTTTAGCATCACTGGAATTGGAGGCGGCAGGATTGTCGAAAATGTCTCATGAAGCTTCGGATCCACGACCAGGGTCGACTTATCGGATCGTCGCGGCAATAAATAAAGCTCGTAAGTCAATTATTTTCAAAGAAAAAGTTGTAATTTTTCAGAAATTGAAAAATAATTTCGAATTTTTTGGTAAATTGTTAAGCTCATATATGCAAATGTATGTACATACTTCTCTAATGATATACATACATAACCTTCTCAACCAGCCATATAAATTTACTACCGACCCGTAATAAATTGTCAGCTAATTGGTTTTTTTTAGTTCATATATGCGCAACTATTTTCCACGTTTGTTCAATAATTTTTATGCAAATTTTCAAAACCAATTTATGCATACAGTAAATTTTCTCTGTCTGAATTAAATTCCAGATTTTAAGGACACAGCGTTACACCCGGGTCTCGTGTCCAAAATGGAGTTTCTTACCAAGGTGAAGATAAAAGGAAAAGCGTCCGACACTTATGTCATCAATTCTTACCTGCATGGTACGTACATACATACGACTTTTATGCATCGTTAACTAATCAACTTAAAATTGACCCCATTTAATAACACTAAGTAAGGTGCCCCCGCTATCATGCATTGTGACCATTTATATGGGTTGGACGATTATGGCTTACCGACAAAAGGACACAGGTTGTCCTCAATCGTACTTTACGTAAGGGATGCAAATTTATTGCGGAACATAATTACAAATTATTGAAGTTTCCGAGTAAATACTTATTTTTATTTAGATGACAGATGTCGAAGAAGGTGGTGGAACAGCGTTTCCAAATCTAGGGTTCAGAACATACGCGGAAGCAGGTAGTATGTTATACTGGTAAGTTATCAGAATTAACATTTTCTTAATGGGGATATGCACATCAACAATTTCCACCTTTCGCCACAAATATTTAGTCAGATATATTGCAAAATTGTTTACATGCATATGTATCATATCTATCTATGTAAGTTTATGCATATAGTGGTGTTGCAGCAATTCAATATTTTAAGTCAGTCTTTCAAAAACAGGTTACTTTTAACAAAGACAACTTTATTAAATTTTTATATAAATGACCTGCACACTTTTGAGCTACGATTATAAATAGTATTTTAGAAAGTTTTCGTGGTTACATATTATAAAAACTTTCTACCAATAGGTGTACATTTTACACTCTAATCTTTAAAAATTGATGTCATCAAACCTTATCAAAAATTCACTCAAGAAGTCAGTAGTTTGAAAATAGTAAAATATGTTTCTTCCCATTTTTCCTGGAAAGAAAGTGTCTAAAATGTAAATAGGATTTGCTTTCTATGCAGCGAGCTTCCAATTACAGATAAATAATTTGAGCCAATTGTCAGTTATGAATATGTGTATATAGCTTTCTTCCATCAAGAACAATGACAACTACTAATTTAAATATGTATGACTCACAATGTGAGTCTCACATTAATGTCTGTAATTTACCCGAAATATGTATGCAATAGACATATTTATGTATGTATTGCAAGACAGTCTTTTAAATGGAACACAATTAGATTATTTAGATTAAATTAAACTTCAAGTTGAATTACGTTCGTACATGGTCGCAAAATTTGACGACGAAACTACGTATGCAGGCACTAATATTATGTTATTCAGTTCCTTCGAGGTTGATGAAGTCCATATTTGCGAACTGGTGGTCCAGCATGCTTCGTTTTTCTCGCCTCCTTCCTACGATTACGATACTTATCGAACGATATTGTCGCCACCTTAAAATATCAGTCGGGTTAATATTTAACTTGCCTGATGTACTAATTATTAATTCTCAGTTTTGTCACAGATCAGGGTTCCTATACTTTATACAGGGTTAGGCAAGTTAGAAATTTCCAAAAATCAGACTAATTAAAATTTTAATCTGAGGAAATTTTACAGCTCATTCTTGATTCACTTTGCTTAGCAAGTAACAACAACTTTTCACCAGCAAAATCATCAAAATTTCGTATAAAATTTAATTAATCTGATTTTTATAAATTTTAAATTTGCAAAAACTACCATGGAAAATAAAGCATAGGAACCCTGACTGATCACTAATTAATACGCATACCTTAGTAACCAATTCCTCCTCCTCCTCCGAGACTTCCACATAGTTCCGCATCCAACGAGGCTCGTCCTTCACATATGGATCAAACATGACTTCCTTCACCGTCCTCTGAACCGTGTTGTCATACTCCTTCTCAATCTTCCTTATCATATTGGGTAATTTCGTCTCTGCAAATCGCAACATCCTGAGATGGTCCGTGGACATGACGAAGGTTTCAAAAACGTAGTCCGTATCTACTAAACAGGGGAAAAAGTAGAGTTTTTCCACCAGATCGTCTACGGGGACGCATCGGTCAAACTTGATCTCGTTCTTGGGTCCCCACCGTTTCGTTGAGGGGGCTTGGATCGAAATTAGTTTGAGGTTTGGTAAACTGGCAAAGTCGTAACTTGACATTTTCGTCCGGCTCACGGCCCTGGTTCGCCAACGGGCAGAGTATTCTAAGGGTTCGTCGACCAGTCGGAAATATACTTGTTCAATATGTTCCGGATGCTGGGCGGCCAAACCGCGAAAAATTGTGGACAAGGAAGGGTTAACAAGACGGGAGTTGCTGGTACACCAAAAAAGATGGTCGCCCTGCTCCATAAAATTGCTTCGCATGTGGCAGTTTCCCGATCGACAGTGGTTGTCTAGTCGAATGTACTTGACGAGTTTGGGGTCAACTTGAGGGGTAAGGCCGGATTTGCAACAGGGGAACATTTTCGTAGGGACGAGAACACATAGTTCTCCGAGGAGTGGAGTCGCCACGGATTGCCAGAGGCGGCAGACGAGACGGGCCGTTTTCAGGGTGGAGGCAGATAAGTTCGAAAAGATGGCGGTGATGATCTGAAAATGGAACGTTACTGATAAAATATTGCATTCCAAACAAAATCAAAGTAAAAATCAGCACATTTTAAGCATTTTTTTGTCCTATGTATGAATTTATTTACAGTAAAATCGACGTAGTTTCTGAAGTAGGCAGTATTTTTCGAGTCGGCTTTCACCATAAATCAATACAGAGTCACGACCACACCCCCTGATTATCAGTTGATGCGGTTGGGGCAAAATGAGGCTATTGTTGGAATTGGAACTGATTCTATTGATGAATTATAACCAAGGCTGTATGGCCAGCTTCTCGTCCATTGCATTATGACTCATCACTACCCGAGCAGCACCATAAATTCATGGTAAGTACCGGACAATTTTTGCTCAAAAAATTTTAAAACGGAAAATTTGATGTTTATTGTTACCATAATATATATCTAAATATATTACATAGTGGGTTTCCGTTCGAATCGCTATAATTTTGGTTTTAAGTTTTTCCTGAAAAATTTAATTAACTAAAATTTAATTTCGAACGGGAATCCATAAGCTTTATCATGTAATATGTCCAGGTATATATTATGGTAGCAAAAAACCATAAAATTTTCGGTTTTAAAATTTTTGGAGCAAAAATTGTCCGGTACTTACCATGAATTTATGGTGCTGCTCGGGTAGTGATGAGTCATAATGCAATGGACGAGAAGCGGGCCATACAGCCTTGATTATAACAGAATTACTCTTCTCCCGTTATCGGAGGTGTCTAGGCAAAGTGAGACATTGATGAAACCGAGGATGAGTCTAGTGATGAAACGGTACAATTAAATACCTCCTAAATATGTATGTCCACAATACGCTCTTCGCACTAAAGCTATGTACATACATATATATACATCCGTATATGCGTTTGGTGCAGTTTATTTTATTAGAATCTTATGTAAATTCGGTAAATATGATAACCTGGAACAAAAGAAGTTACTTAAACGCTTATCCCGACTTACCAAATGATTCGTAAATATCGAACAAGGCAATTTATCCATTTCAGCTAAAAATGTAACATTAGAACTTTACCCGTTTTGCTTTCCAATTATTAAACCTTTTTCTATTTATTTAATTACCAATTTTTCCTTTTGCTTTAAACTTTCTGTTGAATGATTCCTTCGGCATGATGACGAAGTTGCATGAGCAAGTCCAACAATAATATCAGATTTCTAAATAATTTATGACAGGAAAAAATCAGCTTTGGCAAGAAAATAATGTATATTTTTCTACTTACTGTATCTATTGGTTCTGTAATACAGAATCTGTATCCCTTGTTACGCAACAAACATCCACTCGGAAAGAAAGCAAATACCGTAATGTTCCGTAGTTTGACTTGGGTTTTAATACCAACCATGGAAAAACTGAACATATCCAGATTTCCTTTGTTTTCATCAGTTGTATGAAAATGCTCAGGATGCTTTTTGATACATACATACAATGTATGCGGATGCATGAATTCTGTCTGTGGGAACTAGTTCAATGGTATTGTTTATGCATTAAAGGGACGCTTAGGCATCAATACGGGTTCCCTTTAATGTGCTGATCCCTTGTATGTAATGTAAATATATGCACATACATATGTACATATGTATGACATTGGTGCATATCAGTACACCGTTAAAAATCTGGTAGAGTCAGAGTCTCATTCTCATACATATATTTGTACGTATGTACGTATGTATGTACATACACTCCTTTCTGGTATTGATTTGGTAATATGTAAGTTAATGTAACATAATGTAACTTCCTACTGGATTTGTAGCAGATGGTTTGTTTCTGAGTGATAAATTTTTCATTACCACAAAATTGCTTACTCGAAATGCTACCATGCCGGTAGAGTCACTCCACCCATTAATAATTTAATACCAGTTTTCTAAGAGTGTATGTACTTGCACCGAAGTCAACGTAAATCGCAATTGTTTTTGCTACCAACTTGCTTAGAGTGTACGTTTTTAAAAATAATTTTAAAAACTTTTACAAAGTAAAAAAAACGTTCTTGCTCTGGGTACTTAAGTTTTCAAAAATGTGTAAGCTAATTTTTCTCAGAAATATGTAATTGTAAAACAAGTTTGCAAGTTTACAGAATTTAATGTTATAAAGGATTGCGAGATAACTCCAATAAATATTTTATTTATCTTTCAGGCATGCTGCCCATACGAATGGCGAGATCGACTTCCGAACATCACATGGTGGGTGTGCCGCCGCATACGGATTACGTTGGCTCGGAGTCAGATTTATTCGTCAATTTGAGAACTTTCAGACACAAAAGTGTTCACTAAAGCGAGGCAAATGGCTCATCTAGATGATTTTGTGTTAATCCATATGTACATACACCGATGCTAATATGTGTATTTACATATCTATGTATATATAAGTATCTATGTATGTATGGTAATGATACTTAAAAAATACAACCAATCGATATATATTTGCAATTAAATTCCGATAAGGCAACAGTTCATTGAGCAACATACATACACATATGCAAAAGTTGAAAGTACACATCGATTCAACTTTGTACATAAAAATAGCAAAATTAAACAAGTACAGTCTGAATATAAAATCATGATTTTTTCATAAATTTATAAATTTATGATTGCACCCTTATTCATAAATATTGTAAATTTAGGTACAATTCAAACAGGAAATTTCAAATTTATTCGTAAGTCCATATTGTCACATTGCATCATCGTCTTACCCACCTTGACGAGTGCATGAAATAAACATTTTACAAATTGTGTCCTCAGAATCATTTTATTCAGCAGAACGAAACTTAAAAAAGTATGCAGGCCTAGTGGCAAACGGATTTCAATTAATCTTACGCATTATTCGTTATGATTTACTTATTTTCAATTAAACTTTATGTGTGTCACAGCTATTTCATAAATATTTAAACACAGAAATTTAAACTAAATATATAACTTTGGGGTTTTATGAAATTACATATTATTACCTATCTACAGACGAAAAATTTACTAAAATTTGGTAAATCTGTATCTTAACATTTCCCCTTACATATTCTACGGGAACGTCACGATGCAATCGATAATGTAGTCGAATGTCTTCTGAAAGTAGGTGACCGTCGTGGAGACCGTGACAAAGTAAAACTGTCCGACTTGAATTCTTAGCGTGGCGCAAGATGTCATAATCCTTCGCAGATTTTGATGTTTCGTTTCTGACCACGAGTTGAGGAAGGATGTCGCAATGTCAAACATTTCCGCGGAGATTTGTAACATCCCGTAACTACAGCAGACACAAATGACCACACCGAATGGATAGGTCAAGATGGCTGGAAATTCCTCTATGAATTTGTTATTCATGGAGCGGATCAAGACATATCCGCAAGAAACGAGCGCTGTCCAGTTGACCATCTAAAAATTGGGGGTGTTAATTTGAAAAATCAGATTGTAGAGGCATAATTTCCTCGTAATAGTAATTAAACTTTTGTGCAATTTCGTAAGAGGGTAATTTTCAAAATTTGTATCGCGATATTTTATATGAACGGTAATTTTCAAAATATTGTAGGCAAGATTTCGCATGCCGTAAGACCTTTTTGAAGGGAAAATCGTGACTTGCAGAATTATTTACTCATCGTAAATCATATCATCCCATAATATTTAGCACAAGACGTAACGAATTACCTTCATAATTGGGAATGCCGCCGGACCAATGCACTCGTTCAAGAGACCAGTCATTACTTGAAGAGATCGATACATTTCCACCGCCGTGTGAGGATCCCGCAGTTGGTCGATAGTGTACCCGGTGTCATTATTATGACTGCGAGAAAATGGAAATGACTGAAATTGAAAATTCCCAAGTTTTCATAAACTTTGACTTACTGAGCCTCCATCAGCCAAAACTCGACACTGTTCCCATGTGCGACAGACATCCAGGCTAAGAGACAAAAGACCGCAATGGTCTGACCGGCCATGACCATTTCCTGGAAAATAGGTAATGACAAAAGATTATTATAGAATACAGAATACCATCCCCATAGCAACCATTCCATTACCTGTAAGGCACCCAGGACCAGCCACCACTGCGGATTTCCCGGCTCGTACACATAGCTCGTCAAGTACCACGGTTGAAACGGCATGAACAAGTACAGGATGCAGGACAACACCAACTGTACGAAATTCGCGGGTATGCAAACCTTCAGCACAGCGTTTCCTCGATCTTCCAACCCATCCAGGTGCAATACGTACCTGTCTAGAAGAAACCTATCAACCTTGCCGCCCTATCTCACTTTACCCCTTCCACACTTACCTACACACTTCTCATTAAACTCCAACAACGTATTTATATAATTCCGGAACTTTTCTCGGTAAATGTACATCAACGTGTTCAACGAGATGGAGTAGAGGTACCAGAAGACGCAGAACGAGTTCATAAAGACTGGGCGGTAGCTCCCTTTGTCCAATTGGACGCGAGCGAAGAACGAGTAGAACTGATACCCCAGGAGGATCGTGTTCTGAATCGCGAAGATGAACCAGACCACGGACCACACCTTATGAACGCCGGGACTGTGACGGATAACCCGTCTCGCTTTAGTGTCATATCGCCACGGTAATGCCCACACGAGGGCGCCAACTAGGCAGATTTGGTGGAGTCGGCCCACCGCCCTAGCGCTGAGCAGGGTTGGTCGGGCGGCTTTAGTTGAGCCTGGTTCCGCCGTGGGTGGGCGGGATATCGTGGTAATTGTGGGGGCGCCCCATTGAGCCCAGTCGCCGAGTTCGGGGTCTGTATTAGTTGGTGGGTGGGGATATCGGGTTCGACGGGTGGTTCCAGTAGCGGTGGAGGATCCGGCGGACGAAAGACTATTTAAGGGGAGATAGAATTAAGTCTAATTGGAATGCAAAAACATACACTCTTAGAAATCTAGTGTAGCCAAGCAGATATTGATTTCTCAGTATTAAACCTCCTACCGCTTGGTATTAAAGTTACAGTTACCGGTGCGTAAAAAATTACTACCGATATGGTAAATTGATACCGAGCTATTACTGCATGCATCGTATTAAGGACCTATCAATACCACTTTAGTAGATATATATATATATGAAACCGCTTGGTATTATTTTAATACTCGATTTGTACGAGTGTATGTACCTTGAAATTGATAATTTTTCCCAAAACACTGCCTAACCAAGTTTGAATTCTAACCTGTCACGATCACCGGGTAGACCGTTTTCACCCCTCTCGTCCCAAATGTCCCCCATCCCACCACCGCGATATAATCTGTTCACGTCGAAACGGTCCTTCCCCTCTTCGTAACCATGGAGACCTAACCCCGTCACTTTAGCGAGGTTACGACGACGACGCTTCCTCAAGGACCCGGCAGCTTGCATGGCCACGATTCCACTAGGCAATACTAACGCTGATAAGAACGAGGAAGGAAGCCCACACTTTTCTACACACACGACGTATGTATACCTATAAATACAATAGTATTTCAAAGATTTATGCGTTCGTAGTATTGGGTTTATCACGAAATGATCGACAAGACCCAAGTCATCAATATTTTTCAAACCACCGACATAATTGTTCCAAAAATGGTAGGAATCACTAATTGATTTCGTGTAAGGTGTAGTTTTCCGTAGGTGAGGCAAACAAGAACTGAGAAGCAGTGTCAAAACGATCACCTATTTAATTGTTCTTTTACACTGGTTAAAAATTAAAATTTTTTAATTCAAGCTTTTTACTAATTAAGTATTTTGAAGGAAATCTAAACCCGACAATCATGCACGAATATTTTACAAAAATAATTTAGTTATTTCTAACACCATTTGGGAAATCATTTTAGTATCATTTCCAGTGCGATAGATACCATTTTGCCAGATTTAGTAGAGTTTTAGTCAAAAATTAAATTCTTAAAATTTTCAAAAAATTCGTATATTTTCTCAAATCTTGAAACCTACCGAGGCCCCTACCCCAACGTTCTGACGGATTATTTATCTACTAAAAGTCCTCAAATTATAAGCTATCTTGCATTCAATCAAATCATGGGAAGCTGAAAAAACACATCATTTTATTCCTCTATATTAATTATTCAATATTTTCATTGCATCACGGAAGGATTTCAAATTTTTCGCATTTACTTTCTCAGCCTAGATTTTAAAGCATTCCAAACCAATTTCAAATCTATTTACATTCGCGAAATTTTATTGCCCTGAATATTAAATTTTCTAGACCCACTACAGACAAACAATGTCTAGAATCCAACCAGAGATATCTAACCTCTGCATATTACTCGTACTGACTATGGTGTTAAGGCGTATCGATATATCATAAAAAACAATGCTTCTCACACAAGTAAATACGCAAAATCAAATATTTACATAGCCAAAAATAGGTAGCGTAACCTTGTAACGTGAAAACAAAACGAATTGATTTTCCAGTCCACGCGATTCTAAATAAGTTACCATACTGTGACACTGTTGCGAAATTAGGACGACAGAAACACCCAGATTGGAGTCCAGCTTTATGTACATACGTACCAGGCGTGCCTTTAATTGCTGTGGCATGACCACCCTACAAATAATTAAGCTAAATATCAATAATTCCGATGGTGCGCAATCTGACCATCTTTGTGTTCTTGGGAACGGGTTCAATTACCAAATAAAATTGGCTTCAGATACATACATACGCTCATCATTTTTTGAACGGCGTGTCTAGTCCATTATCCGACTAATAATCTACACGCTAAGAAATCCGGTGAACATTTGTAACTCGGATGTCACAGCATGGAAATGCATGGAACTTTCACCATTCATCGTCACAACGCGATGGCTCGTTATTATGGATATGGTCATATAGACATGGTAACACTTTATCAGTGTGAGTCACAGATATGGAGGTGTGAGTCACTAAAAACCGCGTATTCTTATGCATTACCAGTTGTGTACAGTCACAGGTTTTGCAATATTTTTAGATGCGTATATTTTTAGGGTAGGAGGTTTTCCGTGGCATTCCGGATGAAGGTTGGATCTTGTGTTTTAGGTCATGCAGTCATGCTAAATACATACAGACAGATTTTAATTAAATACCAGCAAATGCGGAGAAGTTTAGACGTACATAATTACAGGTCTCGGGAGAATTGTAGGTAATTATCTATGCAATACAACCCCAGCAATACAGATGTACCTATTTGCAGCACGTGAGTAGTTACATTTGCATAATATGTCCATGCACTTTCAATGGTTACTTACATACTTTATGTACATGTACAATTTCTATTTATCGTCTTAAGAGTAATAGCAGCTTTTCTATAATTGGATACGGATGTACTTAGATAATATCTAAGTACATCCGTATATATCCGTACATATTATGTGCATAAAATCCACGTTCATCTGTATGTACATACATATTTATATTTAACACACTAATTGCTTAAGCAATTAGTGTATTTTATGGTAATGCAATTGCATTACCCTTGCGTTAAGACTTAGGTATATAAAATATTCGAGTTATGAATGTATCTGTAATTACATTAATAAATAATCGTTAACAACCTTTACAGGTGAAATCAATAATTTTCCATTTATTTATTTGTCCACTAATTGCGTTATGAATATTTTTCAATTTAATAATTCCACAAATTGAATTCAAATTTCAAAAACTAATTAATCATCCAAGATTTGACTTATCCTATGCAAATATTTCATTAACCAAGTAAATTTGATTCGCTCAATATTTACATTAATCGAATCGACTTTATCATTCGTGGGGCCATTAGCTCTTCCTTAATTACCCTCACCTCCACTATCTTGGGACAAAATTCGACCGGATTTGAACTAATCGAATCATACGAAGCGTAATCCAATGCTCCCATCGTGATCAGGGTCGGGACACCTGAATCATTATAGGTCATCCTACCCTGAAAGTGAAACTTGTTTAAGACTCCCGACTCATCCGGAGTCGCCAGCGAGAAACAGACCGATGGCAAGGAGGGATTGGCGGTCTCGTCATCAAATATTTTAAACACTGGCGCCAACGCATAATCTGGAACGGATGGGTTGGCATCGGCCTGTCCTGTGATCAGGAATGAACCGACGGGTCCGAAGGATGTCGGAATATTTAATATTGGTCCATTAGTAAAATCTATCGGGGCGAGAATGCTGAAACTTCTCCCAATTCCGAACTCCTCTTCAAAAACGTGGATTGCTTGCTGATTTAAATTTTCCCCGCCGAGAGAGCGATACGACTTCATGGCGGCAAAGGCAGGACCAAGTGTGTCCAAATCGTAGCATTGAGGTTGTAAGTTCCCACCGATTTGGTACCCTATGTTGCCCGGGCTACCTTGGAAATCGGCATCAGGATAGAACCTCCATCTGCAAGTTCGTAGAAATAGTTTCAATTTTCTAACAATAATTCATGCTGATCTGTAACCCTGTAAAATTCTGGAATGTCAAACTTGTATTAGAAAGGGTACAAAAAATTTACGAAAGTTGCAAATTTGCATCAATTTTAGCGCACAGATTTAGAATTATTATGTATTTTTAAAATATGTATTTCCACAAAAATTTCCCAGCTTACAAACATCCGAGTGAATCGGGCTACTAATTTTTGTTACGAAATTATCCATTCACATAATGTGTTCGATTACTTACATTCCGATCCCACAAACGACGATTGACACGTCTGGAATGAGGGTCAAGAAATCGATGAAACCCTGCTCGTTGCTGGGGACATCGGCCTCCTCCAATTTTAAACTGTACGGTCCTAAATTATTTCCAGGTTGAGTGAAAATTAGTACGGCTGGAGTGACTTGGCCATTAATTTGTACCGCTATGGTGACAATTAGCACTACGGACAGAATGGTTTTACAAAAATGGCCCATTTTATTATACTGCCAATTTAAATAAGGAATATATTTATGCAAAGAAAATTAAATGGAAAGCCAATGATCCATTTATTAACCAGGTTTTTTGTGGTTATACAACCTACAAAAATTGAACAATGCACCGTCTGACATAATTATTTGTTTAATCGACATGTTTTACCTAATTGAAATCGAGATTAGATTAAAAGTATTGAGGATGAGTAAATTGATTGGATATGGAGTACGACCGAGTTATTTTATACGGCTGAGGTTAGAGTCATTTTTTTATTTAGATATTTAGAAATCTCAAAATGTTGCTTGCACCAATGTCGAAATTTGATGATATCGATATTGACATTAATTTCACATTTAAGATGAAACGAGTACTTTACAACTGCTTATGTATAAAGTAGAATTTTTAGAATTAATTAATATATTTGCATATGTTACTGTATACCAATATTATCCATTCACTAAAGAAAACAAGGATTCATACATTTTTTAGAACGCTCGTTAAAATTCAAAAATTTTGTTAACACAATTAATGTTGGTAAAATCTAGTAGCAATATTCAATATGTATTATAAACCGTTGAGTCATAACTATAAATTACGATAATTAAATATAAATACGTACACCATCATATATACATATTTCATATTGATAAATATACATGTTAAATATAGGTACTCTTATATTATATTGATGTGTATACATATACTCATATGCATACATATGAGTATATGCATTTATATATGTATGTATCCTAGCGACAAATTGCACTTATGTACATAAATACCTACATATGCAACGTTTGTGAATTCATGTCGCATGATGGAAAATGCACGCTTATTTATCTGGTTTAAGTGAACTTTCCACGTTCAAATGCATAATTATATGACAACAATCTCTTACCGCTGTTCCGATAATTGCTTTATCTATATTTTATGTGTATACTGGTTATAGGCTAACGAACACAACAGGCACTTATTTACTGGATCTCATTCTCAAATTGAATATCTAAATGTATTGATAACGCTCAACATACAATCCCATTAATTAAAAAGGTTACCGGGTCATAAATCAAAGCGTATATAACAATCACCCACTCCAAAATCAATGCACTTTCTTAACTCGTAGATCCATCAATATCCGCGTGTATTGAAGCAATTGTGAGTTTAATGTTTGTGCAGATAACCATGGTGAGAACTGCACACTTATCTGGTTTACATGGCCCCTCCTTGCGTACCAAACGCATGTTCATGTTCAAAAAAGTACTTATGTAATCGAGAGACATAATTTTCTCTCCGGGTTTTTGAGAATAGTTTTATCTATATTTGATGTACATGCACACGTTTATAATCCAGAGTGACAAAGCACAGGAACTTGTTTACTTTACCTCATTCTAAACTGTAATGGGTGAATTGCCCGACAACGTGCAACATACATACATACACTTTGTCGCATTACATGCGTCTAATTATGCAAAAGATTAGCAGGGAAGATTTAATTAATTAGACATTATTGCAAATGTACATACATACATAAGTATGTACACATGTATGTACATCCGTATGTACATAAAGTACGGAATCGGCGTAAGACTAACCTACATAAATTGTACCAACTCGGACTTTTGCTCCAATTTTATTGCATGTTTTTTTAAAATAATAGTAGCAGAAAGTAATTTAAAATTGCTTTAAGTAAAATTGTGGCAGGCAATCAGTAATGTGACGCATACATAAATATTCCATTCATTCACCAATTAAACCCGCACAATTTTCTGCTTCTGAGTCACCCCATTTCCTGGAATAAACCCCAAGTTGTCAGTCCCCCGCACATCCACGCTCTTTGGACAAAATGCTCTCGGATCGTCACTAATCTGGTCGTACGAACGATAATCAATAGCCCCCACTGTGATCGTTGTTGGAACTCCGTTTTCATCATCGAAATTCATTGTCCCCTGAAAATGAAACTTGTTGGCACTGGCTGAATTATCGTTTCTCAAAATGAAACACACCGGCGGCTTCAATGGGTCGGGAGTGCCGGAAGGAAAGAGTTTAAATACTGGCACCAACTGGTCTTGTGGATTAGTCGGGATTACGTCCGCCTGTCCCGTAATCAAAAAGGAACCTACCGGCCCGAATCTCGAGATATCTACGGGGCCATTCACAAAATCGTCTGGGAAGAACAGGGGGCTATATATTCCGACTCCGTACACTCCGCTAAATATGTGAATTGCTGGTTGGTTCATGTTATCCGGGGGGAGGACCATCGAACGGAATGATTTCATTGTCGCGAGAGAATCCCTGATCCCGTCAATATCGAAACATTCCTCGACAGGGCTGGAACCAATTTGATACCCGATTGTGAGTAGATTAGGAACGGTGAAGTCGGCCTGAGGGTAGAATCTCCAGCTGAAATTTTTATTAATTGTGAATATAATGGTGGTGCTTTTTAAAAGAATTCATAAATTTTAAGTAATAAATATTTTGTCTGAAGGTAAGTACTCACGACAACGTCTTATTTCGCGTCTCAACTCATTTAGCAATCTTGCCAAGATCAAAAAATTTGTGTCGTAAAGAGATTCGCTAAATAAGCCTGCATAAATCTACTAAAAACAACTATTTTGACGTTGTTCCCATGGATTTCTGTAATTTTTTGATTGATTGATTGTGATTGTGGGGATGAGTTTGGGAAAACATAATTGCATCAAATAAAAACATGTCCATTATCTAAATACATAGGTAAATCTGCGAAAAAATCATTTCCAGCAACAGTTTTGCGAAATCTCGTAAATTTCGCAAAACTTCACAAACTAAATATTTATGCTTATTCGCGAGATACATGAAGGTTGACGTGAGTACGCTCCCTATTCGTCGTCTTACATTCCAGTACCACAAGCAGCAATCGTGCCCGGATTATTTGTGAAAAAATCGGTAAATTCTACACCCTTCGGATCCAGAAGAACATTAGAAACTCGCCCTTCAAGCCGTAAAGTGTTTCCAGTGCCGATCTCTATCAAATCTAGTTTGGGAATGTTTGCAACCTGTCCTGTTCCCAGTGTTGCTGAGAAAATCACAAGCAGCGTTACGCAACTGAGAAAATCAAAATTCGCCATGGATACTTTGTTGTTACAAAGATTAAGCCGGCTTCTCTTCAGACGATCAATTACAACCTTACTGTCAGAATTACTTACATATTATCCTCTTCGAAGCATTTTATTGCGTTGGAATTAATTAGGTGAACGTATTGTTCATTGTTTGAAGATAAGATTACTAAATTGTTTCAACCTGGTTATACCGTTGAAATTTGGGTCTTTGCATTTGATTACACTTTTATTTTTCACCTTTGTGTTTACTTATCAGTTTGCCCAATTCGAGCCTCTGTGGTCTATATATTTGTATATTTTGTGTCATGAAGTACATCTTTATTTGAACATCAACACATGCACTAAGCGCATTGCACTTACATATCTTACATTACATGTAAGTTTGTGCAGGCTAATTGGGAAATAGATAACGGGGAAATTGGAACGGATGCACCCAGAACATTTTTTTGTTCGTGGTTTCTCCTAAGGGGGTGGTGCAAGGATGAATATTTTTCAACAAAATCGAAAAATCAATAGTTGGGGAATTCCATGCAATTTTGCAATGAATTTGGTTGTTAGCCTAATTTTACAAATTATAATATTCTGTACCAACGACCTTATCCGACCTATATGACCCCTACTGGACCGATCTTAACAATCTCCGAGCTTATTCTTCATTTCCGGAGATGAAGGCCAGGATAAAATGTATTTATTTCATTTTTGAAACGTGGTTGACAACCAAATTCATCGCAAAATTGCATGCAATTCCCCAACTTTTGATTTTTTGATTTTTTTGAAAAAAAAATATTCATCCTTGCACCACCCCCTTAGCAGCACCGTAACAACAGTGGTATATGGTGGTACCAAATACCAGGCCCGGGATCCACAAGGGCCCGGGCCGGGTCGTTAGCTTTACACTAGATATAATGGACTTTTTTTAGTATTAAAGATTTTACAAAAAAATTATTCCACGCAAATAAATTTTCTAACGTTAAGTTGGTAGATCTCATTTGTTTTTCATGTGTAATTATTTTTATATGAATTTCATTGGCTTACACTTTTGCATGGATTTAGAGCAAACATTATGTGTAATTTTTACATTTAATAGCTTGACTTTCGAATTTTAGTTAATATGCAAAATTCTGATTTTAGCCGTTACTGCATTTCAAAATTCGTCTATGTAAAAGCGAAATTAGGCCTATTAAAGAAAACCTAAAGGTATGGGTCGAATTATTTCTCTGCATTAGCAATTTAAAATTTGTAGGGTCAAAATCGGAGAAGATCACTTCATGCCTTCGCATTTTTAGTTACAATTCCTATTAATTATTCATTACTGATTTACATAACTAATCATCATCATCATTAATGATTTACAACTCAATTACAATTACTGATTACTCCGTACAGGTCTTCATTCGTTATGGAAACACGCAATACATACATACCTATGTATGAATATTTGCATCTATGGATGTATGTACAACTCTTCGAATAAGAATATATTGCCAGAAAATCCATAATTCTTAGGGAATATCAAATAACGATGGAATGTGCCCCATAACATTCCAATGTAATCGAGTCAAAATTATACAATTCTCATGAACATAATGCTTATCAACAAATGCGTGGTTGCACTCACTTCCGGAAAGAGGATTATCTGTACGACTAAGTTCTTGATGCAATTAGTTATGTAAATAATGAAGATCTGCATGACATATTTTGCATGCATAATAAGAACTTTACGTCCGGTAGTGGGATTAGCTGGAGGCAATGAGATTACGTAATTGCATGAAATTTCGGTATATAAACCTCAAACTCAAATTAAGTTAGTACATAGTCGTCTGATCACCTCGGTAGTAATTTTACACCTTGTAAACACCAAAATAGTCTTGCATGGGTGAAATTTCGGCAAACAATTAATTATGAAGAAACTGAACTATGTACTGGAGAAAAATTTTAAATTACCGTCATTCCAAACTTGCGGTCTATTTTGTTTCACGTTGGTGTTCTTTGGAAATGCTCTGGCTGAGGAATTAATTCAAGTAAGAATACGTCAAAAGTTAAATCTGTATACATATATATGTACATACCGAGGAATTATTTTTGCTGGTCACCTCATTAGCATAAATCTCACTGTCCCCATTCTCGACGATAGCGTGTTGAATAAACTGCAAGTTTGTCGTTAATACGACAAAATATGCAAATGAGGTAACTAGCCGGAAAAATTCTTCCGCTCAAAGTGGATAATAACAAAAAATTGATTTTAAGGCTGTTTTATCAGTTTAAAATATTTAAATTTACGCGTCTTGTATTTTTAGACACAAGTTCGGAACTCAGACTTTATTAATACCACAGCCCTCAACTCTCGAAACGGGAGAAAGTTATTCAAGGGGCCCGGATTTTGGTTCGCCGAGGGAATTTTGACCAGCTTATTTAATGCAGCAAATCCACCACCTCGGCCGCCAACTAGAACCCCTTCAACTACTACATCCCTACCAACTACGACAACTACATCGCAACCAATTACGACAACTACAACATCCCAACCAACTACAACAACACCAACGACTACCACATATAGACCGCCAACAACCGTCCCTACAATTACACCAGGACCGCCCATAACTGTCCCGACAATTACGCCCCCACCGCCGATAACTGTCCCGACAATTACACCACCACCGCCGATAACTGTCCCGACAATTACACCACCTCCGCCGATAACCGTCCCGACAATTACACCACCTCCGCCGATAACTGTCCCGACAATTACACCACCTCCGCCGATAACCGTCCCGACAATTACACCACCTCCGCCGATAACCGTCCCGACAATTACACCACCTCCGCCGATAACCGTCCCTACAATTACACCACCACCGCCGATAACTGTCCCGACAATTACACCACCTCCGCCGATAACCGTCCCGACAATTACACCACCTCCGCCGATAACCGTCCCGACAATTACACCACCTCCGCCGATAACCGTCCCGACAATTACGCCACCTCCGCCGATAACTGTCCCGACAATTACACCACCTCCGCCGATAACCGTCCCGACAATTACACCACCTCCGCCGATAACCGTCCCTACAATTACACCACCACCGCCGATAACTGTCCCGACAATTACACCACCTCCGCCGATAACCGTCCCGACAATTACACCACCTCCGCCGATAACTGTCCCGACAATTACACCACCTCCGCCGATAACCGTCCCGACAATTACGCCACCTCCGCCGATAACTGTCCCGACAATTACACCACCACCGCCGATAACTGTCCCGACAATAACTGTCCCTACGACAATCAGAGCACCGCCGATAACTGTCCCTACAACAATCAGATCACCGCCGGTAAGTGTTCCTACGATATCTACTACAGTAAGTGGACCCTAAGTGACTGCTCCGACTACAATAAAAATAGGGACAAGGACGAAACTTTAGACGGGAGAATACAGTCATGATGATAGGTGTAATTTTTTGTTATGTACATACAGTATAATTATACCATCCCTAAATTCTATCTATGATATATATTCATATGCATAAAACAATGCACATTAATGTAAATTATCACATTTTGACTATTTTAATTTGTAGTCTAAATATGTATGTATCTATGTATACAAGTGAATTGCATATTAAAAATATTTATGTATGTAATTCGTTCTGTTCACATACGTAAGCTTGTTTAAATCCATCTCAAATTTTGTTACAAACTTGTTTCTAAATCATTAATTACAATAAAAAAATGATTAAAAACATTTAAAAATCAGTTTTTTAAATGAGTTCCTAAAAAATGTACGCATTTCTAATCCTAAAACTCTACTATCAGCCACTTTCAAAAGTCCGGCCATGTGATAGTACACTAGTTCAACTAGTCTAGTTGTATACATTAGTCCAAAATTTAGAAGTCTTGACAATGCATGTCTAGTTCATAATGTGGCTAAATATGCAAATACATATGATCTACATATATATATGTATGTATGTATGTAACTACATTTAAACTGGAATTTCTTCACGCTTTACGAACCCTGGTACATCAAGGAAGGTATGACAGTCAAGTTCATTGTGAACCTCCGACAATTATGCATCAAGGTAATTAATTGATAACGTTTAACAAGCCATAATTAGTCCAAAACTAGTCATGTTGCATCACATCTGCTCGTGTAAAAATCTCTGCGGGCAAATATCAAAGCACAGGATTTCATACATGAACCTTATCTAAATCTATATATGTACTTATGAGCACCTTTCATTATACTTAATTGAGTCCACCCGACCAATTGTGACACTTTTTTGGTGAGTCCTGTCCTCGTCACCCAGTTCGCATGTCATTGTCATGGTTACAAAAATGCTGAAATTTTGGGCAATCACACTTCTTGGAGGAGCCTATTGCACGGCCGCTACGGCTACAGGTGAATCTTATTTGTGCTAAATGATTAATTATATAAATATTAATTAAAAATTTGATACACTTTTTAATTGATTTTTAAATCTATCTAATCCAGGTTTCAAGTATCTCGGCTCTACAGCATTGTCGACTTATACAATTAGCGAGGCTACAGTAAGACAAAATAAATAATTGATAAACTCAGTAATTAATTTTAGAGTTAAGGTTACCCATTCTCTCATTTTTTTCGAAAAATAAAAATACTTGAATTATGCAGTTATTTAAAAATATACAATTATTCCAATAAAAATTTGAACATTAGAGCAATTGGAATGGAGCCTTGGTCGCATGTAATCAAACCGACATGAGGCTTCTTTCTGTCGAGACTGCCCAAGAAAATCTTGAAGTTCGACTTTTCATGGTGAAAAATGACGCTGGTGAGGGACCATTCATACTTTTAGACATTTATTTGACCATTTTTTTTACATTTTTCTCATTTGCAGAATTTACAGTATGGACCTCAGCCGCGTACAACCCTGCCCTGACAAAGTACATCTGGGCACCGACCGGAGAGGATGTCAATGTTGGCGAGTTGAACGAATGGGAAGCTGGGCACCCGATGAATTTAACCGGATACGCTGCTACCGTTACCAATGACGTTTTCAAACCGACATCCACGTGGTCCAGTAGTCTCCGAGGAACTTTGTTACGTTACGTTTGTGAAGGAGACAAGTAAGAGTTTTTAGAAAAAAATTGGATACAAAATCTTGAAATTTTGAAACTTATGGGTTTCAGTCCTGTGACGACCACGACCGATTCGACTGCCACGACTGAAGAAACCACCGCGACAACCGAAGCAACCACGACCGACCCGACTGCTACGACCGAAGTAGTGACCACAACCACACCACCAACGACCACATTAGCCCCCACCTCGTCTCCTACGGGTTCAGTAACCACTCTCGTAAGTTGAGAAGTCAACTGCAAATTTTCCCTGAGAAAATAAATTTACTAAAATATTTACGTTAAGGATCCCATCGACTGGGTTTGTCCGGACGGCTATACCGGTAACATTGGTCACCGTACAACTGCTCGCTCTACTACACATGTGACCCAGATACCACGCCAATCTTAAAATTGTGTGGCGGGGGATACTTTTTTGATTCGGTAATTATTAAACTTAGTATGCAGTTACTCCAATTAAATGGCTACTATTTTGATTTGGTAATTATTCAAATTTTGTGTATGTATACACTTGTCATCCAGTGGGAGAGGTTTGCTTGCCGGATACCGTTCGAAGTACCGATGTGCAGTTCGGGAGTCCCACCGACAGGATCGCCACGACCGCCCACAACTTCACCAGGAAGCACATTGGTAAGTTGCATACAGTTAGAAATTTAGTATAGTCAGGCAGGTATTGATTTCTCGGTATTAAAGTTGAATAGCTTGTTATACCGGTTCCGTTTCCTACCGACATGGTAAAACTTTAATACTGAACTATTACTACACGGTATTATTAATACCACCTTGGTAGAGTCATATATTTATATGAATACCGCTTGGTATTATTTTAATACTGGATTTCTAAGAGTGTAGAAATTTAATAAACTATTTACATGTTGAAATAAGAAGGATCCCATCGACTGGGTTTGTCCGGACGGCTATGCCGGAAACATTGGTCACCCATTCAACTGCTCGCTTTATTACACTTGTGCCCCACCAGCCACTCCAGTTTTAGAAATATGCGGTGGGGGATACTTTTTTGATTCGGTAATTATGTAAATATACGTTAAAGTTTATATGTAAAAGTTAATTAAGTACGTAAATAACTTCAAATTTTGGTTCTTGTCTTCAAGTGGGACAGGTTTGCTTGCCGAATACCGTTTGAAGTGTCCATGTGCAGCCCGAGTGGAATACCACCGACGGGGTCGCCACCCACGCGGTCAGCATTGTTTTAAGGATATTTTATGATTGCGACGAATTTAAATTTTGTGCTAAATAAAAATTATTGTTCAAACCAAAAGTGATTAATTTCTTGTACCTTTTCCATATTTATTGCACTACTGCTTTGTAAGAAATAAGTAAGCGCTACATATCTGCCCACTATTCACACTAAATATATCTAATTGTGCGTTAAATGGTGCTTATTTCTTGCATTTTTACAGTGTTAATTACACTAGTGCAAGAAATTATGCCTGCAAAAAAACAATTTCTGGTGCATGATGTTTTTCAAACCGAATGCGTTTTTAATCACATGTCGGGTAAATACAGAAGCAAATGTATGGTAAAACTTTAATACCGAGGTATTACTTCACGGTACTTATCAATCAATACCAATTGGACAGAACAGAGGCATATGTATGTGCATACATATGTATTTATGTATATTTATGAATACCGCTTGGTACGTACATATTACAGATATTTTAATACTGGATTTCTAAGACGTTTTTCCATCTTTGTGATAAAATTTTGAAATTGCAATTTGCATTTTTGCAAAGTTATTTTAGTCGTTTTTGTAGTCGTATATTTTACAGAGTGGAAAATGAAAGTAAAACTTTGCAAAATGACACTGAAATGAATATGAAAAGTATGGATAAGATTAGGAACTGTAATGCATTTCAAGTTTGCATATGCGTACGCATTATCTACTAGCATTTAGTTTAGTTCGCCAAGCCAACGGGGACAAATTCTGATACACATCCGGCAGGAAATTCTTGAGTGGATAACGTTTGCTTACCTGTTACCAGTATCGCATATTGGTCAGGTCACTTAATTGAGTCAGACCACACCTGGAATGTGGGGCTGCTAATGCATGCGACAAATTCCGATATGGAAGATTATGAAAATCTAGGACAGAAATTATGCACAAGGTTGTCTGGAGTTTTTCTGGTGCATATAAATAAATCAACTGTCTGTTAAATTGATCACTTGGTTTCAAATCACTTTACGGTACTTAATTTGTTCCCAGATTTTAACGAAATAAAACATGAGCTACTTAACTAATATTAGGGGACGTCGACATTTGTTATGTGTTCTTTTCATAGTTTTAACTACAGGTTTAAGTCCGGCCAATGGGGGAGGAAGTATTGAGGTAATTTTCAAAAAATTTTAATTTTTGTCGTAGCATTTTTGTCCATAATTGTTTTGGGTGTACTCACGACACGACACCGTGTTATTTAGTTTCCCATGTTATTTAGCAAATAGTCGTACGAAATAAAAGCATATGAATAAATTAATTTTTTAGACACATTTTCGAACAAAAATTCCATCGTTTTACAGCAAGCTGTACAAAATCTCGAAAATTTTGCTAAACTTGTCCGATTAGGTTAACCTCCTCAGTTTGCGATTTTGCAAAAGTTACCATGAGTACGCCCATTGTTCTTAAAAATCGCATTAACATATTTATACGTATAAATAATAATGAAGTGGACAATTCCCAATTTTCCAGAATCCCGCATCTCATAATTTAGTCAAAGATTCCGACAAAATCACTGGATTCCGGAACGGGAGGAAAATAAAATTGCCAGGAAAATGGTATCTTGAGAACATTTTGACCAGAATTTTCAACGCTGCAAATCCTCCTCCTCCTCCACCCGATCCTGCAACAACTATTAGTCCGTCAACAGCTTCAGGTTTTTCATATTCAACTTTCGAACATTAATTTATTTTTGCTTTCTTAATAATGGGAAATAATGGTTCAGAAACTTTTGCAACAATTGATGAAGGGTCTTCTACACCAACCGTACCGGGAACGTTCCCCACAGCGCCTACAGGACCGGTAACTTTCCCTACGGTACCACCTACTCCGGCAACTTTCCCCACTGTACCTACAGGACCAGTCACTTTCCCTACAGTACCCCCTGAACCAGTAACGTTTCCTACAGTACCCACCGGACCGGTAACGTTCCCTACAGTACAATTGTCCACCGGACCGGTAACGTTCCCTACAGTACAATTGTCCACCGGACCGGTAACGTTCCCTACAGTACAATTGTCCACCGGACCGGTAACTTTCCCCACAGCACCCACCGGACCGGTAACCTTCCCTACGATACCAGTATCCATCGCACCGATAACTTTCCCCACAGTACCCGCAGGACCGATAACCTTCCCCCCAATAAGCCCATAAGATAAGTGGTATTTCTTTTCTCAATTATGTATCCAGGTTTGCATAAATCTGAAAACTTGCCATTTGATGATAAAAAGACACAGGAATCAAATTTGTATACATTACGAACTAATTATCTTCAGACGGTATGTACCAATTCATACGAAATATGTAAATTCGAAATGAGTTGAACATTTAAATGAATAAATCAACTAATGTTGCAAAAATTCCAGGAAAGATTTGCATTGAAAGCTGAACATCATTTCGTATCTATTGACACATTTTACATACACTAGTTCGTTTTAGGTATCAATTGCATATACATTTGCACACGGTGAGCGTACAGTTTTACCTACATATGTACATACTGTAGTTATACTCAAATAAAAATGGTATGGCCTAAAAGGAATGGACACATTATTGGCGTGTGAAAATTTAGCCTGAACTTTTAACAAGGTGACATAACACCCAATTGTGTCCACTTATCTCTCACAAATGGACTTATCAGTAGCCCAATCATTCTGACATACTCCAAAAAACCATTTGCCCACATCGCATTTGCCTAATGTATGTATGTATATTTATTTCCTTAATATATATGCACATATTAAGCATGTAACCATATCGACACAGATAAAATAAACGAAATATTTTTATTTCGAAATTTGGCAATTCAACTTTATTACAAACTTTCTAACCCCAATCATGTACAATAAAAACTGCATACAATTTTGTTTAAAATTTCCATAGCATGAAAACTAATCAAATTTCTTAAAATTCTCCACCCTCTCAAACATCTGCGGAATTCCAAACGCTGGTGTCCTCAGCTGGCCGACTGTGGACCTTACTGGACAATCCGTAGGAGCAGCGCCCTCCAAATCGAGCGTAAAATGGCGAAAACTTCCCATCGTTAGTTCTTTTGTCAATCCATCAGCGTCATCAACGTATCTCATGACCTGTTGAAAATGCATCCGTCCAATTTCCGTAGCACTAATTTGCCCGTTGAGAATAAAACAGACCGCTCCGTTGGCCGGATTTCCTAAGGGGTCTGACATGATTTTGATAACCGGTGTATTTCCGCCAGTAGCGTCTGGGGTAGACGGCTGAGCTCCCGTGATGGCGAAGGATCTGACGTTGCCGAAAAGTGAGGGGATATTGGCTTCTACATCTTCCCCATCGGTTGCGTATGGGGGCAAGGTTTTTCTGCTTCCACCCCCGTAAGTTTCGGTAAAGATGTGAATAGCGTCCAGATTCAAATCTTGTTCGCTAATACTTCGATATGAACGTGAGCCCCTGAGTTCGATTCCGGTCCCAACATTGTAACATATCTCCTTATCATTCGCCCCGAGTTGATATCCCATCACGGAGGGGTTGACAACTTCATAAGTAGGGAGGGGAAAGAATCTCCATCTAGGGGTTTAATTTAAATTTTTACATATGACCTTAAACTCGTTGCATAAAGTGTTTCGCTTTTTGCGGGTTGGTTCAATTTTTGCACGGAAAAGCAAGAAATGCAAGGTGCAAGATACATGCGCCATCTAGTCAAGAGCCGTACAAAATATAGCGGGAAGTGGTTTCTTGCGCCTTGTATTTCAAACTGGCTGCAAAATGGAAGAATTTGACTGTCGCCCCGGAGTGGGAGTTTTAAAATGCTGTTTCGTTCTAAATTCTGATGCGATTATAAAAATTGAAAGCATTTTTTTAAATAGTTAAATTTTTGCGGCTTTTAAATTTAAATTGACGTATTTATGTACATCTTTAGTCAGGCCCAAAACGCATTTGCATACGTATATTTCTGACTTACATCCCTGTGGCACACGCAATAATGGTCACTCCGGCTGGTGGGGTTAGAAAGGTTACTAACTCTGTCGCCATACTCATGTCAGGTACCTCTAAAGGGAGTAAGCCCCCCGTGGGATACGACTGGCCGTCACTTCGGTAAAAGATGATGTTAGCTGGAATAACTTGCCCCCACGATTCGGATATCGCGGAGAGCAAGACAATCGATAGGAGCCGTAATTTACTCATTTTTAAGGGTATGTATGTATTCTCACTAATTTTAATTAATCGAATGATGCCTTAGCAGACTGCGAGCTCCACTTTTCATTCGGTGTGTTCATCGGATAAAATTAATAATTGGTGGTCAATCAAATGATAAGATAAGACTCGTCCAGTAAAGCATGACATACATCATATTAGGGGACAAAATTCTGACTTGTGTGTACGATACATATGTATTTAAGTATTGTGATTATTGTGTGACAATCTATGTACATATACCTAGTTGTAAAGGCTCAAGTGTCACTAGCTGATTGCTAAAAAACTACGCTCCAGAATTAAAATCTGATAAGTGCATTAGATTCGCCATGCGATTTACATTATGATTCACTATGGACTTCGTAATTTTTGAACATCTGGATAAATACATAGGAAATTGAAGAGAAGCGGGCGGCGATAGTTTTTCACAAAAAAAATCAAAGAAATATAGTGAATTTTATATGTGTTGAAAAAGTCAAAGTTGTACTTTAATTTAGCCCAACGGACTATAAAAAGGTTCATGGGGACCGTATCGACAAAGAACATTCGAAGAAGAATTTTTTGAAAACCTCCAAGGACCACACCCATCGTGAAACCTCTCAAGCCTGAAATCCGAAGAAATTCATGAAATTCCAACGGAAACCGGGCTCACTGCTGACAGTGTGGATGCAACTTATCCAATAAGTGTTCAAACTGAACCCTAGGCTTAGGGCTTTGAAACGAAGTACTTGCCACCTGCTGATCGTACCCCAGAGGAAGGCCAGATTAAAGAAATGTAGGAGTCACCTAAAGCGGTACGCTCCAAAACAGAGAGCAGGATTCTTTTTACAAATGAGAAGATTTTCACATCAGAAAAATCTTTTAACAAGCGAGTTGATCTAATCTACGTAAAATCGGTCAAAGACATTCCCCGATATAGACAAAAGGTCAGAAGGTCACATCATCCAGGTTTTTTGATGATTTTGGCCGGTAGGAGCTAATTGGGTCAATTTCTCGACATTTTGCTGAAAATGGGGGGGAGGTGGGGAAATAAAATTTCTTAAAATATGTTTTTGAGTCCGTGGTACATCCCTTAAGTGAAATCCAATTCAATGGAATCGATGGGACCTCTCAGCAGGACTCAGCACGAATTTACAGTGCAAAAAATGACCCCAGCGTAGCTAAAAAAAACAAATTCCGGTCTTTATCTCTAATCAGAAATGGTCAGCATCCTTGCTGGATTTGAATCCTGGGAATATGAAAAATGGTCAAAGTTAGGGGCAAAGGTGTGTTCTAAGCCCCGTAGAAGTGCGGAAGCTTGGAAAAAATTTCTGACCCCGGAATTACACAAAATGCCCCAGGAATCTGTGCGTAATTCCATTGAGGAGTGGTCGTCTCGTCTTCAGCGTGGCATTGACGCCGGAGGAGGAACTTTTTAGGACTAAAAATTGTGTCCAACTTGAAATTTAACTGGCTTTTAAATGCAATCAATCAGAAATTTGTATTGCTAAAATTACAAAAGTTATAGCCCTCTAAGTTACTGACACTTGAGCCTTTACAACTAGGTATACGACTTGGCACATAAGAATCTGGCTCATTTACTAATAATTGTATGTATGCATTGATTATTTGCCTGGTCTAAATGTAAATTAAATTGGACCGGATGACATAATTAGATAAAAACTGTCCGTGTAAAACAGTTCAACTAAACTATGTAGTACCATTATACAGCAGGTGAGTGTATACATATGTACATCTTGCATATTTAGTAGTCGATTTAAATACCTGGGGTTAGAGGTCAACATACCCATACTTTTAATGACAATGTGATATATGTATATATATAAACATTTTACTCGGAGAATTTTTGTCTTAAATAAGTAAGTATTTTTACCGAAAATTTGAAATGATTAAAATTTTCAATTCTTGTTTCATACTTAATTATATGTATACGTAGTTATCTAAAGGATGATTCATGATGATTGGATATGCATGATGCAACTGTTTCACAAAAACGCGTCCACAGACTGAAAATCTGAAATGAATTTTTTCCCATAACTCCGGATCCTCTAAACGCAAAGCGTGTTGGACATGATTAAAAAAAAATCATGGAAACTTCTTCACCACCTACAGAAGTAGAAGTAGAAGACTGTATTTCTCACTATGCATGCACAGTACGTATGCATATATGTACATACATATGTACATAAGAAGTTGGGTATTTTATTTACTGTAATTTGCACGTATTTATCCATATATTAGGGAAATTGCAGGACTATCTAATTTCTTCGATAACAATATGATTTTCTTATACATCGCTGTTTAAAAACTGGGAACGCACTATTCACCTTGACCTTCAAATTAGGGACTCCCACATTTAATGGCATGCTATGCATTTTAGTAAAATTCAAATATAATCACACATCGAGCTTACAAATGATAAACAGTATGAATTTCTCACTCTCAGCCGTAGCATGGTAAGATTTCCTTAAAATTTTGATAGAATTAAATCAATAGTGAAGAAAATGCAGGCAGTCAAGATTCAAGTATCAATCAATTTTGCTGTGTCAGATAAATTTTCTAACGCGATTAAACAAAGTGTAAAATCTGTGAGTGGAAATAAGTATGAGTTTACAACCCCATTTTTCCTTCCCACGCTGTACCGGAAGAGTTTTGAAGATCTGACCAACGCAGGTAAATATTTGCTGTTGTGACGAACTTTTATAAATTTAGCATATTTAGTATAGCCAAAGTACTTGGAAATTTCGTATACATATTTCCAACTTGTTTTTTCCTGGAAATTTCTGCTTAACAAAATTTCTCAGTAAACTGGTAGTGTTTTTACCTCGTGAATTACTTTGAGTTACTACAATATAAAATAAGACTTTGAGGTGAGTACACCCAATACATTATTTATCAGTACGTTTCAATTGCGCTTATGCAAATTGCAATTCTTAAATTTTATAAGTGTACACTAAGATTTCGTACAATTTTTGATATAATTATATATATGCCTACAAATACAAATTCTTGCTACTATTCGTTCAGAATTAATATGCACTAAAGTCCTCAAAATTGTGCATATTTATTCTGCTTTTTAGTTGAAAATCTGATAAAAGTTGGAGAATAGTGTATTTTTAGACAAAATCAAATTATGGAACCCAATTCTTCGCCAAATAACCTTTTTAGATTTTTACCGCATACATAATAATTTTGAACACCAGTAATACTTTTATTTCACGAGAACTACTTTCTCCAGTACCTATGCTTCTACGATTTATTTAACGCAAACTTTGTAATCCGCCCAGAACGGGATGACATCCAAATCCTGGAAGGTCTTCAACGTACACTGGCGTCCTGGCTGGACAACCAATTTCCCACGGTTTTGAAGTCTGGGAGTTCAACCAAAATTGCGAGACATGTCGTGACCTATGTGACCTTCTGCGGTCCGCACGTGGCTCTCGATTCCGCTTTATTTCTCAGCATTGCAAAACCCATGGCGATTGGACTCTTACTCGATTTCATGGCGGATGATAAAGAATTATTTTACGGATTGGATACGACCCTCTTGCGCCACGGGGTGGAAACCTTGCACAACTCGATAAATGAGTTACGAACCTTGGATGTCGCTCTAATCGGTATGAAAAAAATTAATACAATTTTATCGTAAAAATATAAATGAGCGTACTCACGACAGCGTTTTATTTCGCATAAGCGAAATAAAACGCTCTCATATATCTCGAAGCGAAGAAAAATATCTTGAGGGGATTCGCCAAACATGAATTTGTAAATCTTGCAAATCTGTATGAGTATTTCTGTTATCCGATCTTAATTTTATTTCCACGGATTAGTTGAGATTTCTAAAGCATTTAGAAAGGATGATTAGCGAAAAAATCTTGCGAAATAAAGACAATTGCTGGGTAAGTTTGCGAATAAAATCTTCCAGCAAAATATTTTCGTAAATTTCATAAAACTTCTTAAGTCATGTTGATATGATAAATTTACGAGATATGCGTATGTATGTATGTATGTATATCTTTATTACTGTCTTTCCCAATTCATTGCATTTATCGTACAAGTACAACAACAATGGTCTACCACTGGTGACACACTGGTCATATACCATATATTTAACTATTCTATATTACTAATTATTGCTAACTAGTTAATAGTATAAAAATTCTTTAGTTCTTTTCTGTACAATGATTTCCGTTATTTCTTCTTTAAAAGTAGTGAAGTTCATTTCGGAGACATTGAGTGATCTCGGTAGATCATTCCATAATATTTTGGTTCTATGATCTATTGATTTCTTTTAAATTTCAGCTTTTACATTATGGCTGGCTATTAAGGGTTTACAATTTGTTATTGTTCTTTGTGATAAAGATAGCTTGTTTCTTTTGTAGTCTTTATATGCACCCTTTAATGTAACAAAGTCGCGTCTTTCAGAGACAGTCAGGAATTTGCATTTCGCTCTGATTACATTCGCATCAATATTATTTAGTTTAATTCTTCCTTTTTTCTTACTTTTCCTTACAATTATCGGATAGAAATAACCTATTAGGAATCTGTCGATTTTGTTTTGCAGTGATTTCAATTTCTGTTGTGGTTGGACTGCCCAGATTTCTAATGCATAGTCTATTGCTGAGTGTACATACGCATTTAGCATTATTCTCATCACATGGTCATTAAGGTTGCGTCTTATACCGTACATAAATTTGAGATTACTTGCTACTTTTTTTACAACATGGTCATAGTGTAAATTAAAGGACATGTGAGGATCTAAAATAACACCAAGGTACTTAAAGCTAACAACCCTTTCAATTTCTATGTCATCATTTAGTTTAATGCTACTTATTTTATCACACGTTTTGTCACATGGTTTTTTAAATATCATAAATTTGGTTTTATCAAAGTTCATATTTACTCCGTTTTCTTTGCACCATTCATTTACTTTCACGAGTTCATTGGTTAGTTCTTTTTTTAACAAATCTATATCAGTGCCAGATTTATATATAACCATGTCATCAGAATACAATAAGGTGTTACATAATAGGTTTTTTGTGACGTCATTTGAATAACAACTATATAATAATGAAGCAAGTCCCGAGCCCTGGCATAAGCCTCTCCGCATTACGTGGTATTTTCTGTCATTATTAATCCTAAATAACCGATTGCGAAATAGTTCATTAATTATCGTGATATACCATGGCTCTAATTTAAAATTATACATTAGTTTCCTTATAAGTTCTTGATGTGGTATCGAATCAAAACATTTAGTTAGATCTATGAATATGGGTAAAACTTTTACATTTGGTTTGTTTAGTTCATTGTAAATGTATTGAGATAATAATTTAATTGCTGTTATACATGATCTACTTTTTCTGTAAGCATGTTGTTCATCAACTAATTGTGCTTCCACTCTCATACTTAATCTATTGAATAGAAATCTCTCAAAGATTTTACAATAAACATTGATAATTGATATTGGTCTGTAGTTTTTTGCAACTTTTGTACCGCCCTTCCCTTTGTATATAGGAGTAATCATTGAAGTTTTTAGGGCTTGTGGAATTACAAAGTATGATAACATTTGAGCAAAGAGTAGTGTGAGAGACAACTGAATATTTAAACACTTTTTTATTATGTCCCTACTTGGATAAATATTAGAATTGGTTCCTCTATTTTTCGTAGCAGTGACGCATTTTTGCACTTCTCCTATACTTATTTCAACTGGTGTCATATCATATAGTTTAGAGTTTTCATACAATAATCACTAATCTCATTACTAAATTGCAGTTCAGTTTCTACTTTCATTACCGGATTCTTAACAGTAAACTCATCTGCTAGAATATTGCAAATTTCAGTTTATGATATGCGAAATATGCGATATATATGCGAAAGGTTGACTTGAGTACGCTCAATGATTTTCTCTCCGAAGAAATTCAGATTTCATCGAAATTTCAGACTTTTTAATCAAATATTTCTTCAAATATGTCGTTTAAATTCTGTTTACTAACAGAAGAAGCCATTCAGCTCAAGCTTTTCAAAAACAAGGAAATCCAGTCCAACAAATATGCCGCGATGCTGCTCGGATCCGCATTTGAAGTTGGGCTAGACACCGAGACGATTTTCGGAAGCAGAGAGAACGCTCTCGATCAGCGTTGGTTTTTCGAAAAATTATTTAAGGACGTTCACGTCGCTTTGTTACTGGCAGACGGGCAAATGGATGATTATTCCCTCAGCACGCAACGGCACTTTAGAGCAATTGTGAGAAAATAAAACCAAGTTAAATATTCGCAACTAAATTGGATTCGCATTATTTAAATTAACCACTTCACCCCTGAGAGACGCATATTTTCATACCTTTCACCCCTAACAACGTGGAATTTTTTCTTCCCTTGACCCCGGAATTTTCACCTACTGCATGACGTTAATTACTAGGAAATGAATTGAAAAATGGTGTTCCCAACGGAATTATTCTGGACAGTTTTTTATGAAAGTTGATACGAATAACCATTTGGGAACGGATTTTGAGTTGTAATTTGCATTTGTGCATTTTTTCGACCACTAATGTTTATAGCCGAAAATAGCCAACACGCCGAATTTTAAAAGTGATTGTAATTGCATTGAAAGTGATACAAACATTGAGTAATACTTACATAATAGTACGTAAATTCGCAAAAAATCGATTATCGCGCCTCAAGCGCCCCAAAAGCCGATTTGGGCGGGAAAATTAAACTTCGCAATTCTTGCTTTCAATTCTTTACATAGGCTATAATTAATTTAGTGGTTACATTAAAATGTGTAAAAATTGTTTCTTGTACATCTAGCTTGCATAAAATTTACGCACACTTTGGGCGGGAAGACCAAAAGTTCTTAAAATTAGTTTAAATTGACAACAGCGGGAATGAATAATTATAGCATCCACTTTTCTAAGCCAGACTTTAACGCATTTGGTGAATAGAACTCAATCTTAAGCGGGAAAATTAAATGCTATTAATTCCAGGCAGTCGCTTAATTTTCCCGCCTAAAGAGATTTCACCAGCTCCAGATGCGTAATAATTAATTTTGACGTATTTCGTCCTATAATATTAATTTCATACAATTCATCGAACGTTTAGTTTTCCCGCCAAAAACGCCCGTTGGTGCGTTCCAAATCCGAGAAAAACAATTTCTCTAGTCTTATCTGATAGCGCTGTTGAAATAGATGACGAAAATCCCGTCTCACAGGAATTTTCAAAACTGGGCGTGTTGGCTAGATATAGCCACCTGGCTATAAATTGTTTCTACTATCATTTATAACATTGATTCCGAAGAGGCAATTCATCTTCCGTCCAAAAAAGGGTTATTGTCTCAAAACTATACTTTCCTGGACTTGGAAGGGCAATGACCTAATTTTTTTTCGAATACGACACATAGTCGTAGGCCGGTGTGAACGGGCAATACGCCACATAGTCGTATCCGTTGTCAAGGGTCAATACGACACATCGTCGTACTCCGGAGCCAAGGGAACTTACGCCACATGGTCGTATTCGGTGTAAAGGTCAAATACGCCACATAGTCGTTATAGGGGCGAAGTGGTTAAATGAGAATTTTTGCAAAAACAAAAGTTCCAAATTCCAATCTTCTGATAGTTTTGAGCTTGTAATTTATGATGAATATAGTAAAAATCATGGTTTCGTTTTGGGAAGTTGTGATAAAACTGCTAATTTTTTGTCAATTTTTCAATATTTTGTTTAATAGGATGGTTCAATATTGCTAATGGTCGAAATCATCGCAATCACGAAAACGGCTACGTTAACTCCTAAGCTTACTGGAGATCCGGTGTTTGCACGATTTCGTGGCGTCATGGATGACATTTCGGCCGCCTTCAATGACATCCTCGGATTACAAAAGGATATCAAAAATGGTGAAAGCAATGGGATCGTCATGTTCAAGGTGAAGAGAGGAACGCCACTTAAACGAGCGTTGGATGAGGAGGTGGCAATTTTGGGGTGATAATTAAATTATATATATACAGTATGTCACTTTATTGTAGATGCAAGCCATGTATGCATTATATAAATCACAAATACTCCACAACGGGTTAATATTTCAAATTCGTTTTTAGGCCAATTATTAGCAATATTTCATACTACATTTGTGCAAAATTTCAAATGAATTGGGCTAAAACTGGTGAAGTTACAGATACTTTAATGTCAAAAAGTTGCAAATTGCACGCCACAAAATTGTAGATGCAGCTGAGTTTAATTACGATAACGACCCAGTCTTTCAGTCTACATACAAATTTTGCTCGAGAATGTTTATTTTGGGTAAGAACAGTTGTTTATATTGTCAATAGAAAATATTTTGTAGAAATTTTATTCCAAAATCGTACATGACAACGAGGTCAATCTAGGATTTCGGGCAGAAAATGTCGTGAGTTATAAAAAGGGTTAAGTTGTGGAAAAATTTTCGGAGAACATGAAATTTCACAAAATATTGTCAAAAGAATGGGATTAGATGGAAACTCTTGTGAACAATCATTTCCGTGGTCAAAAACGCAGCACATCGCCGAGTGACGATGACGCAATTATAAGAACAGTGAGGATAATCCTCGTCTGCTCAAACCAAAAATTCCGAAAAGTGTTTAAAGTGACCTATGAACTGATGACCACCTATAATGGATTATAAACAGGGAGGTATTCACTGAATTATCGGGAGATTTGGCAAAATAAACACCAAAGATCTCAAGGAGAGGCCATAAGAACTACTTAGCCTTGGTTAGGCAGAAGTCAGGACGTCCGTTTGTGTCAGGAAAAAATTTTAGTTTCCAGATTACGCCAAAATTCCATTTCCTGGGTCAGATGGAGTAACCAGAGTGCGGTATCAAAACGAAAGTTCGATAAATTGATTTCTTAGACCAATTGTAAAAAATAGACGTGTCAAGGAAATCTTAGCTGTGGGTACATATAGTATATGGTGTGAAACCTCTGAATTCTTGCAGGAATGTAATTGTTGGGGGCAGTCACAGTTAGGTCGGGGTATTAACACTCAAATCTGTCGCTTAGGTCATGACAAACAAGGCTTATCTTGACTTGCTGAAAATAAATCTTTGTCGATTTATAACAAAAGCTGACTTTGGTCAGCGATTTATCCTTCAACATGGCGAGTATTATATAAATATTTAAAAAAATCTTCTCAAAATGCTTCAAGGGTAATGGAATAGAGGTGTTGGGTTGGGTTTTTCAATCCCCTGGCCTCAGTCCGATCTAGCATTCATGGTGGGCCCTGAAGCTTCCTGCGGCAGAACGGAAACCGACAAATGCAGCTTCTCTGAAAACCATAGTCACAAAAGAGTGGTGGAAGATTGACCAAAGTGTCACTAATAGATTGGTAGATTCGATGTTAATACGAATTCAAGCTGGCATTGCCGCTAAAAGTAGGTCAGCAACATATTGAATTGGTTGTTCAGCTGCATCTACAATTTTGTGGCATGCAATATGCAACTTTTTGACATTTAAATGTCCATAATTTTGTCAGTTTTAGCCCAATTCATTTGAAATTTTGCACGAATGTAGTATTAGTATTGCTAATAATTGGTCTAAAAACTAATTTTAAATATTAACCCGTTGTGGAGTATTTGTACTACATATATAATGCACGCATGCCTTGCATCTACAATAAAGTGAGATACTGTAGACATATTTTCACTTGCACAGAAATGAACAAAAAAATGTAAAGTATGCTAACAAAACTTAAATTAATTTTTAAGACACAATGAGGCAATTCATGCAGTCATTGGTAATTTATAAAATTCGTTAGTTTTGTAAAACAATTTTACAAACTGTTACAAAGTAACAAGAAGTCCTTCATCTGACTAAGTTTGCAAAAATTTGTATGTCAATTTTCCTTAGAAATCTGTAAAATTTTTTGAATTGTCTGAATTGTCTCATTAATTTTTCAAACTTAAGTTCTTTAATTTTGTGAAAATGTAGCTTGTATCGAATAGTGAATTTATTTTGACTAGAATTTATAACTTTTTTCAGCGATAACATCCAAGACTATGAAAAACTTAAGGATATGCTTCTGTGCAACTTTCCCGAAGAGGAAAATCTCCCCCTCTATTTCGAAATTGCTGATTCCGTCCTCTTCGGACTGGTCCAGGTTTTCATAGAGTCTCCAATTTACGGGATGAAGGGGCAGATTCGGATCGATACGGGAAATTGAATCGACGAAAATAGGAACAAATTTGTGAACGGGGCCAAATAGCTTGGACGTTTCGAATTGAACGTTGTTTACATATGTACATATGTAGATCTAAATTCTAAGCAGATAAGTTCCGAAATAATAAAAAAACAAGGGAAAATAGATGATAACAAATATGCCAAAATTATTAACTCGTGATCTAATCATCTACAAATTTTTTGGAACTTATTTTGAAATCGTAAATAGGCTTAAATGCATACATACCCATGTTTGAAGCAAAAGTGGCATAATAAGTAATTTCACTTTGGATTAATTAATGCACAACAAAATTAATTTATTACAGAATTATTAAGTTGATCCGTCAGTGTGACCCTATCTGCGTCGTAACATCATCATCATCATCATACCATTCCCTTAAGGTTTGCGCTTCGGGGAGGTCAGGGTTCAACTGGGCAAAACGAAAAATAAATTTGCATACATGTGTATGTGTTTGCATATATTTGGTCTATGCGCATAATGAGTGTAAGTGTACATATGTACACATGCAATTACCAGGATTGTAGAAGCCATAGTACAAGAAATACTCTTTCCATTAAAATCAGAAACTTTCACTCGTTTGACAGCAACTACTGGATTATCGTCGTCGCGAAAGTCTTCAGCTTGTTTTCCCCACAAGGTGAGATTAATCTAAATTGTAGTAAAGATTAAGGATAATTAAATTACTTGATGATATGATAATATTACCGATGTTATCTGACTATTTAATTACCTGTTTGGTTTTGTCGACCAAAGTGATATCCCTCTTTGTCACTTGTCTACCGGTAGTTTTTGCCGTGAAAGTCTGCACATCACCAAGTTTTTTGCACACTCCGATAACATCTATGTACATATGCAGAGTACAATATTGTTGGCAAGGTTAGTTAGTTACACGAATATTTGTGGTGGGCGTACTCACGACAATTACATATCTTCGCATATCTTGCAAATAAAGCATGCAGTTGTAAATTTTGCGAGAATTTGCAAAAAAATTGCACGAAAACAATAAGATTTTTCTTTGCAAATTTATCCCAAAATTTTTGCATCTTCTCATTTAGCAACCCTTGAATTGCGATGCGAAAGTAGACGTTGTCATAAATATTTACGCCCATAATTATCATATTTATTTAATCTATCTGAAATTTACTTACCAATAACCTTGTCTTTTTCAGCCTGCTCAATATTTGCAATTTTCATAAAATCGAACGACACAACGGGAATATTACTGGGGTCCGTACAGCGAGCAAGCTTGGTATTTTGAGTGGCAATCAATTCATAGTCATTTTTCAGCATGACAAACTTCTTGTTTGCTTCTTTCACACCGAAATTTCGAAACGTGTAGACACATCCAACCTGCGTAATAAATAAAATACTGCAAAATTCAATAACAATTCGAAACAAAGTTGACAAAACAGTATTCTCGAAATTCCAACCTTGACAAAATCATATAACTCGTCGACTTGCTGATTAAACGCAGTCATACGAATTTCTCCACTGTCATCTAACAAGTCTATCTTAAATAATTTGCCACTTCTTCTCGAATTCGACCAAGTATTGATAGGGCTCTTGCTAGTTACTCGGCTAGCTCTGAGTAGTACATTGCTGTAAAATTTAACTAGCTTAATAATTATGGTTATTCGTTCATTCAATTAACTAATTACTCCTCCAAACTACTTAATTTATTAACCTGCTAATATACGGATTAATATCACGAATTGGTGTTGAAGGTCGCGAATCCGAGGCAGAAACTTCATTTCTAATTGATGCGGTATATTTACGGTCATTGTGTCGACACGGCTCTGAAACTAAAATAATCAATGAATCATTAAATATTTAACTAAGAAAACGCAGTACAAATTCGGCAAAAATACCTTTCAACGGCCCTGTTTCATCCAAATTTGACCCTGATCTGACTTGAAAATGGCTTCTGAACGGGACAGGATTTCCCAGCTTCATGTTAATGTCTCAACACGGTGACTTGAAGAATCACTACGACACGCCTGCAAAAAGAGACAAGTCGTATAGTATAATACGTCAATTAAAGATCCTTTATTGATAATAAATAACGAATTATATTTGAACTATTGAATTTCTTACTCGCCACAAAATATTTTTGAAAAAATTTCGTCCACCTGAATTAAACAATTCTTGGCCAAGAATTTGACTAGATTTATGTTAATCAGATTCGATAAGATGGCGAACGAGTGAAACTGGGTGGAATCCGAAAGCGTTATGATAAAGTGGTCTTGACGGTTTCTCAACAATATTTTTTTGAAATCCTGTCACAATTGGGGAAGAGAAACACAGATTTAAAACCAAATTATGAAAATAAATAACGGTCATCTTATGCATACTAAAACTTGGAAAATTGGTTTCTTAATGTCCTCTCCATTCATCAGCTTCTGCAATTAGTTAATATTAATAACTTAATAACAACAATGTTTTTCAGGCTTATCAAACCTAACCTAACTACTTGTTATTATTGAGTACCCTTATCATACAACTTACCGAGACACCATTTTCGGTTAACCAACAAAAATTTTGAGCCATGTTTCCTTTCCCTGATGTAAAATAACTATGCAAATTTATTAAATGCTACTGTATGAACTACTTGAATAGCTAACTATTAATTAACATTTGACATCAAAAATTGCGAATTTAGATTTAAATTGAAAACCGGAAATCGGAGCAGAATTTTATATTTTACACTTTTCATTCTCTTTGTCTCTCAAGAATAACTTTGAATATTTGTATTACCGCCTTAAATGTGGGACTTGTGATATTTGTGATGATTCAGATTTTAGATATTTGATGATTATGAAAAATTTGTCATCAATTTCTTTACTAATTTTCAAAAAGATACGAAAATTTAGCCCGTTACAAGTTTTTGCAACGGGCTAAACGTTACCAATTGTTTACCATTTACCAATTGTTTCATCATTTTCAGCAAAAAACAAGCTCAGAGCAAATGAAATTCATAAAATCAGAATGAATGTAAATTTCTTATTAAGCTATTTATTATATAACAGCAAAATTATCAAAATTGCAATATTTGATTACCTATGTATGTAAACATTAATCCAGTTTTGTGCGTTTTTCAGTTTGGACATAATAAAGTAATAAGTTGGTTCGATTTATGTATACTTGATTCCAGAAAAACGGGGAGAAGAAAATAAATTGCCACCCCTCGTAAAAAACAGACCCGAAAAAAACAAAGAAGGTCAAAATTTCCAAAAATGCTGGATATTTTCCGGAAATTTTCCAAATTTCCAAAAAATGTTCAAAAATTTATTTAAAATGCTGGAAAACCTGAAATTTTCTAAATATTTTCGCAAGGTGACGACAACGTCAACCTCACCACAATTCAAACCCACGAAATAGCAAAATTTGATAACTTTCGTACACTTTCATTTTCATTTTCATACGCTGCTGATGAACAAAGCCGTCGTCTCACTGAACAAATTGCAAACGTGTTGCGGGAACCAGCACACTAGCATGAGCAGCAGCTGAGCTAATTAAACGAAAAAAATAAATGAAAATTAAAGTGTAAATTGAGAAATATTGCAATTTACTAATTATTTGTGTTTTCTAATCTACTGTAAGTTTGCTAATTTCTATTTAAAGTCAGGTCATATTTAACTCATTATGCTGCCTGGGTGAGAGATATTTCAGAAAATGTAAGTATTCTAAATTATCTAAATTAATAAATTTTAAATTTAGATTAGAGATTAAATAAACTAAGTTTGAATTTCGGGTTTTGATTTGTTTGTTATTATGCCTTCAGGAATTAGTCATGTCGTCAATGAAAGATAACATCAAGGAAAATGGAAAACAAGAATCAGGTACGAACATGATATTCAAATTTTACTCTTAAATATTTTATTTTATGGTTGGCAGTAAATATAATGTTTAATTAAATCGTTTATTTTAATAAAAAATAGTAATGTCATATGTTGTAGGCCCTGTGTTTTACCAGTGTGACAAGTGTGGCACCTTTTTCCGTTCCAAACCCCTGGCCGCAATTCATCTTTGGACTGCTGGGCATGGAAAGTGAGGATGAATTTCAGAATAATAAATTAATTATTAATTACTGTACTCATCCATAACCTTGACCTTATTATACAGACCTAGTTCTGCCGGATGGAGCACGGTCCCCTTTCCCACGCCAATATTAAAATTGGACAAATTACTTGTCGAAGCACCGGAAATAGAAACTGATCTTGATGAAGAATTTGCAGCCAGTCCGCTATTCGTCCCAGTCGAGGTCGAGATGGAGACGGAGTTTGAGTTTGAAAACGTCGTCGAACTATGCGAACCTTTGGAGGAATCTAGATCAAGTAATTATTCATAAATAAATTTATTGTGGAACTGAAAATTTTGAAGGTTTCCAAGTCTAGTTATACATACTAGAATATTACCTAATAGGTATTCCTCTAAGTTCCGAAAATCCTGTCAGAAAGAGAAAACAGTTCATCGCAAAATTTCGCTCTTATGATGAGATTAAAGAAGAAACCGTTCATGAAGGTTTTCAAGCTGTGGTGCAAGGACTAATGACACTCCAAAATGCAGGTAAATTGTGGGGTAGTTCGTAAATTTGTATATAATTTATGATGAAATTGTGTTTTTATTCACCTCCTCGTTTTTATTTTCCTCAACTCAATTTACAAAATTAATCTAATCTTATAAATACGTGTGCTATACGCATAATTCTGCAAATCATGTAAAATGATTTTGCGAACTTTTAACTAAAACGGCTCCCATTTTCGCAGGAAATGCAACCCTGGCCGATACCAAATCTCTCCCTCCGGTACAAATACAATCCGACACAGGAGTAAAAACTAAATTGACTTGTGACAAATGTGGGAGAACTTTTTCCACAAATTTTACACTCCGACGACACCAGGAAATCGTTAAAAAGTGAGTATTTTGACACAAAATTTTCGACTCATTAAACTAAAGGATTAATTTGTATCCTGTCTTTTATAGCTGTTCCAACCTAACCATACGGTACGTTGAATTGAAATGATGTTAATTTTTTGGTACATGTTTCTTCACGTTGGTTTATTTTCAGTGAGCGGGTAGATTTTACTGGACCAGATAAACGCAAAAACAGGGTCCGACAGTGTCAGCGTGTCGCGATCGATCTATCTTGTGACAAGTGCGACGTCATATTTGTTCACGCTACTTCATTGAAACGACATTTAAGCAACAATAGGTGATTACTTTTACTTTACAGATTAGTTAATTTTATTGGATTTTCTAAATGCAAACTTTTATGATACACTTTTGCTTCTTAAAGTTGCTCGAGCGTCAAAACTCCATCGAGTAGCAATATGAAGAAGACAGGGAGAATAAAGTGTAACAAATGCGACGCCACATTTATTCACGCTAGTTCACTGGAACGACATTTAAACAATAAAACGTAATTACTTTATTGTCTAGCCCACTTAATTTTCTTTGATGTGTCGACAGAATTTTAGTTTTTTATGTTTCTTACAGTTGTTTCAACGTCAAAACACCTGTTCCATTAAGGAGAAAAAGTGCACTGCCATTGGGGAGAATAATTTGTGGCAAATGTGGACTCAATTTTGCCTCAAATTATTCACTCGAACGACACCAGACTAACGTTAAAGAGTGAGTTTTTAATTAAATTGAGTCATTAAAATTACTAACACTAATTTGAATTCCGTATTTTTTAGCTGTTCCAACAAAATCATACTCGCTCAGCTAATCAGAAAACGGTACGTTATGTTAAATGAAAATGACCTTAACATTTTAACACATCTTATTTTCACGTTCGCTAATCCCTAGGCAGCGGGTAGGTTTTACTGGACCCAAAACTGTCGCAATCGATAGATCTCAAATTCACTACGAGCAACACGTGAAACTGAAAACTAACTTCAACTCGTCCCCTGCCGAAACTAATGCTATTAGGCAAGTAATAAAGTGTGATAAGTGCGACGTCATATTTCTTTAAGCTAGCTCATTGGAACAACATTTAAGGAATACAACACTTAATTGGCTAGTTAATTTTATTATATTTTTAGAAAATTAATTGGATTTTTGTTTCTTGCAGTTGTATTCCATTAAGGGAAAAAAGTGCATTGGGGAGAATAAGTTGTGACAAATGTGGACTCACCTTTGCTTCGAATTATTCACTCGGACGACACCAGAACTACGTCAAAGAGTGAGTTTTGAATTAAATCGAGTCATTAAAATTATCACTTAAACATTAGACACATTAATTTGTATTGTATTTCGTATTTTTTAGTTGTTCCAACCGAACCCAATTAGCTCGTTTAAGAAGAATACGGTATGTTACATAAAGATGGCCATAAAATCAGGATATTTTATCTAATGCATAACATTGTTTTCACTTTCGTCAGTCAAAAGCACCCTCGCTTTAAGCGTACCGGACCAATTAAACCCAAAACCCGAACGTACTCTGAGCGTCACTATGAGCAACACATGAAAAGTCACTCTCACTCGCCCCCTGTCCCCAAAGGGAGTCGCAATTCTAGGAAGGCAAGAAGAGTAATAAAGTGTGACAAGTGTAACGTCACATTTCTTTACACTAGATCATTGCGACGACACTTACAAAATAAAACGTAAGTAATTATTTAATTACTTAATATTGGAGCATTATTTATGGACATTCTTCTCTCCTACAGTTCCATCAAGGACAATTTGTATTTAGATTTTTATTTATTTCCAGTTGTGAACGTCGTACTTGTCCCGTTTTCACATGTCGAAAGTCGTTCCCCAGTCCTCCCTCCTTGCAAGTTCACATTAGACTTGTTCATGAAAAGAAAAACGGGGACGAAGGTGGGCGTCAGTGCGCCATTTGCGGGGAGAGTTTCGACCTCGGCAACAAACTTTACGCCCACTTGGCGCTAAAACATGCATCCCAGGATGACGTTGAGGAAGAGAACAGCGTTGTCTTAGTAAAAGATGAAGAAATGATTATTAAAGAAGAGCTAGACGTGGATGATTATGAAAGCTCGTTGTTATCGGAACTAGACGCGGAAGGTGCTGACATGGTGGGTGGCGTGAAACTGGAAGGCGATGAAATGGAAGAGTTTTATGAGAATGGTGTTACGAGTAGTGGGATTTTCGACATTCTTGACCCCGATGAAGATCATGATAGCGTTGACGATTTATAAATGCGAGAGACGTCTGACAAACTTTTTTTAGATTGTAAATTTTTATATAATTTCTAATTAACATGTGAGAATGATTGGACAGTCAAATCCTTAACTGAGGAGGACAACCCTTCACCGACAGAATCACCGATCTTGATGCCCTTTGGATATGTTGTAGTCCTAGGTGAGTCTAGTAAAAGTGAAGGAGGATTTCATTCCATGGCCCCATTTGCGCCCGCCACACCCACTCAAAGAGGAATCTTATGCCAAACTGGTCGCATTAAAAAATTCACCAAAAATCCATTTTTAATGATAATTTGATAATTTTTGCACCTTTTTGATCCCAGATAGTTGTTTTATCGTATCCGACATGAATTTCAATTTTTTGAATTTTTTGAATATTTTCGAAAATTTCGTAGATTTCGAAAAAATCAAAATTTCAAAAAAGTTGAGTTTGCTATTGGATATGATAAAGCAACTATCTAGGGTCACAAAAATGCTTAAATTGTGAAAATCCGACCAAAATTGGATTTTTGGTGATTTTTTTAATGAACCAAAACAGGGTATTTTCGCACCTTTGAGTGGGTGTGGCGGGCGCAAATGGGGCCATTGAATGAAATCCTTCTTCACTTTTGCTAGACTCACCTAGGACTACAACATATCCAAAGGGCATCAAGATCGGTGATTCTGTCGGTGAAGGGTTGTCCTCCTGAGTGGTATTCTATTTATGAAATGAAATTTATGTATTTCATATTACAGAGATGATATTCTTGGATTCTACGGCAGAATTTGTATTAAGAATACTGACAACAATGTATTTTGTACAAGACTTTATCTATATTTTTGGTAAAATTTGCAATGTTGTAATTTATATATTTATCATGTTGATGTAAAGTAAATGGAAATAAATGGTCACACTTCTTTATCAATAAAGCATTTCTTATTTTATACGCAGGGCCTCCGCGTGCAGGTGGTGTACCACACCAGGGCCGGGCCCCGCAGGGGCCGGGCCTGCGTCCCAGAAAAAAATTAAATTTGTCGAAAACATAAACGACATCGTTTTAAATAAATTTTGTGCAAATTAAAAATGACTTCAGCGCTGGAAAGATTTTCCATACATCTCATAGTTGGAAAGTCAGAGAATTTTTTGTGACGAAATTCATATTTCTAATTATATAACAGGTTATTTTTTTCTCATGGGCATATATTCGTTGCGATATTAATAGTTACAAAATTACAAACTTCATTTCTATGCATAAGAAAATAAAATGGTACGGAACCGGAAAGCAGTCACAAAAAACCTGTCAGTAACACGGAAAGGAACCCTCCGGCGCTCGTAAACGATAAAAAATAATAGCAATTTTGCAAGTCTTAAACAAATGAAAGCGATGAGAGTGTATATCCCACGAATTATAAAATTTAATGTTGTTATATTTTTATAATTTACTAGCCTATATGCCCGTCTTAATGACAAAAATCAGGAAAATATTGTTGGCGCAAGTAAGGACAATTCGTCCATTTCGTCCGAGTCCGATTCTGAACCGTCGATCCAAGATCATCAAATGGCAGTAAATTTTAATGCTAGAGGCAATATGTACCTATTAGTATGACGCGGCTGATGGAACCAATTAATTAATTAATTAATTTCATCCGCTAAGCTTAAACGATGGAAAATTAATTCTGCTTTTGCTGCCAAATTTATTGGATTCAGAATCAACAAACACGTTTGATCCAGTTGAGGGACACCTATTTTAGTAAAATATTACTCGGCAAGGGAAACGAACTGAAAATTATGTTTTCGAGGCTGGCTCCTTTACAGTAACATGTCAAATGGTGTTTATTTTCTTGCCCTTTCTTGTCGAAAGTTTTCTTGTCCTGCTGTGTATTTTCGATTAAGAGTTCGCTTCAGACACCTTGGACAAATTGGGAACGCAGAAAAACTAGATTTCAAGATTATAACCATATGTAAAGGGGCCATTATCTCTAACGAGGAAAGTTCCTGTAAGCTTCTACCTATTTCTGAAAATGTGAAGTACTGGAGAACCGTTTTCCAGGATATTCGGAATGCAATCCTGTTGCTAGCGAAAAATAATCTAGCTTTCCAGGACATGCCAGGAAAGGAAAGGTTTCGACTGGATCCCAGGCTGTGATCCAGTCTAAATCTTTAGGCAGACAACTGAGGAAACTTTCTCAGCATGAAGGGGAAGTTATTAGCAAAACATTGCCCCGGGTACCGGGTGGTTATCCGGTACCCGCATCCCCGGCATTTTATTCCAGATCAATCTTTGCCAATTGAAATTACAAGACATGAATCTTGACAGTGATATTGCTGTCAAGAAGTTGAGGACCCTTCAGTTATTACTTAAAGATTTTACTCTTTACGGATTTTATTAGTCAAATGTACTTTTTGAAGAGTTTGCAAGCAGAGTTGTGACTGATTTATAAACTGGTTTTGAATATGTTCGGCGAAGACGGATTGAATAGGCGGTACACGGACGAGCCGAATTAAGTAGAAGCTCGATGACTGACAAATCTGGAAAGATTTAAGTAGATCAAATTTCTTCGATAAGCTGAGGAAGAAACTTTCTTCCGAAATTAATCGCCGGTTTATTCATCTAAAAGAATATTCATGGAGTTTTGGATTTCTGTGGGATTCCAAGCTGCTGATTCAACCGGTGTAGCAGTAAAACTATGTCAAGGACCTAGGTGCACAGTATCCCAACAATTTAAATCCTGCCAGCTTTCTCAACGAAATTATGTCTTTCAGATTTACAGTCGAAGCGTTCGACAACACTGGTTTCAATAAACTTGGACCTATGGATGTGCTCAATAATATTTATCGCAATAAGCTCTGCGTATTCCAATTGTAAAACTGCGCTACTATACGTGTCTAAACGAAATGTCCAACTTCGGGGTTTGGTTTCTAAAATTCGAAAATCTTTCGGGTATGTAGTTTTAAATATAAAAATATTAAATATCGGAAAATACATATGCGAAAATCATATTCGAAATCAATCAATAAATTGTCATTAATGCTCGCTTTTTTATAAATAAATATTATGCATATTTGCACACAACGTTAAAAATACATAGTTCATATTGAGTCAAGACAAATTCTCTAAATAATTTTGTAAGACGCATCAAACTGCAACTCAAATAAGCCCGCATGTTTGGATCCCAACATTTTCGCTGGGATGACAACATAGTAGCAAGGCAAACCTTTCACATAACTCGGTCGATCGTGAAACGCAAAGACCGGCATTTTCCATGAAGCCTCGATCTACGACGTATTGAAAAATTTTGATTAGTAACTAATCATTAGTTACTCCTCCTCATTATTTTCGTTACATTTTACCTGTTTCCCTCCTCCAATGTTTTTGAGCAATTTAAACTCAAACATGTACTTTTCTGCGGTTTCCTTGCCACCAAGCACTGTCATCCAGAAGTAGACCGTATCATCCGCACTAATGCGAGAATGTAGGAGGAAAGTATTTCCGTCCTTTTCCAATATCTCGATTGGCCATCTGCGACCCAACATGTCGTCTGAAATCAATGGGCGGAAACAAAAATTAATCTCTCATGGATTAGAGATTAATTTAGAGAATAATTCGGAGAACGGGTTCTTTAGTTGTTAAAGTTATGAGACACTTACGCGATATTTTGTTATCCTTCAATGTCAACGAGTAACGTCGAGATGATCGCTCACGACACTTATGGAATTCCGTTAAATGTTTGACGTACTCGTGCATGACCACTTTTGTCGTTCCATGAGATCCTTCGGTGCAAATTATTTCACTGATAAGGGAATTAGTGATTTAATTTGAGTTATGGAACTTCACAAAATAATTAATACATACCGATAGTCACAATTTAGAAGATGTTTTTTCATTTCTGTAGCAGAAATCACTTCAGTACACCCAGAATTTTGGTTTAGACACGACAATTTCAATTAGAGCTGGACAATCGTTTAATCGTGCATTATTATATTTTCTAAACTATAGCAAAAATCGAAGTTAACAAGACAAACCTGTCGAGAAAGCCGTTCCGCAACAGCTGACACGTGCAACGCCGTCTGACACAGGCCACAATTTTGCACCTTGTCGGCACAGATCCCGCAAATGATGTGGCCATTGGCGCAACTGTGGATAGGCCGGCTTATCCAGACAGATGGTGCAGTCGAGATGGTCACCCAACTCTGGGCGGACAGGTGGCACCCCCTAAACAAACAAAACAGACACTTTTTAAAGTTAATTCACTCATTTGATGAACTCTGCTACAAAGATTCTAAGGATAATATTTTTAATTTTGTAAATTAAAGATATGATATACAGCAAAGTCGGGCCAAATCGTGTCGCACAACTGGATAGAGGATAGTGGCCGAGAAACTTTCCCAGCCACTATCCCCACGCTTTCCCGGGGACAGAAAGAGGGACAATGTCCCCACGTTTATTTGATGTCCCCATTATCTGCCCATGGTATATAAATAAACCCCTCCCCCCTATCCTACAATTTCAATATCCCAATGGCATGGCTTCCGCGGCCGTGGGGACTGTCAACGAATGGGTTTAAAAATCTTATCATCCTGCCAAAAATGTTCGTAATGAACTATGTACATAGATACATCGTCATATTTCTTCGACTGCTTGTCAGAAGCCGATGTTCCAGATCGGGCCGTTTTTTTCTTGGGGGGCTCATTCTCCTCGTCGCTCTCCTCCCGGTCGTCACTAATTTTAGATTTTTTCGTCTCTGCTGTGCTCGTATTTTTCGACGTAGCGCCCCGTACTTCAACTTCCTCGTCGGAGGAGGATTCATCTGATAAGTCGACGTAATGTTGGGCCATCTTCTTGCTTGAGGGCGTGGCAGCGGTACGCTTGTTGGCACGACGACTTGTATCAGCACCTCCGTTGGTGGAAGATTCTGAAAAAAATTAATTAATTAAAAACGTATTTAAAAAAGTGCGATGTATGTAAAGTAGTTAAAAAATTACTGGCAGGTCGTCCCGTCATGTTTAATGGATGGATGGTAATTCACTAATTATTTGTGGATTGGGTAAGCTTACAATTAAATTAACAATTGATAACACAAAATAGTTAAAGTTCTGGTCTGGTTGTAAGAAAAACGTAGAACGTAGAGCTGTCATGTGATTCAAGACAACAACCAAATATTCAAGTTGCTATAGCCTGCCGGACGACAAAATCTTTGTTGAGGCAAAATGAGACAAAATAGTATACTTGAACAATTAGAAAGTTGATTTTATTGGGTTCATTTATTTTAATGACTTGCAAACTTTTTTAACCTTTAAGCATTTTGACCATGTATGTCATGGCGAACAATTTTACACGAAGTGCCGGACGAAAACACAACAATTAAAAAGATCCGTCCTTAGTTACATATATCAATTTTTTACGAAATTTATTAAGTAATTATTGTCGACTTTTAATCACATCGCAACGTTAAAATATTCGGATTACATCCAAAGACTGACTTTTTCTCGAGTCGTGATTTTTAGCCCGAACCAGGGCTTATGTAATTGTTATGTCAGTCGAACTGTCGAACGAGTTAACCAATTTTGACCAAATTTGGTGCAGACATGTATCTGGGCAATGCAACGACCGAGTTAGAAGATGGGTTCGATCAGAAAAGTTTTGAACCGGTGGGGGTGATATAAGTGGGTAGGGTATTATGCACCAAAATTTCAAAATTGGTTAGAAAGCTGAAATTCGACATAGAGCGTTCTAGTTGCTCCTAAAGGAAGAATATGAAGTGAAATTGGAAAAATTTGTCAACCAGAGGTACCCGAGGGGGTGACCCATACCGATTTTTCAAATTCATCCAATCGAGCTGAAAATTGGTATAGAGGCCCCTAATGGAAGAATATGAAGTGAAATTGATAAAATTTTCATATGCCAGGACCCGTTGGGGTGACCCATACCCATATTGATATTCAGAAATTGTCTTAAAAAGCTGAAATTTTTAGAATTTGGTGCCAAGTAATACTAACAACTGACTGCTACATTCTGACAAACAAGGGTTTGATAATCAATCCTGGTTCGGGCTAAGCAAAGCTTTACTGATAGGTTTTATAAATGAGTTCTACTCTAGTACGGTTATTTTTCAGTTTTTCAGGCAAGTTTTTCCAAATAGCATGATGTAGGGCCATGAATTGGCTAGAAGGAAGCGAGTTTTATAACAATTTTGACGAACGAAGAGTATTTTTAAGAAATTATAAACGTAAAAACCTACAGTGTAGACTTCATTTAGCCCGAGTCAGGGACAGAGTCCCTGACTCGGTGAGTCACAACCCGCTTCTAAATTCTCCGAATTATCGACATAATATCACCAACCTCCGGTTTATGGACGGTTAAATGTTTGCTAGGTATTTTCTATTTGGCACCAATTTTTTTGAAGGATTTACAAATTTTTCCCGTTACTACAAGGATCAGTGGGCTTATTTAACATCTTGAATTTGGACAAAGCTGTATTTGCTATCCAAAAGTGGTTTTTAGCCTTCATATCAAATTTCAGCTCGGTATGACGATTTTGAAAAATCCGTATGGGGACCCCCTAGGGTCCCTCAACATGAAATTTTTTCCAACTTGAACACATTTTTATCTATTAGGAGCCATTAGCAACCTCTGTGCCAAATTTCAGCTTTCTACGACAATTTTGAAATTTTGGTGCATAAGACCCCACCCACTCAGATGACCCCCACCGGGTAACCAGTTGACCGATTTCGCCCATCTTCGAACTCGATTCCTAACTTTGTCCAATATGCACATGGTAAAAATTTCAAGTCGGTAGCTTGTGTTTAAAGAGAGTTATCGTGTTTACGGACGGACGGACGGACGGACATGACGGTTCCATAAGCCCTAACTCGGGCTAAAAAGCTGTGAAAATTATTATTTTCGACTTCCATGTATGTCATGGTCAAAGTATTTTCTTGCAAAAACAATCGCCATGACTTTGATGGTATTGGTCCTGCAATGCAAATTTTTGTGACCATGACTAACATGGCTTTGGTCTTACGATGTATAAAAAATATGACATGAACACCATGGTTTTGGAAACTTGGTGTAAAATTTTTCTCCATGACATTCATGGTCAAAGTTCATTCCCCATTTTCGACTATAAAATGTAAATGCTTAAAAGGTTAATAAAAAATAAATAATTCGAATTCGAATTAATTCCTTAATTCGCATGAAGTTTTAACAAATCCAGACATCATCTAACTTTTCGTTTTCAAACAAAATTTTAACGTGGATAGTGCTGAAGCTTAACCTTGTAATTTATAAGACGTATGCTCTACTCTAATCAGATTTTAATCTGAAACATATAGATTTAATTGGAAGATACATATAAATTATTTCGTATTAGGAATTTTTATTTGGTTAAAATTAAACCTTACTCATAGATTGCTGAATATGTTTGTATATATAAATGTACATGGATTTCTTTAATTTCTCCTGCTGGCGATGGTGAGGATGAGTTTGCGAACATGCCCAATTAATGAATGCTGGGTAAATTGGCGAAAAAATCACATGATTTTCCGGCAAAATTTTTGCGAAATCTCGCTCGCAAAAGTTCGCAAGTTATGTTGCTACGCTCAATTTGCGAAATATCCGAGATATGCGAAGGTTGACGTGAGTACGCTCAATAATCTATATTATAAGAGGCAATGTCTGTAACAACGGAAGTGAAAGTAAATCTGTGTGACGGAAGTTTGTCCGTGACGGAAGTGAAAGTAGTGAATGTCAAGTTTCGAATGGCGCGAAAATTCAAAAACTTTAATTTAAAATATAAATGTTGGTTATCAATGTGTGGTGCCCTAGTGGGGTTATCGAGACTTTACTCGCTGATGGTGGTTATCGGGGTGTGGGGCCCTGATGATGATTATCGGAGTGTGCTGTCTGATGGGGGTTATCGGGTCTTTGTTGCCTGATGGTGGTTATCGGGTCTTTGTTGCCTGGTAGTTATCGGGGTGTGCCGCCCTGATGGTGGTTATCGCGTCTTTGTTGCCTGATAGTGGTTATCGGGTCTTTGTTGCCTGATGGTGGTTATCGGGGTGTGGCGCCCTGTTGGTGGTTATCGAGGTGTTACGGCCTAATGGGGGTAATCGGGCGTTGTTGCCATTGTTAATTAATTTGGGCGGTTATCTTGCCGTTGCCGTTGGCATTGCCAGTGGCGGTCTTGGTTGGTAGACAGTAGACGCGTATCACCCAGTTAGACTTCCACTATTACTGCCACTGCCAATGCCAATGGCACTGCGTATGGCAGTTTGGACTGGCAGAGTGTAATAGGCCAAGTCGAATTCCTAACTTATTGCCGACATGCAGTCAGCCCAATGCTATAATTGTAATGTTTGTCTGGAGTGTGGATCGAGCTGAGAAATATATGGGAAGGTATAAATGGTGAATATAGTAAGCCATGTGAATTTTTTCGAGATATATTATTTTAGTTTCCTACCATCAACGTTCCACTTGCTTTCACTTTCTTGACATTCTTTACAAATTTGTTTCACTTCCATCGGCATCAAAGGTTCAGCTAATAATGCAGACAATTTAAATGGTTAATATTAAAAACTAAATCAACTCTCGCCCGGCGGCAGACGGGCTTATACGCTAGTTAACTATATGAGAGAAATATGAAAGATATTCATAAATACCAAGTCCTCCAGGACTCTGGGATTTTTTTTATTAATGGAAGAACGTTCAAGACCAATCACTTTTTCAAAACAATGCAGACATCAATAATGTTAATTTCTTTCCAAATTTGGATCTCAACTGAATTTTATGTCTTCCATTCCTGACCATTAAACAGTAATATAATAAATAAAATTACCTATCAAATTATATGTAAATCTCACCCTATCCAATGTCTTTACATGCAATTTCTAAAATTGAATCAACTCCATAAGTTTTGAGATAAATGCAACTTTTGATATTTTAAATAATCTAAATCTAATTCTCGGTACTAGAAGCAATTCGATTTGAAAAAAATAGTTAACTCATTTGCCAATTTTTCGCTATAAATTTCCTTAAAACTATTATCATCCACTAGGAAGCCCACAGTTTCCCGCTGCACAATTTTTAATCCAGTGATCAAATGCAGGTGCGCGTGTAAAAATTCCTAAAATAAAATATAGGTATGAAGGATTGAGGGACGTGCATCAAATATGAAATTATCTGGACGAATGCCTACGTACCAGGAAACGGGCTGTTGCATGGTTGATTCTTATCATCGCCGTCGTACGAGTAACTAACAACGCCAAAAAGGACGCGACCATGACCATTCGGATTCGGACAGTGGAGTGGACCTAAATTTATACATTACTTAATTAATATGCATATGCATACACACATAAATATACATAAATCAGTGGAATTATATGTACGTGTCACTTCATTAGCATAAATCTCACTATGCCCACCTTCGGCGATATAAGATTTCTGTGCTGAATAAGTTCTATTTCTCGAGAATGCATCAAAATATGGGAATGCGGTGACTAGCACAAATAGATAATTCCACGATACATACATATAATATTTCGAGAAATTTTGGAAACTTGCGAAGATTTTTGATTTTGCATGCTAATTATAAGTTTAAATTTACCGCCGGAATCACCGTAACACATGCTTGTCCCATATCCTCCTGCACATAGAGTAATGGACGGTTTGTAATGAGCGGTGTCATAGGTATCCACGCACAACTTGTTGGATCGGATCTTCATATTTGCATAGGTCATGTTGCGTTGAATTTCATTCTTTCGTCCACTAAATGAAAATATCAATTTAAGTTATTGATTTTTTAATTGTCAAACTGACAAGGGAGGTATCTCAGCCATTCTCAGCGTAGGCTCTCCGATTTTGACCAAACCGTGTCCGGTAACTTTGCATAATCCCTTTTCCATAACGGTTATATTGCAGAATTTTTATTCCATAAAAGTCACATGGTATAAATAACCACTTTCCATAATACATTTTCTCATAAATTGCATAATTTGCGAATATTGCAACGTATGTATACGATTCAACGACATTCATTAGTCTGATCATCAGACTCTGATGTTAAGTCTCACATAGATAAATTTGTCTTTTACTAATACCATGTAACTTTTGAATCTCTAACAGCCAATGTAGCTGCCCTACCTGCAAAATTTCGACACATTTCCGTGTACAATATATTCCTCCAGTGCAACCTTTGGATTTTATCTGCACACGCAGTATTCAGTACTCCCATTAACATGATTCTTTTCAAAAATATATCTATAAAAAGCAACCAGGTACTCATTTTTGGTACTTTTGATAAGTTTGTAATCTTTAATAAGACTTTAATAAGAATTTAATAATGTATCCATTATTAACATTACATATTTTAAAACTTGATTGATGGTGTAGTGAATATATAATGGATAGCGATAAAGAAAAAGAGAGAACAGATACATGTATGCAAAACAGTAGTATGCAAAATGACCTCGTATGCAAAGTAACTCTTTAGGTCAAATGCAGTAGGGGATAATTTTGTATGCAAAATGCATTATGCAAAGTGACATGTAACCTGACCAAACAAGTGTCAATCTTTTTCAAATCTACACATTTTGCACAAGACACGAACTCCCAATGTTTTGCAAGAAATATTGGCATCCGAAGAGGAGAAAACGCGCAGTAAATTTGAAAAGTGTAATATTTGTCAAGTTTACTATGACATGTTCCCTCTGGATGCAATCATCTCGCTGAAATTGATCATTGGCGGAAAGTTACTTGTTCAAATGTTGTATGTATTTGTGATTGATTAAGACTAATTTGTTCAAAATCTGAGATCACTCGCTGGGCGATCTGCATTGTAAGGAGGAAGCATTACTTACAATATTGCCCCAAATCCGGTGATTATACACTGTGCTGTTTCAACCAAGAGAGAAATTTAAATTTATCGGAAACTTTCTGAAGTTACCAGTTTTGTACGTTCCCTCGGTAGTCATTTGGTCGTAAAATTACTAACAATGCGATGACGCCAGCGGTCTCGCTCCGATTTTGACGAAACAACGATAATTATGAAACCTTACACAAATAATTGAACACGTGTTTCGGGATTTTTCATAATCCTCAGCTTAAACGAAATTATGACGTGATCCGTGAGCGAGAATTTCAATTTCTACCGTGACATTTTTCTCGTGAGGGAGAAAAATCCAGATTCACGCTTAGCGATTCCATCATAATTTTGTTTAAACCTAAAATGCGTGGGCATGAAGTGGTTCTCTACCGATTTCAAATTGCTTGCACAAATTTTGAAAAATTTTGAAAATTTTGAAAATTCAACAAACCAGAAATTTCGAAAAATCAAACTTTTTGAAAACCAGATTTTTCTTAAGTTACTCAATCGAATTTTCTTAAGTCACTCAATTTCCGCTACAACCGAAATCACGCGTCTTCATGAAAAAGTAAAAAAACGGGTAGGGTTATTTCGGTTGTGGCTGAATTTTGGAATAAATTTTAAGCCAAATTAAGGATTTATCGAAATGCGGTAAATTTTCAAATCTTTATCCGGTTTCAAAAATGCATAAAGATTTTTGCACATAATTACATTGAGTAACTTAAGAAAAATCTGGTTTTCAAAAATGTTGATTTTCGAAATTTCTGTTTTGTTGAATTTTCAAAATTTTCAAAATTTTCAAAATTTTCAAAATTTTCAAAATTTTCAAAATTTTCAAAATTTTTCAAAATTTGTGCGAGCAATTTGAAATCGGTAGAAAACCACTTCATGCCCACGCATTTTAAGTTTAAACAAAATTAAAATTAAATCGCTAAGCCTGAATCTGGATTTTTCTCCCTCACGAGAAAAATGTCACGGTGGAAATGGGAATTCTCGCTCACGGATCACGTCATAATTTCGTTTAAGCTGAGCATTATGAAAAATCCCGAAACACGTGTTCAATTATTTGTGGAAAGCTACATAATTATCGTTGTTTCGTCAAAATCAGAGCGAGACCGCTGGCGTCATCGCATTGTAAGTACACAAATTTAAGCCACTCACTGTTCACTGGTAAGGACGTCCCTTGCTTGATGGGTATGGGTCGAATCGTGTCACTCAGCTTGTACGGCGTGGAAATTTTAATTATGGCAATGTCATAAAGAATGATGCCAGTTTTAGGCTTATATTTCGGATGGGGGTGCACGCTATCGGCAAAACGACGGATTCCCTTCCCGTGTGCGACCGCCCCCGCAAAAATTACAACGAATCCTGCCGGGGTGACGACATTTTGCATGTTAACGACACTGCAGAAGTACATAAAAAATTGGCCTCATCAATAATGAATATTGCAAAGGGTGTATAATAAACATTATATTAAAGATAAGTAAACTTGAGGGATTAACAAGAGGAACTGCCCCGTCGATATCGACACAAAGTCTATACTACCATAAAAAATGTTCGAATATTTCTCAAAATACAAAAATTTGAAAATTTGCAGGATTGTACATACATAACCCACAATGAGGGTGGCACCTTTCCTGTTTCGGATAAAGATGAAACAGGCCAAAGGTCCTAATTTTTTTCACTTATTTTTAATGGTAGTATTATTGCTGATTTACAGCATATGGTTGGATTTTTTAACTTTTTGAATTTTTTTAAGAAACTTTTTTTTACATGCAAAGCTTCTTTATTAAAAAAATCAAACCGTAACTTAATGTGAACATTTTAGCATCTTGAAGTTGTACAGTGTTCACACAATAACACATGTCACAAGTCACAACATATTTACGTAGTAACTAATTTTTTAGCCTTACAAACATGCATTTCGAAAAGAACGGTCTCATACCAATGTGCCGCCGTGATGATGGTGTAGACATCGTACAGGGATCCCGTACAAGAACCACCGTTCACACTGACCTCCACGACGAACGGCCACTGACCAGTTTTTGCATAGTATCCACCATAAACGCGATCACCGTGGTTTTGAATGTCCCCAGATTCAGAGAAATCACTCCAGTCTGGTTGTCCTTCAAATCCGTAATAATTATGATCGGGTTCGTAATTCCCGCCCCCGCCGTAATTTCCCGCTGTTCCGTAGAGCACGTTGCAATAATAGCAACTTATCGGAACTCCTGGATACGAAGTGAATTGGCGCGACGTTCGGAAACTTGACGAATCTGTGGTATATGGAATGGAAATTATTTTACGTTTTTATACTTATCTAGTTTATGTGGATATTTTGTTAAGCAATTTACTCCGATGTCTGTAACCGTGTAAATTCCGAAATATTATGATTTTTTATATGTAATTATATTCTATCGTAAAAATTCTGCCTCTAAAATTTTGTGGTTATACACAATTTACAAAGCTCCGAGTGAATTGCATGCATTCAATGAATTTTTATAATACTTTTTTCATTCGTAAAACCGAAGTGGATATTTCGCCCACGTATCGTAAAATTTTGTCCGATCAAAGTTTCCTTAAATTTTTCTAAATTTCCAAGGTTAATACGATCTATAAAAACTAGGAAAATCACTAACCACAAGTTGGAGATACGAAGTGACATGTCGATGTCGACCTATCAAGTGAGACTGACAAATAATCTGTGCAAGTTTAAAAAATTCGGCTAATTTGATGGACATTCATCAGTAAACAAAACCCCGTTCACTTGCGACGCCATCAATTTGGTCGCATTATGAATTTTGCCTTCAACATATCTCTATTTATCGTCCATAATGCTATATAAATATGTCTGCAAATGTATGAAATGCATCAGAAGTTGTTATTCCACGACGTATTATTTGAACGAGTCGAAGTCAACATAGAACCATATTCGTGACACTGCGTAAAGTGTGTGGGCAAAAACCTCAAATGCAGGTCAGATTGAATGGTAGATTGCACATATGTAAATATGTACCTTCAAATGTATGTATTCTTATTTAATATTATTAAACGCCTTTAACATACTGATACTCATCTACCTGTTGGATACATTTATGGATATGCCAAATAAATAATTAACAAGTTTCTAAAATAACCGGTTTACATAATATACATAAAACCTATCCGCTTTTCGCTAGCCAGGTTTAAGTTGATTTTTTAGTACTCAAATGTTTATGAGTGGGGTTGTTGTTCCTCTGAAAATTGTTATTTTATGACATATTTAACCATTGATATGTACAATACGAAAACTACGATACCACAACGAGTTTTTTTTACGAGAACAACAGATACAGAGATTCGCATGTCTATCTGAAAACGAATTTGTCGTTGAATAACCCCGGACCGGTATGTCGCAGCGGGTCAAAATTTTGAACAGACGAGCATGTTATCCTCAGATGGGTTTGTGCAAAAATCCAACTCTCTAATTTCAAAACTGCCTCCCTCACAGCCCCCAGAAGTCGAGACAGTCATAAAAAGTCTTTCCAAACTTAAATGCTCATACACCAAAATAATTAAACATCTTGAAAGTGAAAGGAATACATTTTCGAAATCTAGAATCAATAAGGTATTGAAAAATATAGGTGAAAAGTGAGAAATTTTGAGTAAAGGGCAACCACCACCCCTAGAAGAAAGCAAAGAAAAGTGTTAATTCCGACCGTACTTAGAAAAATTGACCTTGTGATCTCAAAAGACAATCCACCGACCCAAAAGTAAATTTCCCGTAAGGTTGGGGTGTCTAAGCCTTGAGTGAAAAGAGAAATTAAGATTTTGAAGAAACGACTTCGTCGGAAAACTCGTGTGCATAAGCTGACCGAAAAACAGGAAAAAAATCGCGTCCGTGTTTGCAAAAAAAATTATTCAAATTTTCTGTTAAGGAATAAGAGTGAGTTTTTGGTGACATTTGACGAAGCACTATTTTCTCTAAGTTACTAATTGGGTTCAAAGAGCTTACTATACGACAAATGCCGAAAACAATTCACGCAAGTTGGTGCTTTCCCGTGAGGAGAACTTTTCCAAACATTTTATGGTCGTGTGTGCAATGTCGGGTCGTGGTGTCCTCCCACTTATAAAAGTCCTCCAAAAAGTGAAGGAATCTTCGAAGTATTGTGTGGACCGTGTATTGAAACCACTTTTAGAATACCATTTTCCCAAACTGTACGGCAAAAAAATAAATTAGGTGATTTTTCATTATGACGGAGCGTCTTCCCAGACCGCAAAGTTGACCCAAGATTATGCAAAGAACCTTGAGGGTATATTGGGGATAAAAATCATTTTGAATAGTGAAATACCTGTACAATCCCCCGATGTAAGTCAAATGGGCTTATTTGAGGCCGGATACGTGAAAAGAAAAAAAATTCTGCGGAAACCGAATTTTTTAGCCGGAGTTTGGAAAGAGTTGAAATGACAGTCTCGACTTCTGGGGGCTGTGGGGGAGGCAGTTTTGAAATTAGAGAGTTGGATTTTTGCACAAACCCATCTGAGGATAACATGCTCGTCTGTTCAAAATTTTGACCCGCTGCGACATACCGGTCCGGGGTTATTCAACGACAAATTCGTTTTCAGATAGACATGCGAATCTCTGTAAAGTACATTTGTACGAAAAAAGATGGTGACCGGGCTAGGTATTCGGCAGGGTACAAATTTGTAGTTTTTTTTATAAAGTTGTATTAAGAAAATAATACAGGTTTTTTATTAGCTCAAGTTCTTATACATATATTATTTGTGCGTAGCGTATTGACATATGTATTTATGTATCACCATGAGGAACATGACTTAAGTCAATTAAACATAATTTTAAAATTTGTAACAACTTCATGAACAAAAAATGAACGTCATTTTTTTGCATCTACAGATAACAAGTACGTTTAAATATACACTCATCTTCAGCTAAATATTTATTAATCCGTATTATGTACATACTTGAAAGCATTTGAGGTCATGTTTTAGACTTGTCTTTACACTCGTCCTTGTTGTCGAAGAATATGTAAATAGGGGAAATAACTATGATGGGAAAACGCCTGTTTAAACCAGTGTCGAATTTCGAGTTCCGCATTAATCGACAAAAGCGCAGTGCATGCATACGTATTCTCCATAATTTGTACATATTTCCATGCATGTGATCGCCCATTTTCTCATCACCCAGTCGGAAGCCGACAATTTCCCGCAGCACAGTTCTTTATCCAGCGATGGAATGCAGGTACTCGCACGAAGACGCCTACGTACGTACGTGAAAAAATTAGGCAACACATATTTATTTATCGATAATATTACGTGCACAAATTTCTGTATGCATACCGGGATACGGGCTGTTACAGGGCTTATTCTTATCATCTCCGTCATACGAGAAACTAACAACGCCAAATAGGACGCGACCATGACCGTTCGGATTCGGACAGTGGAGTGGACCTACGTAAATAAATAAAAATACTGACATAAATACATATTCACATCTCGTGGAGAATATCGTGGTAAAAATATTTCAGGGAATTTTCGAATATTGCGATTTCTGCTGTTTTTATGTAAATAAGCCCCACTGAAATTTACGGCCCTACATAAATACGTACATCAAGAATACGTCCATAAACCTTGATAAGACACGAAATGCATCAAGTAATGTTAATATCAAAACTTTAAATTTACCGCCGGAATCTCCGTAGCACATGCTCGTCCCAAGTCCTCCCGCACAAATCGTAATAGCCGATTTGTAATCAGATGCACCGTAAGTGTCAACGCATAGCTTGTTTGATCGTATCCTCATATTGGCATAGGTCAGGTTATGCTCAGCTTCGCCAGGTTTTCCACTAATTTAAAGAATTTCCGAATTTATGAATCGGTTATTGATTTTGCCTCAAAACTATCTAGGACGCATTACTTACGTTATTGCCCCAAATCCAGTGATTATGCACCGTGCTGTTTCAACCAAGAGAAAAATTTATTTGATTATCTAACAATTGCGTGATTTTCTCTGATTTTTACCGGATTAATTTTTAATTTTTCAAGCACAGAAATAAGCCGATCTATATTTTCCTATCTGTATTTTAATGATTTTAATTATTGAAGTCGGGTAAAAATTCGAAAAGCTACAGCCAATAGAAAGCCTGATTTAGACTTATTTAAAATTTATATAAATATTGTGCCACAGGCGAAAACCAGCGCATTCAAGAAAACTCAAAAATACGGATATACTTATTTCTGTGAGTGATGAATTTGAAATTAATTCGGTGAAAATCAGAGAAACTCACTTTGTGGATGTGCATTATAAGTAACGAAAACTTCATTAACTGAAGTTACCAATTGTTTACTAATTTGACCATAAAATTTATAAAACACTGAAACGTAAGCGACTCACTATTCACCGGCAAGGACACGCCCTGCTTGATGGGTATGGGTCGAATCGTGTCACTCAGATTGTACGGCGCGGTAACTTTGATTATGGCAATGTCGTACAAGTAGGTGCCGAGATGGGGCTTGTATTTCGGGTGGGGATTGACGCTCTCGACATAGCGATGCACTCCTTTTCCATGCACCACCGACCCTGCATAAATCCTTACGGAGTCTGCAGTAGAAACTACATTTTTCTCGGAAACTACGCTGAAAAATAGAATAAAAATCGGCCATCAATATTTTTTCTTATTATAAAAATACTTACAATGCGATGGTGCGAAGTGTAACCCTCCGATTTGGCTGAAATTTTGAAATTAGGTGGTCCAAGTCAATACAGCTAACGTTTCTTCACCCAGTTTGTGCGATGGTTGGAGTTACTCAAAATATTTGAGGTCAAAGTTGAAAAAACGGCCGACTTTTTTCAGGCGGAGTGAGAAAACTCCACTTCCATTCTCTTCCTCTCGCATTGATTTTCGCTCCGAAAAATAATCCATTTCATCAATTTTAAATTTAATTTATTATAGAAAAACATTAATTATTCATTGCACATATGTCTTGGTCTTTGTTTTCAAATGAATTGGAAATCAGAATAACCAACGGTTTCGAAATGGAAAGCAAGTTAAGTTTGTCCATATTTATTTGCCGCTGATGAATTTATAAATTAATGTTTGTATAATTTTTAATCCAAAGAAGTAAAAATCTCACTTATTCAGTTATGAATTAAATTAGGCGAGTATGAGGCGTGTTAATTCTTACTTAAGCCGAAATTAATAATATTTTATATTGGTTATTTTGCATCACTGCTTATGCTTGTGTATGAAGGCGTATGTGTGAGTGACCAGGCTGAATAAAATCAAAGCGAGGGGAAGAGAATGGTAGTGGAGTTTTCTCACTCCGCCTGAAAAAAGTCGGCCGTTTTTCAACTTTGACCTCAAATATTTTGAGTAACTCCAACCATCGCACAAACTGGCTGAAGAAACGTTAGTTGTATTGACTTGGACCACCTAATTTCAAAATTTCAGCCAAATCGGAGGGTTACACTTCACACCATCGCATTGTTAGAGGATGTGAAGGAATGAATGGTAACAATTTCAAATGTATTTACACAAACATACAAAAAAGCAAAGCCTTACAATTGAAGGTGAAATAGTTTTATGACAAATTTAACAAGTTGCTAAATACAATCTGATCAGAGATCTTTCTTTTAAATTGTTCACAAATTTGTTCCACACTGAGGTCAAAAACTTTAGATTTCCTTGGATAAACTGTGTAGAATTTTCGACGCAAAAATTAGTTATTGATAATAGAACGCTTATATGTTTTCCTTTCAGAACTTGTTGAAAATCGAGTTAGTAATTATATACATTCGCGTTTCCAAATTATATGTGTAACCATTCATTCTTCAACATCATCTAAGCTAAAGTTACAATTTTTTATATTTACATGCGACTATAAAAATATGCCTAAATATATACGTATCTCATACCAGTGTGCCGCCGTGATGATGGTGTTAACATCGTACAGAGATCCCGTACAAGAAGCACCGCTAACATAAACTTCAACGACGAACGGCCATTGTCCATTTTTCGCGAACCATCCGCCATAAACGCGATCCCCGTGGCTTTGAATGTTCCCAGATTCGGAAAAATCACTCCAGTCTGGTTGCCCTTCAAATCCGTGATAATTATCATCGGGTTCGTAATTCCCGTCCCCACCGTAGTTGCCCGCCGTCCCGTAGAACATGTTGCAATAATAACAACTTATCGGAACTCCGGGATAAGTACCGAATTGGCGAGAAGTTCGGAAATTTGACGAATCTATGAAATGGAAAGTATTTTACACCTTTGTAAATATTTCATGGAAATTCGTTGAGAAATTCACTCGCATAAATATTGCAAACTTTGCAACAAATTCGGAAATTTAATAATTTAACGAAAATCATCTTAAATATTGATAAACAAATCACAAAAGGACTGCGCGTTTCCAAAACTTTTTATCACAATGTACAACTTTTCGGGTGAATTACCTCAATAATATTTTTATTTTTATTACTTTTTTCATTAAAACTAATGTCTCCCCCACGTATTGTAAAATTTCGTCGGAATAAAGCTTCCCTAAACTCTTCAAAATTTCCGGGGCTAATAAGATTAATAAAAATTAGTATCACGTTTGAGACGTGAATAGCAAATCCGGATCGTGGCATGTCGACTTATGAAATGAGACTGACAACAAATCTAGGTTTTAAGACTTGGATTATGCAAATAGACACCGGTCGGTACAACATAAATAAAAAATCTCGTCCAAATATTATGTCATCAATTTGGGCAGTCGGTCCCATTTCTACTATTTTATGCTTGCCAAATACATACAAAATGGGAGTATGGTATGCATACATATGCAAATTAGATAAGATTATGGATTCATCAGTTTTTTCCCTCAACAAATGATTGAACGGTCCCAACGCCACTGTTTGGCAACATTAGTGACAATGAGAATACCGAAAATTCAGGTCAGATTTAAAACAGATTCTCTGCCGTAACATGCTAACTGCTATGCAAGTGTATTTGAAATATATTTATGGATATGCTGCATTCATATGTAAGTAAGTGACATGTTTCTAAAATAACCGGTTTCCATAATTCGTCAAGTTAGCCTGTTGAGTTTGTAATCATGTTTATAAACTTGAATTGTAAAACAGAACTATTTTATTATGGCTTTTACATACACATTGATATTAGATGCATGCATTCATTGTTTGTATTTAGATGCATTTAGTTGGTGATTCATGTGGCCGATTAAAATGGACTCATAATGCTCATATGTACATATGTACATATTTATCTGGGTACATGAGTTTTCGATGCACAAAAGTGTATAATTATTCAGATATATGTAAGTACTATTTACAGGGGTGGGACAGAAGAAGGAGCCACTTGAATTTTAGGGGTGGCGTGTGATGCACAGTCGCGGCATTTTCAAAATTTGCATATGTCATACCCAGATAGTTAACGAAAATTTAGCACTATTCAGATTTTCCCTACGGTTAAAAATGCCCCTGCAGCACCCCCCAGAGTGCGAGGCACGCATAAAAGTGTTTTCCAAAGACATACTGAGCCAGAGAGCGATTGTTAGAAAATTTGCTGCAAATGGATTTATCGTCGATCGAAAGTACGTTTCTAATGTACTTAAAAACGTTGGAATCAAGCGGAGGGAAAAAGCGGTTAGAGCTCCACCCCCACGGAAAGGATACCCAAGATCCGCTTGAACCAAAAAGTTTATCCGGAAAATCAATTTTTCGCCAAAACGGTAAATCCACCAACTAAAAGTTGCATGGCGAAAATGTTAAACGTTAGTAGGAGAACATTTCTAGAGTCATTCACAATGACCTACAGCAAGTGACTCGTAGGAAATCCCGAGATCATGCTCTCATCCCAACTTATTTTTCACAAAATATCAGCCTACACGAAGGATTTTAAAAAAAGTTTGGGTATAACAATTATTCCTACTATAGAAACTCTCGTTAGTTCCTCTGATATCAATCCGATGTTTTTTTTTTGGATTCGAGTACTTAAAACAGAGCCTTCTTGAAAGGAAAACGCGTGCGTTTTGATGGACTTTGGAAAAGTGTTCAGGACGAGTGGTGCAGAATCACTCTGAAAATTGTGTCAAAGGTCATGACTGGTTGGAAAAAGCGACTGAGGCTCGTTAGATAAACTAAAGGGCTTCACACTGAACCAATTACCAAACTTCACAAACGAATAATAAGGCCGGAATAAATTTAGGCAAAGTGGCTCCTTCTTCTGTCCCACCCCTCTGTATTTATGTACATGATAATTGGTTATGGGGTAGCAAAGTTGTTAACTAATTAATTTTGTTAACGCAAATGTTAACTAACGACAAATAATTTAGCCTGTCCAGATAGGTAAATGAGTTAAGGTTTCCCACACATTCATATTACTGAATTTATGTACATCTGCTCTTAAAAAACGCTGAAAGTATCTGTACAACATGATAGTTTGTAGCATACATAATTGGGAAACGTAAACAACCGCATTTTAGTCCAACAAACTAATAAATTTGCATTTGTTACATAGTTTAAAAAAACTGGATAATTTACTGTAATTTTGACTGATCGATATCTTCACGTTCGCAAATTGCTTAAAATGAACTCAGATAAGGGTTCTTGTACAACAAAGTTACTAATTTGTGTTTGTATGCGTATAAGTTGTAAGCAAACCTATGATTATCATCCATAGATACATACATATCAGGTATGTACATATCATACATATATAAACGACTAATTCTAATAAAGTACATAGAAATTAATGCCATAGTACAATTCATCAATTTTTCCGTACTAATTACTTCCTAGAATTTAACGCAGTACAAAAATATATTCCTCACGTCAATAAATAAACAATTTGATGACACATTGCCACACGTAAATTGTTCGCTTACTCAGAAACTCACCCACAACCAGATCCGGGTTAAATTGATTCGTACAATTCCGCATAAACAGACATGATTTATGTACCGATTTAACAATATTTTCTACTGAAAGCGACATTCAAAATTTAAATTTATTAGTAATTCCAATCGATGAAATATTCTATGGAATTAATTTCCCAGAATGTCCATACATTACATGTGTCAATGATACATAAAGAGTAATAAGCAATGACATCACATTATGCAGAATGCGTACCAACTCGATATAAAAAGACATCAAGTGTGCAATTTGTTAATCATTCATTCAACTTTTCTCTGAGGTACATACATACATACATAGAACCCTTAATAAGAATAATAAATTAACCAAAATGGCTCTCCCAGTTTCTTTAACTGTCCTCGTTGTCGTGCTAGGGTGTAATGGAGGTAATAAATAAAATTGTTCGCACGCAGAATAAGTAGTTTATTTAGTCAAATTTTGGAAATTTTTTCGGATGCTTCCAATCTAACTAACTACAATTTTCTAAAAATTTGTACGTTATTTTGAAAAAGCATAGATATATTTACAATGGGGACGCAAATCATGTTAAACCCAGATTACTTCTTAACCATGTTATTTTGAAGGACAACTCTTAAGAAACAACATTCAGTGCGGAAGTTGCACAGATGCGAAAAATTCGGCAAATTTTAGGCGCCACAAATTCGCGAAAAACTAGTTTCCCACCGGAATCTGTGCCTTGCCAGTTTTCTCGAACTTGTGGCGCCCATTTTACGCATCTGCTCAACCGCCGCACCGAAGGTTGTTTCTAAAGAGTTGTTCTTCAAACTAACATTGTCAAAATAATCTGGATTGAACATGGCTTGCGTCCCCATTGATAGTAGATTTTTTGTTGTGGGTCACCTCATTTGCATAAATCTTACTATGCCCATACATACGGACTTTCCATGTCAATCAAACTCTACGTCCGTCGCTAATACGTCAAAATATTCAAATGAAGTGACTAGACAGAAAAATTCAGCGGTTTAACAGGTGCCAAACTTTTGTACTATTTTAATTATATTTTTTTTTATTGTTTCCTGTCAGCCTTATCCAGCGGAATTATTGGAAACTCCCTCTCCGTTAAGAACTTTGAGTCTGACGCGATAGGGAATAATAATTTCGGGACGGGTGAAACCATTGAAACTCGCGCGGCTGGACTTTGCCTAGATGATCATAACTCATACCGCTCCCAAAATGGGAAGGGTCCCCTCGCCTACAGCTCCCAGCTCGAACAAGCCGCCAGAAACCACAATTCCGTCATGACCTCCAAGAACTGCTTTAGCCATCAATGTTCCGGCGAACCCAGTTTAGGCGACCGTGTCTCCGCGACTGGATACAGGTACACATAGATACTCTTAGAAATTCAGTATTAATCTAATACCAAGCGGTATTCATATATGACCCCACCAAGGTGATATCGATAACTAATGCCGCGTAGGAATACATAGCTCCGTATTAAAGTTTTAGCAAATTGGTAGTAAATTTTTACGGATCGGTATAATTTTAATACCAAGCGGTGGAACATTAATATCCCGAGAAATCAATGGCTGCCTGAAATGGTTATAATTTGGCACAAAAGTTCAAAATTGAATGATTTCATTAAACTTTTACGGATTATATTTCGCCGAAATTTTTACCAATACTATTTTCTGGTAATACTTTTAGGTGGACCGGAGCGGGCGAAAATATCGCGGCGGGACAGGGCGACTGCAAATCTGTGATGAATAGCTGGATGAACTCGTCCGGACACAAGGCTAATATTTTGGGAAACTTTAAGCACGTGGGGTGTGCCGTGCAGGATTGTTCGAACTGCAGCTACAACAAATATTGGACATGTGTCTTTGGCAATCAATAAATTCTGAAGGATTTCATTGAATAAACTAATGCACAATTACATTTTCCATTTAAAACTTATTATTCGGTATGCAAATTAGTCTACTGTTCATACCATAACAGATTGATTTTGAATTTAATTTCGTCCTGGAAATTTAACAGTTGCTCAATTTCCGATCATCGCATTCAAACATCGGCGAATTTCTGTTTGCGTCATGCACAGCCCCTCGTATTTGATGCAAAATATTTTTTACCACTGTTGTAGCACATGTTATCCAAGTCTCATCATCAGAAAATGAACTTACTACCTACACATGCAATATATCGGATATTCAAAGCTTTCTAATTAATTAGTCAATCCAATTAATTATCTAATTAAATAGCATGATTAAACTAATTATTAATTACTAATTAACCTTAACTAGTACTACCGAGGCTAATTATAATTACTAATTAACTATAAAATCACTAAAAATCACCAATTAATTGGTCAATGGGCGAATTAATTAGCTAATTAATTGGCTTAATTAGCAAACTCAGTTTAATTACTATTTACCAATTAATTAGACAAAATATTTTTCTTCTAATTATCAATTACTAATTAGTTAGAAATGTGGCTAATTAAAAAGCTCTGCGGATATTTACAACAAATTGATTTCTACAATTTTAGGCTGACACATTTCAGGTTTAGCCAATTCCGTCATAGTCTGAATGTTAGTTCCTAAATTTGCAATGTTTAGAAATGTTAGGAAATATAAAATAAACCCTCCAAACGAATATAAAAAAGTAGCGTCAGAGTGATCCAAGTTTCCTTTACAATTATCCCATATCTCAATCATCAATCATGTATCTTTGACCCTTGATCTCAAGGTCATGAGGTCAAAAATATTAACGTCCTTGAAATCGCCGTAAAATTTCCTTTAAAATGACACCCCATATGACAATTGTTTATTTTGTGACCTTTGACCTCGTCGTCAAGGTCACGAGGTCAAAACTATTAACATATTTGAAATCTCCGTCAAATGTCCTTTAAAATGACACCCCATATGACAATTATGTATTTTTGACCTTTGACCTCGTCGTCAAGGTCATGAGGTCAAAACTACTAACATATTTGAGATCTCCATCAAATTTCCTTTAAAATGACACCCCACATGAAAATTAACGTCCAATTTAATTTCGACCACACCCCCTGGCGCCGTTGGGTGTGGTCCGATTGACCCAATTTCCGAACTCGACCGAGAACTAAAAATCAGAAGCAGAATGGCGAAAACGGGGTTTGATTATGTTGACTCGTTCTGGAGATATCCTGCTTACGGACAGACGGACAGACAGACGGACGGACAAAACGATCACAATAAGTAGCTGACGCTACTTAATAATGAGAAGATTTTTTAAAAAGTTTCCATGAAAAAGTATTCCATGCAAGAGATGTTTGCGGTGAAAGTTCGTTTCTCACCGGTTGCCGGTGGGTTGCGAACGTGAAGGCGGTTTCACTATTTCATTCAGCTGCATAAAATTTCACCTCAGTTTCTTTCCTCAGAAAATACTTGATTATTTTAAAGCACTTGATTTTCTTCCTCAATTTTTAAAAATTAACAAATATGGAAGCACTATTGGAACGAGTTGCTTCTCTGGAAGCAATGGTATCACAATTAGTAAAATGGACAAATTACAAACCTGGTACGAAGTACGAATACATATTCTCACATTTTTGCAAAATATCTACTAAAGAAAACTTTTTACATGTATCATGTTGTATTTTGATTTCCTAATTAAGATAACCCGTTCCCCATTCCACACGAAAATGCCGACATGGCCACGTCGTCCAATCCAATGTCGTCTGATTATCACAATGTGGATTCGGACGTCGAAATCGAAATCGATCACACAATTAAAGTTGAATACCAAAATGAAGATAATGTTCTTACCACAAATTGTAAGTTTCCATCGTGGGAGGGGGAACCGGAGGAAGGTGAAGTTTTTCTTGACGACCCACTTGGCGACATTCCTGATCCTGGTTATTCATCCACCCAACCACAAGTAGAATTAAATAAAATTAAATAAATCCAGTGTTTCGGGTGCAAGAAATGACCTTAATTGTAAGACCGTTATTTTTTATCATCAGGTATTCATAGGAGGTCCGACTAAAAAGCGGCGTACTTCCAAATCGTCTTGTCAAGTGGGAGCGATAAATTCGGAAACTTCACTGAACATGAACAACATCGGACCCAAAACCCGATATCCTTGTCCCACTTGTGGAAAAACGTTCATATATAAGCACCTCGTGTTTAGGTATGTATGTTGTGTTTACATAGATTATGGCATGAAATTTAATGACAATTATTTTTATTTCAGACACGTTCTTAGCGCCCACAACGGGACGATATTCCTTTGTCGCTTGTGTGAAAAGAAATTTCTCAAAAAGGAAGAACTGGACAAACACCTAGGGTGTCACACTCATAATATGACTGAATTACATGATTTTCGCTGTGTCCAGTGTGCCATTAATTTTGACACGCATGACGATCTCGACTCCCACATTAGATCCAGCCATCCTGCAGTCAGTGCGTTCCAAATTACATATAAATGTTCACTTTGTGGGCGAGAATTTAAACAGAAGTCGCTTCTAACTCGTCATGAGAAAAGGCACAGGAATGCTTCAGAAAGATCACGGTTGAAATATTTACCGCCTTAATTTGTACAATTATGTAGGCCAGAATGGTAAAACCCGATTTTGTTATGACGCAAATCTTATGTAGTAACAGGTATTTATGTGCTGATTTAGTAAGCAAGTAAAAATAAGTATACTTTTTGACGGAAAAAGACAGACTGGTAATTCAGCAGTTCTCTTGTTATATTTTTCCAACTATGCATATGTTCTGCTAAGGAGTCTGTAAAAAATTTAGGAAATTTGTTATGACGAAAATTTAATAATTGAAATAAAAAAGTTAAGGATTTTTAAAAATAAGCTCTATGTCTCTCGCGTCAAAATATGCAAATTCGGTGACCTGCTACAACAAGAATTCCACTCTACCCTGTAAATAACGCTATTTATATGAATAATCTCGATTGCAAGTTAAATATTGAGGCAATTCACGAAAATGCATTTTCTTCTCCGATATGACCACAAAATTTTAGGACCATGGTCCTAAAAATAGGCTAACAAGGCACACTCACGACCTGTCGTTTGAGTCCAGGGTACCCACTATGTTTTTTGGAATCTACTAGGACCCCAGATGAAGGATCCATTCATATTTCCGTGTAAAACTCATATTTGGCGTCGTGCCGTGGCGCCAAATTCGCCAAATTTGAATGTTTTTATTTTTGAAACCGCCATAATTTTTGAAATCCTGGACGGATTTTCAAAATTTTTGGCAAAAATCATGACAAGGAGTTCAACTTTCATATTCCATGAAATTTTTCCCAAAATTATCGCTTTTAACTTTTCACAAAATTTCTTAATTTTCTTAGAAATGGGGGTTCGTCAAAAAAATGCTAAAAATATTTCAAAAATTCAAAATTTTTTGTTTTTATTTTTTTGTCAAAAATTTCGACTTTTGTGATCATTTTAAACATAAATGTTTGAAAATCCGACATAAATTACAAAAGTTATGGGGGTTTGAAGTTGGTCGAAAATGCAAATTTTTAAGTTTGCGCCACGGCACGACGCCAAATATGAGTTTTACACGGAAATATGAATGGATCCTTCATCTGGGGTCCTAGTAGATTCTAAAAAACATAGTGGGTACCCTGGACTCAAACGACAGGTCGTGAGTGTCCCTTGTAAGCATGATTTCCTGCATTATGACAAACTTTCAAGATGTTAAAGTCGTAGGTGGGCAAAATATAATAAAATTTTGATACAGGAAAAATTTTGTTACTTCCTTGCATTGTGCTAAAGTTTACAAAATCAAGGTGCCCCTGAAAAATATACCTTGAGCAGGGTCACCCGAAAACTGTTTGTTGTATGAAACATTAACATTTTTTAAATCCCGAAAAAAAGACCAGTATTAAAAAGCCGACAAAAAAACATTATCCAACAAACCCTGACAGTATTACTTTATCAATCAGCTCATTAATTGTGAATGGGGAAATTAACCTCGAAAAGTTAAATTTGACCTTAATTTGTCCCATGTCAAATTCAATTCTCAAAGTGGAAGGTACATACATATGTTTATAAAATGAAAGCGAAAATTATTCGCATTCATCGCTCTAATGGCTGCATACTTGAGGGTGCTGCTCCTTACAGAATATTTACGGGGAGCCCTTGCTCAGGTCCTGGAGGAACCAGCACCAGTCACAGAACGCCCAGAACAAAGCTTATCCCAACTAACATTTCTTCCCTTTGGAGAAAAATACGGAGACGAAAAGGTGGCATATACCGCACTCATTCCTTCCTGCATCGACGTGTCCACTTCCGGTCCGCTGAAAGAACGAGGCACCCCGATCAACTTCTTGGCTAAAGCAGAAATTTTTATCTGCGCAAAAGCCGAATTCGGAGGTGTTTACTTTGGACATGGAGATTGTAAGTTGAATATTGGGCATGTCACGTCAGCCTTTGGAACTCTGTGACTACGAAAGCTTACGATTATCAGTGTACGAACTAAAAACATGCCTTTTAAGTATCTTCGTAAGCTTTTGTAGGTTCGTAAGCGATGATACTTTCGAGATGTTCATACATAAGTTTACATGGTTACGGAGTTACGAAAGCTGACGTAAAATGCCTCAATTTAAGAGATATGCACATGTACCGCTCACAAAAGGCTTTACAGAATCAATGAGACAATTCATGTCAGACCGTAACCACTTAAACTAACGAAACTTACGAACTTTTGATGAAACTTTCTAAGATAATTTTTTCTTACGAAATTACAAAACCTTACGAAGATCAAAGGCATATTTTTAGTTCGTGAGCTCATCTTCGCAAGTTTACATGATTACGGAGTTACGAAGGTTGACGTGAATTGCCTCAATGTCACACGTCCATTACAGAATTAAGAATTTTACTATATTTTGTTTATTATTCCCAGTCAACTATGACGTTACGAACGTGGACGGTGGTTTCTGCACCGGTCCAACTACGCACCCTTCCGTGCTGGCTTTCTTTAATTATTTCGAGTCATCGAAGGACAAGGGTACTGTGACGCACAGGGTGACGATAGATCCTGCAATCATGAACTCGGTCAAAGGTCTCATTGCACCTGCTTTCCCAGAGGCAGGCAATCTCACGTGGACATACGTCATCACGTACAACAAAAAGTCGAGGCATGGATCCATCGAAGTCCCCGCTTGTGGAGGACCCAAGAACAGAATTCAAATCATGATTGTCGCCGGCCCGAAGGAGTCCTATACCATTTTTCTGTATAAACAGCTAGAATGGGTAGATGCTCCGGAGCAATGCCCGGGTAAAGTTGATACATATGTATTTTAAGGAACGAACGAATTGCCTATTTTCACCGTGTAGGAGAACGTCCCCACGGTTATTCTATGTCTCCATCATCTACCCATAGTATGCAAATACCTCCTTACCCAACCCTTCAATGCTAATGCCCCCATATGTCCCTACAGCTCTATGCTTATTTTCATTATTACATACGTTTAACAATTATTGTGATGTTTATTATAGCTCACCCGCATCATGGGAAAAAATCGATGCATACGCAAGTCGGGTTCGTAGCTACATGGAGGCAAGGCCAGGAACGCTATGTGCACAATCTTCCAGGATCATGCAGTGCAGAGGTGGCGCAACTGGCATCCACATCTAAAACGGGACAACCGGGAGTTTGGGTGTTCCGAACGGATAGGGAAGAAATAGAGGAAAAATATGAAGATAACGAAGAAAATATGCAGTCTACTGCACAACATAGGGGTAAATATACAGTTATGCCAAATAGCTCTACAAGTTACCCTTGTTCTAGAAGTACGCCTAGCTATACGAGTTCTACGGAGCCTAGCTCTACGGAACCTAGTTCTACGGAGCCTGGCTATACTGAGGAGCCCAGCACTACGGAGCCTACTTCTACCGAGCTTAGCTCTACGGAGCCTAGTTCTACCGAGCCTGGCTATACTGAGGAGCCCAGCACTACGGAGCCTACTTCTACCGAGCTTAGCTCTACGGAGCCTACTTCTACCGAGCTTAGCTCTACGGAGCCTAGCTTTACCGAGCCTGACTATACTGAGCCCAGCACTACGGAGCCTAGCTTTACCGAGCCTGACTATACTGAGCCCAGCACTACGGAGCCTAGCTTTACCGAGCCTGACTATACTGAGCCCAGCACTACGGACCCTACCGAGCCTGACTATACTGAGCCCAGCACTACGGACCCTACCGAGCCTGACTATACAGAGCCCAGCACTACGGACCCTACCGAGCCTGACTATACTGAGCCCAGCACCTCGGAGCCTAGCTTTACCGAACCAGACTATACTGAGCCTAGCTCTACCGAGCCTGACCATACTGAGCCTAGTTCAACTGAAACTAGCTCAACTGGGCAAACAACCGTAGAAGCTTGGTACGAAGAGCCTAAGTGATTAGCTGCAAGATGTGTATTTTTCGTAGTTTCGGGCCCGTAAGGGCCAGGCCGTTTATGTACAGTTAAAAATATATCTGGAAAAATGATAATTTATTTTACCAGCTGCACTTCGAAACGAAAATTAACCTACCAGATAGTCATACAAAGTTTTGAGGCAAAAGAGCTTAGGTTTGCATAATGAGGCCCAAAAAAGGAAAATCGATGTGCACCTTAATTATGATCGATGTGCATACATATGCCATACATTAATAGTATCAATTTAGTATCTCGCTCATAAACCGAAAAATCGCCAGGTCATATTCTAAAGACCACCATCTGGGCTTACCATATATTACGTCGTCAAAAATTCTCGATTGTATCACCCACCCAACGTATACTATACATTAAGGGATAGGGAATTTTAACATGGGAAATATAGGAACAAACCACTCACCCACTAAAATAATGACCTAATATATGGACGTTCCCTCTATTGTACATATTTACATATTAGTAAATTTAATGAAAAACGAGTTGGTCTATTTTAATTGAAATTTGTTGACAGTTTAATAAAGGATTAATTGACTTTATCTAGCTGCTAGAAAATATTTTTTCTTGAAGAAACGAGCGTTTTCGCCTAGTTATAAAATTACTAAATTTTACGGATTGACCAAATTACCTCAGCAGAGGTTTCTTATCATAAAAATCCGAGTCTAACCCCATGCAACATTCCATATCGATCTGATATCAGAACAAGATCATTCTAAGATATTGCCTGATATCAGGAATCGATTGTCATATTGATATCGGAACGACATCAGTGATCAAGTCTCCAGCACGTCATTTACATGATTTAAAAACGACATCAGTTTGCGATATCTATATGATATCGTAACGACATCAGACTATGATGTCGTTGACATATCACGAGATATGACATGAATAGGATATGGTCCAAGTTGAAACTGAACCGCAATATTCAATTAGTGCAAGTTGGAGTGTAGCGGCGTGGACATCAAGTTCTGTTAAAAAGGTAATTTTTTAAGTAGAATTTGTTTACAATAAAAATGAGAAAAAGTATAGTAGGTAAAAAGAGATTACAACAACTTGCAAAAAAAGAAACTAACGAAATATCTGTTGGTATAACTTATCAATCAAGTAGTCAGTTACACGAACCAGATCAGTTAATAAATAGTTTGTCCGAGGAGGGAATTGATAATCACGAGGAAAGTTATATTAATTCCACAAGTTCTAGTGACAATTCCATCCAATTTTCAGATTGTGATGATGAAAGTGATTATAAAAATTGTGAAAAAGTGACCTCATCCTCTACTGAAACCCTAGAAAGCATAAAATCTTGGGCCTTTGACTACTCAATTAATCACAGTCAGTTAACTGGACTTCTAAAAATCCTAGGTACCCATGATTGTTTTAAAACCTTTCCGTCAGACAGCAG